TGTACATAAAAATTGGAGCAGTCAGTTTTCTACTCAATGAAGCTATCAGGATTGATCAGACAGTAAAAACAGTGACAAATTAACTTTTTATTGTGTTGCAACAATTACTGTAGTAAAAGACACTTATTCATCCAAATCCCAATGGTTCTCATTGTCTGAAATACCTAAAATTAAGTCTCCAAGTCCATCATCATGCTTCTCAACAGTCATTTCATCAATACCATTGTCCTCAGCTTTCTCTAAGGATAACTCGGTTGCTGAGGATGGCCCTGGCTCATGGGAAATTAATTCCTGGCAGCTGAGTGTCATCAACACCTGAATAGCTTCAACAACATCTCCACCTGCACCTTTTTGTGATTATTTCAGCAGCTGCAGAAAAAGCACACTCACTGGACACTGAAGAGGCCATAATAGTCAAGCAGCTGCTTGCAAATGATCCCCAAATAGGGTACAAAGGAAAGTTCAACTGTAGCACTGATTAGAGTCATAAAATATGATACAACAAGATGACTTCCACCCCACCAATGGACAATAGATATCTCTTTTGGAAGAGGCATCACAGAGCCAAGGTAAGCATGAAACTCTTGAGCCCAAGGTGCTGAGGCATTTTCAGCTTCACTGTTTGCACCAAAACTGTCTTCAGGACATTAGTAACCTGCTGAGTCAAACATCACATAATCACTAACATAACTCTCAAGGCTATATTTTAATAATAGGGCAAGTGGGTCAGATAATGCCATAGCTAGATTAGAATTTCCCACAGTCAATAGAAACATTGTACACTATCTAATACTTAAGTTGAAGCTATACAACTTTTTGCTACTAGAGTAATTGTACAGTCATATCAACATTTTTCAAAATTTTAGCTACAGGCCCTGGCTTAGGCCCTGGGCTCGGGCTTTGCAACAACCCAGGCCAGGCCTTAGGCCCTCAAAAGCCCTAGCCAGGGCTCGGGCAGGGCTTGGCCTATACAGGGCTTGGCCTATACAGGGCTTGGCCTGAGGGCTTTAGGGCTTCAGGCCTGGCCCTGCACAACACTAGGTACTGGTGGCCAGGAAACGCAAAGAGCTCATAACCTGTTAAAGTCTGATATACATTAGACCCCAGTACGCTGTAACATAAGCAAGTTTATTGTACCTGATATACATTAGACTACGGGATCATGGTAAGCGTGTGATCTCCGGTATGTTAGTGAGACGAGCTTACCCCCAGTACGCTGTAACATAAGCGAGTGGGGGCGCTATAGCGAGAGACGCTCGTCTTATATATCCCTGAGTTCCAAACTGCCCTTCTCTCCTCGTTCACTTCTTTCCCTGCTTCTCCCGTTCCTTTCCCCTTTGCCCATGCTTCTCCCCTCTGCGTCTCTTCTCCCGAAGTCCCCAAACCGTCACCAAAGCGGTGTTATGCCGCATTCCAACATACTTGCTCGATCCCCGTATGCACCAATGCGAGTGCCCGTCGGGCTATTCGGGCGTCTTCCACACGCGGGGTCGTATTCCCGTGGTGGCTGTGTTCACCTCGATCCGGTGTATGTCAACATGGTCAAAAAGCTACAGTATTGACTATGTTTTGGTCAGCTGAAAATCTACTCATTTCTGGTGCAGCAGGTTGTGTATATGCAAAGAGCCCTTGGCCAATATATGGTCAAATTTAAAAATATTGACTAAATATCAGGCAGCCGAAAACTTGTTCAAAACTCCTCAGTGCAGAAACAGTAATATAAAACTATCACATTATGATGCGAACAAGGTCAAACACTAATTCCAACAATCCATCCTTCTGTTTGCCTCCTGCCGAAATGCAGGCCTTTGAAAGCAAACCATCATATTAAGGAACATTATCTTCCGAAAAATATAAAGGTTTGCCTATGGGAGACTAAGATGCTCAATGCCCACGTCGGCTGATGAACACATTATGGCAATATAGACTTGCTTGCGAGCTCTTTGAACAGTCGGGTCTCGATTGGACTCTTCCCTTTAATTTCCGTCTCTGTCCAAGTCGCACCTATCTCCTCCATTCTCTCTACAATCGGTCTCCAAACACTCTCATCGGCAGGGAATACCACACCCGTCAAGCCGGTGGTTTTTCCATGTACAACTTGCTTCGCCGCCGTGGCAAGCGAGACACCCGTGTATTTCGCTAGGGCGCTTGGCCCACCGGGAGTGCCGTACATGACCATCTGACGCCTATAAACAACAGACTCAGGTCCAATGAAGAGCGACACCTCGCGCTTGTTCTTGGGCTTGATCCTCGGCGCGATCATGTTCTGCGGGGACGCGCCAATTTCCTGGTGTAGCACAAGCATATCTCTGTCATTAGGACCGTACGCGAGCTTCGTGCTCAGTAACTGTGCCAAATGGTCGAGTGGCGAAGCCGGCCCCGAGGGAGGCGCCGGAAGGGATGGACCACCACGTTCGCCGACCGAGGAAGGAACAGCTTCGAGCCACGCGAGAGCGCGCATAAGCGGGTCGATGGCATCGTCGGCGACAACATCGCCGAAAGCGGATCTAAGAGACACGGGTTCATTATTGAGCTTAGCGCCGAGGAGGGCTTGGAGGGCATGTCGCGTGAGGTCCTGCCAGGAGCTGGGGTTGATGGTAGTATCTGTGTTGAGCAGACCGATAGCCTTGAAGGATTGCATGAGGTCGGAGAAACCAGGATATCTGCAGATAACACGTTGGTTGGCGTTTGTGCGCCTAATCGAAGTGGGCATACCTAAGAGTACCGCGCATCATAGTAGACATATCTCGAATGACAGGCCACTTGAACTTCTTGAGATACGTGACAGCATCGTGATTAGGGAATGCTTCAAGAGATACTCCCTCCATGATATCCACCTTAGGGAAATACCGCTTCGTTAATTCGTATTCCCAAACTTGGCGTTGCTATTTGCGGTCAGGTATCACTAGCGGTACATCAAGTGAATACACGAACCTTGCTATCGAGCTTAAATCTTGAGAACGCCATCGTATCAAGAAGCATTTCGCGAGGACTATGGGAGATTTTGTAACCGAAGGGCACGTTTGCGCACTCCGGTGCCGGGAGGGATCCACAGAATGACATGTACATGTGGATGCGTTTGCCTTCTTGTTTGAGTCGGTCGAACCGAGCCAATGCAGCGCAATGGTCGTAGCCGGGGTTAAAGCCTACCTCGGCCAAAATCAAAGTATCACGTTCAACAGCTCTGGTAGACGTGGGATACGGTCAATATAAAACACTGTGATATCCTCGCAACTAGAACGCACTGCAAATCTTGTGACCGTAGCCCTTGTGATATATATGATGGCGTGACAAGGGATATGCGCGAGGCAATGCATTGCTCGGCGATGCGAGGGACGAGGTTTGACGGCAGCAAACTATGCTATCAGCTGCTGCTGGATGACGATAGAGGACGAAGAAAGAAGAGCACATACCTGACAACTACGTCTGCCTGAGCAATCAACTCCGAAACGGTCTGAGCATTCGTGCAATCAACCTGTTTGACATGCGCGTGATTGTGGCGAGCTACGAATTTGTTGCCTTGTGTAATGTTTCGTGTAGCTGATGCGCGTAAAGTTGTCAGTTGTCAGAAAATGCGGTTTCAACATAACGAATGAACGACAAACCGAGGAGTACTTCGACGCTGGTATCCAAACATAATTCGTCAATGGTTGTCTCAGCCATCATGCCACTGCCTAAGACTAGTACGCGCTTCTTGGATATGCCATGCGAGGGAAGGGTGGCCGGAGGTGGTGAACTTCCTGAGATAGCTGTATCCGAGCTCGGCAAAGTAGATTCGTTTTGGCTGGTCAAACTGCTGTTGAGTGTGGACAGCGAACGGGAACGATAAGAGCATAATGAGCCTCTAGCTCTATTCGAATGGTGCATGCTTGCAAGAGATACAGCCTGTCGATATATTTGGTCAAGCTAACAAAAGCACGATGATAAATGCTTGTGGACGTACTTTGGCCAGGCCTGAACGGTGCCTGTCATGTCCGGCTTGATGAGGTAATCTTTTATGGTGAGCTGCGCAAGTATCAGGCCTGGAATGAGTAGGCTCTTCGAGGAAGCTGGAGTTGGACGCGGGAGTGAGCGAGCAGATTTGCTTCCGACAAAGGGGGTGGTCGGCCTGAGCACTGTTGCCCAGACGTCGTGAGAGGGAAGATGTGACGCGTCGCTTGATATAAGACGTTCTATTCATGCTGTAAAGTGTGTTGACCTGCCTGCCGAAGATGACTAGGTCGACGTTCACGTTCAGCAGAGAGCAAATGAAAGCGACATACGCGCCATGGCCAAACGCACGTGACACGCGCTAGATTGCACGAGCGCGTCACTTGTTTAACGACGCGCGCGACCTCGTCAGGTTGTCTGGTGCAATCGACTCTGGGATCGCATTATACCCTGTCCTAATGGCAACCTCAGGTTCGAGCCAGCTACCTTGTGAGTTTCTCGTAGTCTTGTCCACCTCTATCTCTCGAAACTGAATCATCATAGTGCGTGTACTATACACTGTTAATCATTCTCCTCAATACATTCTCGCAAAACTTCCGCAACCAGTCGCTGTTAGCTTGTGTGGACCCAATGACTCTTACGGGACGGTCACTCTCAGAACATGCCTCAATGCCGTATTCAACTCGAGGTGAGCAGAGTCGCTGGTATAACTTATTTCCCGACGTGGAGCTCACTGCTTCTAGCCCAGAACTCATGCCCAACGCGTCCCGAGATTTCTCAGTCTACGTCCTTGACCCCCTCGAATCACATTCTGCTCCACCAGTCGATATGGCTGCCCATGGGAGCCCAGCCCAACAGCAGCCTACCCAACCACGAGGTGTAGCAGTAGCTCTCGGACTAGTTTCGTGGACCGTAGCATCAATCGGTGAACCTCCTGTCATGGTGACAGGCTCTGTCGTCAAAGGAGCTGGGACAGGTGTCGACTCGTTAGAAGTCGTCTTAGCTCTGAAAGAGGTGCGCATCTTGTATGCATATAAGACTTGTTTATAGAGCAGACTCCTAGACGAATCCCGTTCAAGCAGGCTCGTTTCAGTGGCTCATGGGCCCACCTGCGGCACCGACTCCGACCTCTTATAAACCTCAATACCCGACGGCTTCAGCTTCATCCAAGGCGCCACAGATTGATTCCCAAAACCTATCCGCCTCTCAGGAGCCCACACGAACCAAGTCTACAGATTTTCCCGAAGTTTATATTGGACCACCAAAGCGACCCCGAGGACGTCCCGAACGACCGAAGAAAGCTCCCAAACCTAAACCTCCCACTCGTCCTGGCAATTCTCCATTCATATGCGCACCGCTCTCTAGAAGCGAGGCCTCCCAAACTTCCAAACCCAGCCCCGCCGACGCAACGCATTCTTCTGCTATTCAGACTCTCCTTTCAGTATTGTCCAGAGGGACGGATAATGCAGCACTGCTCTCTGCCATCTCATTCCTTGACTCCGGGGGGCAGCTGAATGCAGCTTCACAGCCGAATGCTGCACTTATCGATGCCCTACGAGGAGCGATATCGTCTGGAGCTTCAACTGAACAAGTATCCTCAAGTGGAGCTCGCACGCCTCAAGAAGACGAAGTTGTGGTACTAGATAAAGAGAACATCAACCCGGATGCGTTCCGTCGTAAAAACAGTCGCGAGGATGGCGATCCAACACCACCGTCAAGCCAGGAACCCGAGGAACAGTCTCGTAGGCTGTCTTTAGCCAAAGGTCGAAAGGAATCTCAAGGCTCGGCTGAGCCTTCTCGCAAACGTACGCTCAGTGATTTCATGCGCGAGCAAGAACTCGAGGTAGAACGAAAGCGCGCTCAAAAGGGACCGTTAAAGAGACAGTCTCAAGATTCATTATCTCGGCATGCACGGCCGCTGCCAGTCGTGCACAACTACTATCAACGGCAGGTCTACCAGATGACCTCTGTCTCTCTTCCCATGTCTGATGACACTGTCGTGGAACGGCTGGCAACCCCATCCTCCCGTACTGCTTGTGCATCGTCTCCGCCGAGAAAGCTTCATCGGACCATGCCGACAGGTTCAGGGGTTTTGACTACGAATATGTCCGACTCGGACGCATCAGCTCGGCCGTCGGGCTCCCATCCTAAGAAACCATACATTGTTCCTGAATGGGCGCGGACAACCACGGCAACTCAACCAAGACTATCCCAGGAGGCTGAGCAGAGACTCGCCCTACAAGAAGAAGAACGCAAAAACTGTCGTAAACTCTCACTGAAGCAAAAACGCGACAATCAGAAGCCCCAGCCAAATATGCGGCCGCCTTCGTCCAGCCAGAACGAGTTACCGTCAAGCCAGATGTCTGAGGACACGTCAGATACAGAGTCGTGCACAAACCCCCTTGCGAGCCTGCCAATCTTTGCGTCTGAGAGTACTTCCCCCGTACGCCGCACATCGTCCAGCTTCCCGATTGTACCTTGCACGCCTCCACCGCGACCTCGAATTCACAGATCCCCGTTCAAACCGTCCGCCGTCAGCCCGTCTCCGCTCTTTAGCCCTACCCCGCATTCCCTCAATCGTACACCACATGCCCGGACACCAAGAGGCGTTGCGGCATCTCCGCTTTTTTCTCCTCGCTACCGCCGAACGAACGCTAAGACATCTCCACAGAGCTTGTGCAAGCACCCTCGTTCTATCAGGCGTGTGAGTGGACCGGTAGAAAAGACCATCGACAGGGAAGAGCAAAATCGTTTGAGCAAAGATCTCGATGATGCACTCGAGCACTTGACTACGCCGGTCAAGTCTACTCCAGTAAGGAGACTCGGCAGAGGATCCCCACAGAGCATGGTCAAGCTCTCTCGTTCTGTTAGGCGTGTGAGTGGACCAGTAGAGCACCCTATCGACAAGGAAGAACAGGATCGCCTGAGCAAAGACCTCGACCATGCACTCGAAAACCTGATTACACCAGTCAGGTCAACTCCAGTAAGGAGAACTTTTACTCGACCTCTCCCTCCTCGACCGGAAAGCCCGAGTCCCTCCCCGGCCCCCAACGACCGATGCCCCTCAAGTCCTCTCCCTCCATCCTCGCCCCTTCCTCCAACCAGCCCCTCGTTGATGCCTTCAGACGACGGACTCGACGACATACCCATGTCCGACAACTACGCCTCAGACTCTGACGGCGCCCTAGGCGACATGAGCGACATCCCTCCATCGACTGCCTCCGACTGGCTTTCCTCATCCGAAGGCCTGCTCTCCGACGACGAACTGACAGCGCAATACCCCGACCTCGACGACATATTCAAGGCTTTCACCAATTTCCCCTCGTCGGACTCACTTGCCAGCGACGCGACCCTACAGGGTGCAATCGGCGAGGACGTTTGGCAGAGTATCCAAGCTTCGATTGACGCCGCCACAACAGATGCATCCGGAGACGAGGGCGCTGGCCTGGCAGCTGAAGGCATCGACCATGAGAAGCTGGCAGGGGAGATACAGTCTATACTCAACAACTGTATAACGTGAACTGTATCCTCACCATTTCATGTATCGCGTATCTAGTGACAGCGGAACTAGCTTTGTACGAAACCTCAGATTTGTAAAACCTAGACACAAGCGCGATGGTTGATAGCATTGCTACCTACATACTCAAACCAACCTGGAGTTTCAGCACCATCGAGACTTAAGGAGAAGGCAGCTCGCCTCTGTTCAACAGGCTCACGCTGAGAATATTCACCATCTCGGCTGAGCCGGAGGCGTCAAAGGTGGCCCAGCTGTTGGCGGCATTACGGGACTGTGACTCAGACAAAGGAAACGTTCACAACAATATTAAATTTCAGTCAAGGGTATCATAATTAGGTCAAGCAAGAAAGACAAATCAACTGAAGACACAACAGTACTATAGGGGAAGCACGGGCCAAACGAATTTTCCTTCTATGAGCTTCACCATGATTTTCTTCGTCCTTCAGCGCTCACCCTAGGCCGGCGAGAAGTGGTCACTTCGTCGCTCAGAGCGACCCAGATGCACCCTTGAGGGCCTGGATAGCCTGGATGCCCTCCTGGATGCCCTGGATAATCTGGGCGACGGTGATATCGCCAAAGCCTACGAGTCCAGTAAGCCACCCAGTTTGACCCAACGAAGCAGCGAAAAGAAACTTACTGCCCAAGGGGTTGCCCTGCTGAGTACCGTCCTGAGCGGCATCCACGGCCGGGTTTAACGGCGCGTGCTCGGTGCCGTTCTGGGATGATGGCTCAGAACCGTCGACGGGCGATGTGGTGTTCAGGGGTGCGGGGCCGTCGACGGGAGAGGGTCCAGAACCATCAGCAGGAGTGGTGCCATTCTGAGGCGCAGAGGCGTCGACCGGGGACGTCGCATTCTGAGGTACAGACCCATCAAGGGGCATCGGCTCAGTAGCGTTGGAAGGAACAGGGTATGAGCCGTTGACAGGAGCAGTCTGCGTAACGTTCTGGGGACCGGGGAACGTCTGGTTCTGTCCCTCGTTGCTGGGGTTCATAACGGGAGGCGGGGGCGGCATCCCCGCGTTCTGGGCCGGGTTGGTGGTCTCAGTAGTATTCATGGGGCCAGGGTTGGTGATGTTCGAGGGCTGTTCATCCAGGCGAGAATGGAGCGGCTCGCCGGCGGGTACAGGAAGAGGAAGAGTGGGGAGGTCAGCGCCAGCCTCAAGGGAGGTGCGCTTGACGGCACCTGCGAGAGACTCGACGGTGCCGACGTCGCCTACGAGCCCCTTGACGGTTCCGAGGGGACCGAGAGCCCCAGCAGTCTGAACGACATCCGAGATCGGGAGAGCGCCAACTAAGGCAGAGGAGCGTCAGATGCAGAACGCTTGTGCGACGCGAACGACTTACCAAGACCACTGGCGCCACCAAGCTGGCGCTTGTCGGCAGAAGCAGGCAAACCGCCGACTGAATAACAACATTAGATGCAAGATACTTGCACGACAATGATCAGCTTACGGAGACCACCACCGACGCCACCAAGCTGACGCTTATCAGCAGAGGCAGGCAGACCACCCACTAAAGCAAACACATATCAGATGCAGGATGTTTTCACGACAATAATCGACTTACGAAGACCACCAACGCCACCAAGCTGGCGCTTATCGACAGCAGCAGGCAGACCGCCAACTAACCCAGACCGGTGTCAGACACAAATCACGTACACGACACAAACCACTCACGAAGACCACCACCGAGGACACCACCAAGCTGGCGCTTGTCGACAGAAGCAGGCAAAGGACCACCAGAGACAGAAAAGTCCGGGATCCCATCGGTCAAGTCCGCCAGGTCGCGCTTCTTAAGGGCACCACCAAGGATACCTTCAGCGACCCCAAGAACGTCACCAAGAGCTAGAAAAGCCCCAGCAATATCATCAGACCCTGCCCACTCCAAGCGTATTTAACGCCAACTTACGAAGGCCGGAAAGAGGGCTAGCAGGCTCAGGAGGCGGGTTGCTCTCTTGTCTCTTAAGCGAAGACACGATGGAGTCTGCAATGCCGGCGAAATTCTTCGAAGGGTTAGGAACGGTCGCCTCCAGCGAAGCTACAGACCAACGATTGCAGTATCAGCCTCAAGCCAGAAAAAACACAAGCAAGCACGCGACCACTTACGCAGGCGCGTCGGGGGAGTCGTGCCAGCAGGCTTGGCATCCAAAGGAATGGCAGCGATGCCCGAGGCAAGGATAAGCAGAGCGAAAGGTTTGTACATCTTGAAGTCTTGAAGTCTTGAGGCTTGGAAATTGAACGAGTGTGGGTTGACGTCAAAGGGCAGGGAATCTCACAGAGCGTAAGAAGATGAAGAAAAGAGGTGTACCATGGCACGTCCTCGCTTTATACCTGTGCAAACTGGGGAGGCCATCCCAAAGGATTCAGAAAGACATCCTGAAAAATGTGAGACCAAGAGAGCGAAGTGTATGCGCGTGATGCGGCCAGTGGTCTCAGAGTGAGGATAGACTCGGACCTTGAGTCGACGTTGTAGCTTCTTCCGCAGCTATTCGGTTACACGCTCAGGTCACTTCTGCAACGAATCGTCCAAGAAGCATACGAGAGCACATCATACGGAAAACGAGCGCACAAAATTGTGGTAGAATCCGTGATATATATTCCCGAATAAGATGGTAATAATCTATGGTCATCAAAGATTAAAAGTGTCGTTAACGTGGCCTAGCAGTGAAACTCTATAATCCTCTACTCGACGGAACTGTATGACCGAAGACGTGAATATACTGGATGATAGAGTCTGAATACATCACTTACGAGAGCTCCTTCTCGGAGGTGACGTGAATAGAAGCATGGTTCGGAACGCCGTTGATACGGTGATAGGCGTTCAGGTTCTTGTGGAGGGTGAGCTGGAAGACAGACGCGCTTCCTTGGCTGCATGTCTCACACATTAGCGAAAAAAGCTAGAACTCGAATGAAAGGATCACGAACCGAGAGATGATGGTCGAGTAAGCGAGGAAGAACACCCAGATGCGGTACCAGCGCTCGCCGTACTTCTCAACTACGCGTTCCTTGTTTGAGACCCAGTTCTTGTACCAACGCCAGATGGTAGCCGAGTAGTGGACACCGAGAACATCAATGTTCTTGACCTCGAAGCCAGCAGCCTCAACCTGGTTGACAACCCAGCCGAGGGAACAGCTGGCGTCCGCACCAGGGAAGACATACTTGTTCATGAACAGACCCCTGGACAAAGTTTAGAGATCGAGTGGGTACCGATAACTCGGACAGGACGTACCAAATAAGATCCTCGTACTGCCAATGGGGGCGGATGCCGGCGACCTGAAGGACAAAGACACCGTCGTCCTCAAGAAGGTCGTACATTTGCCTCATGAATGCACCGTAACGACGAATACCGACATGCTGACACAAAATCAAAACCAGTCATGACACGCGGTGCGTGTGAGGCACGTACCTCGGCCATCTCGAGCGACACAATCTTGCTGTAGTGGCCAGTGCCGCCGGGGATCTCACGGTAGTCCATACAGAGGATGCGAGCCTTGTCGGGAGTGCCACCGTTGTTCTTAATGCGGTCGTTACCGAACTTGGTCTGGTTCTTGCCCAAAGTGATGCCAGTGACGTCGCAACCGTAGTTCTTGTGAGCGTATGCCGAGAGAGTTCCCCAACCGCAACCAACATCGAGCAGACGGTCCTCGGGCTTGAGGTCGAGTTTCTCACAGACAATCTTGAGCTTGTTGTCCTGGAGCTCCTCGAGGGTCTCCTCGCGGGTGAGGTCCGTAACAACGCCGGAAGTGTAGATCATACGGGGACCCAGGAACCACGAGTAGAAGTCATCGCCTCCTGCATGAAAGTCTAAATCCTCATGCCCGGGACAAAAATAGACGAGGACACGTACGGTCGTAGTGGTCGCGGACCTGCTCCTCGTCCTGGCTCTGGGAGTGAACGATGACCTCGGGGATGAGGTTCATGAAGACGTATTTGAAGAGCTCGGGAGTCATGACCATCTTTGCCCAGTCGTGACGCTGCTCCATGATTTCGAGGACATCGTCTGATGAAATGGCGAAATATTGAGAACACGTAGTCAAAACATCTTGCACGATGTTGCTCACCTTTGAAGTCAATCTTGCCCTCGAAGTAAGCGTCATGGAAGACCTGCATGGGGATCTTCTCCTTGCCGTGGTACTTGGCCTTGAGCTCGGGGTCCTTGATGGTAATGTACTCCTCGATATCCTTGCCAGGCAGGGAAACCTTCTGGTTTTTACGAGGGCCGTACATGCTCATGACAGTCCAGTAGCCAACAGTGATGGGAACACCAAGGAGCAGAACCATGAAGACATAGGTCTTGAGCCCTCCCCGGTTGACGATGGGGATAAAACGCTTCACCACCCATGGTACGCCGAGAACGAGGGCGGCAAGGTGGAGGTTGTTGAAGGAACCATTGCCCTCCGCAAGGCCGACGTGCGGGGCATTCTTGATGGCGGGTGTTTCTGTCCTGCGCACGGGAGTGAAAGTCATGACGGTCGGCGTTCGAGGCGCGTTCAGACCTGAAAATTCTGACAAGTTGACGCGACACAACTTTTATTCCAGAAAGGAAATTTGTTTGACCATGTTTGCTTGCATACGCGCCGCAGCCACGAGCTTGAACGCGAACAGAACACGTCTCTTCAGCAATAAATACGTAACCTCTTGTCGGCTAAGCCATTTGTCAAGCGTACTTTATCCATAGGCATATTGTTTCTCTGTAGAGCTATGTGGTTTACTTGGCTATGTTGTACCATCAATTCTTCGACGAACAGGAAAGCGGTATCACGCCTCAACTGAAATGCGCGTTAGCTGCCGTCCATCTGCTCTCTGCAGGAGATCTTCACAGAGGCAATTACCGAGTGCCAGCTATAATTTAGCGGGGCACCGGCAAACGTCCATTGAGTAGCATGGCAGTCACCCATTCAGAAATCCTCATAACGAGCCCGGGCCGCTACTCAGCCGCCCTCACCACTTCTTGACGCAAGCGTTCAAAAGGCCACCACTTGCGTTTCTCTCGCATATCCTAGGTCAAGTGGGCGCCAAGATATCTCCTACAGTGCTTGCACACCGCAGACGCCGCTCGATGGGGGAAAAACGCAGACATCGAAGACACTGTTGATAGAAGGCTACGTAATGATCGAGTCGCATGCGCGAACGAAGGTTTCTTACAATTGAAGTAAAAAAAAAAATGGCACAAGAGGTGCACGAGAGATCGACAACAGTTGGCGTATGCTTCGTAGCTCAGAATTCAGAACAATGAAAATGGCCGAACGAAAACCACCGCGCTACTGATGAACATGAATATTGTTCCGATTGAATAGTGACCACAGGTGACCTATCAGATTTACCAAGGACCACACCACCAGACTGGTTGGGCGCGACAGGGCTTTGATTCTTCATGGCGTTGGAAATGTCGTCGAAGTTGTTGAACTACTCAACGTACTCGACGCACGGAATGCTCTTTACAGTAAACATATTTCCGAAAGTGTATATTGAACCATGGTTCGCGTCGTGAACCTAGTTGACTGGACTTCAGCGTTTAAGCGCCTCGTAGGCTCTAACTGCCTGCATTAGTGATTATAGTGGACCGTCCAGGATGTATGCAACTGGGCGAATACATAGTCTAGTCAATAAAAGCAAACACGAGTAACACTTTGCGAGAAACATAAGCATCATCTCGTCAAAGAACAGCAAAACGCACCATAAGCACCCCCAGCACCCCGCCTATTGCGTCTTCATAAAATTGGCGTCCTTTATCCGCTGCTGCCTATCTTTCTTCAGCTGCGCCTTTTCGAACAGACCTCCGGGCCCGTCATCCGGCAGCACCTTGGGCTTCTGTATGTCCCAGAGCCAGGGTGGGTACTCCTCGTCCGGGAGCGCAATGACTGGCGGCTGGCCCTTGAGGTAGTTCAGGCCCGTGAGCACCGTGTTCGCTGGACACGACGAGACATTCAGAGGCACTGTTTCGGAACAAGCATATAAGTTTCGGGTGCGCCGAAGTATCTGGGATAGCGCGCACCTTTTGGGGTAGCCTGAGCAGCAACGGTTGCACCTTCCGTCACCGGTTCCGCAGGGATCTTGGTCGCGTAAGACCGTGCTGAGCGTGAAAGCGTTGCTGTCCGTCTGAGTGCCGACCTGAAGAACATGGAGAAATGCGAAGGCGTCAAAGTCCGAGTCTGCTTGCGCGAAGGGCAAATTGCAACCGCCGCGACGCGCGCCTCACGTGGGAACTCGGTGGTAGTTCCGGAGTCCACGCTGCGGTCGAGTTTGTCTGGCGTGTCACTGAGTCTGCACACGCCCAGTCCATCGCGTCCTCCTCTCCACAGATAGTCCAACGATGGCAAACTACAACTCTGGCTCTCCTCCGCCTCTTCAGCATCCCGTCCCCACTCACCCCGCTTTTATTCCCGAACCTCCATCTACGCCTGGCTCACCACAGGGCTACCAGCGCTATGCGAGCTCTCCCCCCGCCCACGCCGTCCCAGGCATGCCCCAAGGCCCTAGCAGCGCGTTCGCCCAAGGTAACGGACGCTCACAATACGCTCAACCGCCATATCAACCCATGGGCAACATGGCCCAGCATCAGTCGCCAATGGGGCACATGCAGGGCAGCATCTCGCCCCAACAACAACACCCACACCAGCAGCAGCAGCTTCCCGATTTTGGCGCATGGGGGGTGAACGATGCGACCGCCCAGTTTGGCATGCAGCTCGGTCAGCACGCCGTCGCAGCTGGCCAGGAATACGTTCAGAAAAACGCAAGTCCACCCCTCACACCATCGTATCAACACGTTCAAAGTAACTCACCTATGAATATCTCTAGTTCGGCGGCGTCATCCCCCTCACGATGCTCAAGCACCATTTCAACGTCTCCAACTCATACGTGATCAAGAAACTCCAGATTCTCCTCTTCCCATGGCGGCACTCTCCCTGGTCACGCAAGATACGTCGGTCCGAGGCCGGTCAGACAGAGTGGCAGCCTCCGCGGGACGACATTAACAGCCCCGATCTCTACATTCCTCGTACGCACCCTCCTTTTTCTTAGTTCACGCTCGCAACCGCCTCTCGCTCATTGTAGTATGCTTGGGTTCTATTTTTCGGCAATCTAGTCATGGCGCTCGTCACTTACATCCTCGTCGCGGCATTCCACCTCGGATTGCAACAGCGCTTCCACCCCCAGGTCCTCGGAGCACTCGCATCAAAGGCGCTAGCCGTTGTGCTGCTAGACTTTTTGATCGTCAAGAGTGGCTGCTATCTGCTGAACGTGCAGGGCTCCGGCCAAGTAGTTGATCTGGTTGCCTATGGCGGCTACAAATTCGTTGGGTGCGCGACCTCCACCTTCGGCCCGAGCCAACATCATAATTGCTGACACCCATGCACAGCGTACTGTTGACACTAGTGGCGGGCCTGCTGCAATTCGGTGGAGTCGTGTACATGCTCGTATTCCTGTACGCGTTCTTCTCTGTCGCGTTTTTCATGGTACGTAAACACCACCCCCCATCATCATGCGCGCATCACCACTGCAGCGTGGGCTGTTCATGTGCTGACCTCGGATCTGATTACTTGCTTGCTGCAGCTCCGTTCGCTGCGCTCTGTGGTGCTGCCCGATGCGAACAGCAACGTGACGGTCAACCCCGCGCAGCGAAAACGTCGGATTTCTTTCCTATTCCTCGAGGCGCTGTCCCAAATAGTGTACATGGCGATCCTCGTTAGAGTCTAATCTTAGTACACCGAGGTCGAGGATGCGCTTTTGCGTCGGCGCGCTTGTTTGTCGTTTCTCTCATGTGCTTCCAATTTAACTCCCCGGATCAATACCCTCGGTCACTGGTTACTGTGATGTTCACCTAAGGTCGTCCAACAGCGAACATAGCCTACTCTTGACATGCGACAGGCCATGTGTGATGACCAAGGGATGATTGGATAGCTTTGTACATGCATCGTGACGCGACGTCTCGCGTCTGTGTACCCCATGCATGTGGTCAATGGCATTGCTCATGTCAGAAGGACCCTGAAAAGGCGTGGACTCAAAACTAGAATCGCGTATGACACAAAGTTGCGCTAGAAGCTCTGCGGCGCTGGGTGTGATGATTAGCATCCCACAAGGCTACACATGACCGGTGACCGCACACGCCGGAAAAGAGAGCCGAGGTGAAAACAAAAGCGATCGAGACGCGGAACAGATCGTCGGCTTCGGCGGGTGAGAACAAACGGATGCATTCCAGCAGGTCCTTCCTTGTTTGGCACCGACGCTCTTGTGCCTCTTTTTGTCTTTCTCCAACTTCCTCGGTCACCTTCGGTCACGCTTTTCTATGCCCGGTCGTCTCGTGGAATGTTTTTCTCCAGGTTTGTCTATTTCTACCGGCAACCGCCGGCACTGTCTCTTGCCGAAGCAGAAATGACATGTCATGTTTCTCTTCTTCGTGCAGACAATAGAATTTCCCTTAAACAGCCATGTTCTCCTCCCTAGCAGTCTTCTAACTTCGAACGTTCCAGCTGGCACATAGCCGAGAGTTTATTTACCCTGCCATTGTTCCACGACTCTGTCGTCACCGTCACCGTACTCATGTCAACGCTCGTAACGCTTCTAACATAATCGGCACAGATCCAAGCTCCAGCGACCCAAGCGACCGCATATACGCAGCACCCCACGTTTCTCTGATTGCCCCATGCATTTTTGGGGCACGTCCTCGTGCACGCTCGCATTCTCAGCGCTCGATACTTTTGCCTTGTGTCAGCTTGCGATCAATTGTCTCTCATCAACTTTCTAACCTCCAAAGGAAAACCACAAAGACTCCCCAAGCTCTCTCTTCATCCCGGCGCTCCACTCCTCCGAGGCAGATGATGCAAGACAACAATAGCACTTCCAACGCCTCATCATTCCGACTGACATGTCAATTATGAGTTGCGGAACCACTGACCCGGACGGATAGGCAGCGCCAACCTCACGGATATCTTCAGGGTGCCCGGTAGGCCCGGTATGACCAAGGATTCTCGAGTCAACTGCGTCGCTCGGCACACAGCCGCGTCGACTTGGATCTCGATTTCCTCTCGTCGCTCGGGAAACTTTAATGTCCACAAAAACTCTATGTTTCATTACCCTTCGATTGATGCCGCGGTCTGCCTCGACATAAATACCCGGCTACAGCCTCTCCTCTGACGTCCCACCACTGGTCGTTTCCCCCTCGTTTCTCCTGCCTGCCTGCCCTGCGGGCTTTTCTCTCTTCGTACATACGTATATACTCCCTTTTGCCGCGATGCTCTCTCCCTCCGTACTCGCTGCGCCCGTCGCAGTCGTGGCGCTCATTGTACTATACGCCCTCAAGCAGAAGAAGCGTGATGGGCTTCCCTACCCGCCGGGCCCGAAGCCCCTGCCCTTGATCGGGAACGCCCTTGATCTCCCTCTCAAGAACGAGGCGCGCGTCTACAATCAGTGGGCCAAGCAGTATGGTATATCCATCCCCAAAGTTATCGCCGTGTCAGGCCGACGCTAACGCTAAATACAGGCGATCTTGTTCATGCAAACGTCCTCGGACGTCACCTAGTCTTCATCAACTCCGCGCAGATCGCCAACGACCTCTTCGAAAAGCGCTCTGTCAACTATTCCGATCGCAACGAGTTGCCCATGATCAACGACCTGTATGTCTGTTTTCGCCTATTTTTTGACCGTCTAAAATCCCGCGACTAACTTCCTTTCTCCGTTTGCTAGTATGGGCTGGGACTGGAGCTTCGGCCACATGCCCTACGGTAATTCTTCTCTTTTGTTTCCGCGGTAAATTCTAAACCCACCGAACTGACGCTAAACCCATTCTCCAGGCGACCGGTGGAAGAAGCACCGCAAGATGTTCGAGAAGCAGTTCAAGCCCGCGGTCGCTCCCACGTACTGGCCCATTCAACGCAAGGAGGCGCACGCCCTCATCCGCAACCTCCTCGACTCGCCCAACGATCGCCAGGAGCACCTTCGCCAGTGCGTACAGCCGTCAGCAAACTAAACGACAATAATCATCATTGCTAACTGATCCCATCTGTCCATAAACTGGTCACAAAAAAATACAGAAACGCAGCCAGTGTGATCATGAACGTCATCTACGGCATCCAGATCGCACCCCAGAACGACCGGTACATCGATATCGCCGAGGAAGCCCTGGACGGCATGGCAAAAGCCGCAGCGCCTGGCGCGTTCCTCGTCGACATCCTTCCCGCCCGTGAGTCTCTATGGACTGTCACCGCTCTCCAGTCCCGCTAACAAGCGGTCGTCACACTCACACAGTGAAGCACGTCCCCGCGTGGATGCCAGGCGCCGGGTTCCAGACCAAGGCCGCTGCGTGGAAGAGGGCCGTGCTCGAGATGCGCGACGCGCCCTTCCGGCATGTCATCAACGCCCTCAGCCAGGGCAAAGCGTCCCCATGCTTCGTCTCAAACCTCGTCAGCGACGTCGACAACAAACGCGGCGACGCCGACGACCAGCTCGAGACCATCAAGGGCTGCGCCGGCCTCGCCTACGCCGGTGCGCACACCTCCCTCCTCTCCCCATTTCTCCTTGATTATTGAAACGGTGAAAACTCGCAGCCGGCGCAGAGAGCGAAGTTTCTTCTCTCTCCTCGTTCTTCCTCGCCATGGTTTTGCACCCCGACGTGCAGCGCAAGGCCCAAGCCGAGATCGACACCGTCATCGGCGCAGGCCGCCTGCCCGACTTCGAGGACCGCGCCTCGCTCCCGTACATCAGCGCGATCGTCAAGGAAGTCCTCCGCTGGAACCCCGTCGCGCCGCTCGGCCTGCCGCACATGGTCACGAACGACGACACGTACAACGGCTACTTTATCCCTGCAGGAACCACGGTCATTGGAAACACCTGGTAGGTGGCCGACATCAAAAGTTTCGTCGAGGAAAGTGATCTCATTGTATCATGTTTGGGGTTCAGGACGATTCTGCATGACGAGCGGAACTACAACGAGCCCTTCCGCTTCTGGCCTGAGCGCTTCCTCACCAAGGACGGCAAGAGCCTCGACGAGAGCGTCCTCGACCCCGCCACCGCCGCGTTCGGCTACGGCAGACGGTAAGCTATACCTACAATCTTCTCGTTCAAAGTATTCTGACATATCCATCGCACTAGCATGTGCCCAGGACGCTTCATGGCCGATGCCCAGCTCTGGATATCCGTCGCTTGCATCCTCTGCTCGTTCGAAATTAAGCCCGAGGTCACCGAGTATGGCGTACCCAAGAAGATCGAGGCCGCTTTCGAGTCTGGCATGATCTGGTACGTGACCCCTTTTTCTCGAAACTATTCACAAAATCCTAACGCGCCCTATAGCCACCCCTCTCCCTACAACTGCCAGATCATCCCCCGCTCCGAGAAGCACGCCGCCGTCGTTAAGCAGACTGTTGACCTGACCGGGTGAAGGCACCATGACCTGTCTCTTTTCTATTCTTATTATTTATCAGTCGTCACCCCCTTCGTGCACATACCACATGCACAAACCCTATCTGTATACCACCTCTTCGATCTTTCGTTCTTGCCTTCGCCCTTATATCTTCCCTTTCGTTCTCCTGGTACATCTTACATATCCTAAAGCTGTAGCAGCTCTCTTTGGTACATATAATTATCTGTAGCGGTATTTGACAATGCAATGTATATATGCTGACGTGGCCTAGCGCCTTTTACGACGTTCAGCTTTTCTATCCTCTCTGCCGTGAGGTGATCTTGAGCAAGAGGCCCGATCCCATCCTCTCCAGCTCATCCTTGATGGCTTGCTGGTTAAGAATGACGAGGTCTTTACTCTTTTTCTCCTGGGAAGGCTGCGGGAAAGTATCACTATCAGACTATGCTGACCTCAAGTAGATGAAAGGGGTTTCACATACCTCTGCCGGCGCACTGGAGAACCCACCCAGCGCTCGGAACGGCCGCGGTTCGCTCAGGCCTGGCAACCAGATAGCACCTATCCGATCGCCCCCAAGCGGGTCATAGAAGAACTTCAATGTATCCGCAAACGTCCGCTATAATTCACAGTCAACATCACCGGGGCTACGCGCTGAAAGTATTTACACACCTGTATGTCGTTGAAGAACATCCAAGCAGGATCAAACCCTGGCCCAGTCACAGACTCCTCGTCCGCGATACCGCCCTTTCTTGACCATACTGCGGGATTGGCTTCGATGTTCTGGTAATAGCGAGGCAGGACAGCGGGGTTCATGTGCAGAACGAGATGGTAATCCTCAGTCGGGTGTTCGAAAAGACCCTTCGAAAACGATTGACGTTGGAGAAATAAACTAGGCAAAAAAAGCTTACCTTGACATTGATTTCAGCCCCATCGTTCTGCGTCCAAGTTGTCCACGCCGCCTTTGCAAGTGCCCGCACTCTACTAGCAGCAACTAAATCCGGACCGTTGGCAGTCCACATATGCCCCGAAGGATCCGCATCCGTGGCAATCGTCCAGACACCATGTTTAGAGCCCAACGCGACCACCCGCGGCCCAGAAGTTGATGCCGATGCCTTGGTAGTCTCATATAACGGGACGAAGAGCGGCTCCTCCCAATTCCACTCCATCAAGAACTGAAGGACAGTGGCGAACCCTCGCTCCTTGCTCTGCGGCACGACGACATTGTCTGCAATACCCGCCTGGGAGCTCGTCTCCACGAAGAACTTCGCGCAAAGCAGCTCCGCTGCTTCAGGCGTGACATGCGACCCCAGAAGCCAGTGAGATGCCAACCACCGCTTGACCAGTCTGACTGTCCCCGCATAAGCGGTAAACCGGTGACACAAGTTCGCAACGGCCCGATGGTGGCGCGGCGCGTGGACGAAGCGCCGGACATACACATTTTTTGCCTCCTTCGCCGCCTGCACCTCCTTCGGCCTGGTTTCTACCTGCTGAACAGCCGCGAGCGCTTTGGGAACATTGCCCGCCTCGATGATACGGTCCAAAAGCGTCGCCTCGCGGTCGTGCCATATCCGCGCAAGGAACGCCCACCCCTCTGGCGTCACGATCTCCAGCGCAGCCTCGTCCTGTAGACCCATACCCGACGCCTTCCCCGGCTCGCCAACAACCACTCGCACAGTCGTGCCTGGCACTTTCTGCATCAGTGCCCCCGCGAGCGCCTCAAAGAAAGCGAGCTTGATCTTCTGGATCGCACGCAAGTCGTCCGGCCACTTTGCCGATTTCTCAAACTCGAGAACGATCTCCATCGCTGGGAAATACCGCACGGGCTCCGGCAGTGCCAACGACGCCGCAGAGGGCAGAGGAAGTGGGCTGAACGCGCTCGTATGCCGGAGGTGCTCCGAGATCGGACTAACGCCGAGCAGCGCGAGCGGCAGTTCCTCGTCCATGCTCTTCATGTTCTTGACCAGCTCGTCGAATGCGCCTTGCGCACCCTTGAACCCAGCCTGCGCCGCATTTGGCCCATGCAGCTCCAGCACGGACTGCGGGACACGCAACAACGCATCGTAGTCCGCATGCACCGAGCGCACATCCCCGGCTTGCAGTTTCAGATGCCGCTGCACGAGGTGCCCCGTGATCATAGCCGGGATATGCGACCGTTCGTCGGAGGTCTTCACGTTCCAGACAACGCTCTCCATGATCCTGCCGTCCTTGAACCGTCGTAGCTCGGCCTTGTCCCCCCACAGCCGACGGAACTCGCGAGCCGCCTCCGTTTCTTGTTCTTCCACGGACGGGCCGTGATCGACGAGTCTGAATGCGTTCTCCGAGTGGAAGATGAGGCCAACGTAGACATGTGACAACCGATGGGCTTGTGCTTCCGTCAGCGGCCGACTAGTTGAGGGCGGGTGCATCATGGCGACGACCTTGACGCGATCTCCCAGACCACGGTGTAAGACATCATCCAGCATGGCTAGCATAGCGTTGTCAAAGTTCCCATAGTCCACGAGCTTATATGCTGACTGCACTGGGGATGCATCTCCCAAGTTGACACTGAAAATAGAATGAGACTCATGGCACGACCAAGAGTGCTATGTTATGCTTACCGAACAACAGCATCGAATCGGACATGCGAGTGGTTTTGATCCTTCATGTACGTCTCATTGAAAGAGTGCTCGGATGAGGAAGCATTACCGAGCGTGTCGAGGGTCACTTTGGCATCGTGGCTAAGCTTGACGAACGTCAGCTTTAAGTTGTGAAAGCATCAGCATATCCCGCTCACCAACTCCAATGATCCTATTGGCACGTCCGCCAAAAGATTGACCATTGACGACGAATCAACAAATACGGCAGACTCCCCAACACTGTACTCTTCCGGTGGGAACTAGAGATTTGTCAATTATCTATTCCGACTTTCGTCAGCATGAATTTCAGCTCACCCTATGCCCATTCTCACTCTTCGCGAAAGTCCTAGTCTCCCTCCACGGATGCCGGGCTATCACAAGCGAGCACCATATCAGCACACCCACCCACAACCAAACCATCAACGCAACCACGCTCACTTGCCTAAGAAATCCAAAGCCGCCCTGAAAAGCTGATACGAGCTCAGCCCCCTCCCGAGCGCCGCCCTCTTCCCCATGCCCATACCCCTCTTCCCGCCCCCTTCGACCGCCTCCTCGCCAAGCACCATCATAAATAACAACGACGCCCACCACGCACCCTTCCCCTCGAATCCCCTCACGCACAGCCCACCCGTCTCTGCGCCGGCAGCCGCAGTGTACCCGCGCTGATTCGCCCATATACGGAGGAGAGCATACGCGTCTGCGAACGCGGGTGCAGCCTGCTTCAATTGGTGGGTGGCCAACAGGTGCAGTTTCGGGAGTCCGGCGAGCAGGATCGCGGTGTTGTACCGGGGTGTAGGGGGTGGTGTCGATGTCTCAGGCGAAGAAGAGGATGAGGGAATGCGGACGTTGGCATGCGACGGCGCCAGGCGGTGAAGGGGTATTGGGGCGGACGAAGGAAGGACGGGGATGATGCGTATTTCGGCATTGAGTTTGGAGAAATCGAGTTCTGGTTTTACAATACCTGGACATATCTCAGCGCCATTTATAAAGCTAGAAAGTTAGTGACAACGATACCTTTTTGTGGCCTCAGCACCAAGATCGTCAAGCGCGGGTCGCCCAACGGTGCACTCCAGCATGCCTCGACGCCTAGCTTGTCTTGCACGAGTGAAGCAATGACTGACAGGTAGTAGTTTCTCTTATGGAAGAATCTCCCGTCCAGATAGTCTTTCTCCTGGAACAGTTCCTTGAAACCTCATCAGTCCCAACTTCATAGGTGCACCACCAAGCAGAAATTCTGTGAGCTCACCTCGGACATCTCCACGCACACATCCACCCCGTACGCCGGCTTGCCTTTCCTCGCCACACTAAGCCCCGTCGGCCAGCTCCCAGCAAGGAACACATCGCTGGGGGGCTCGAACGCGACCTTCCACTTCGCCTCGCGCGACGGTGCCGGGAGCGTCCACGGCACGCTCACAGCCACCCCGGTTCTAGCGTTATCCCCCTTCTCTTTCTTGCCCACCTTCTTCTTCTTTCCCTTTTCCTTCGCCTTCTCCACGTCCTGGTTCGCATGAGCAAGCTGCCCCAGCGCGAGCTTCTCGCCAGCCTCGACCGGGTTCATCGGCTCGACGCTGGGCAATGCCATGAGCACAGTATGAAGTTCGTGCAAAAAGCGCTCGAGAGGGAGCTTTCGCGAGTCTTTTGGACGAACGTGCGGGAGTAGCTCGTCGATCTGTCAAGACACAGCATAGTTTATGTGTTGGTAGGACACGAAACAAGTAAGAGGGGACGCACCTGCAACTTGAACGCGCCGGAATGATAAAGCTCTCTTGCGTCTTTGATCCGCCTGAGCTCCTCCCCAGTCGGCGGTTTCTTTGCGCGCCATTCCTCGCCTCCCTCTCCTTCCTCGCCTTCTTCATCATCTCCCTCCTCCTCGTCCTCCTCGTCCACACCACCAGCCTCGCCAGTATCTTCAAGCGACTCAGGTACGCCATACCCCTCGTTGAGATCGTCGTCGCCGTCTTCCTGCCCAAACCCGGTGAACATGCCTGCATCAAGGTCGCTGTCCTCGTCCGATCGCATGTCCTCGTCCGATCGCATGTCCTCGACTATCGGCGGACGTACTTTCTACACCAGTATAAGCACCCACTCACATGCTAACGAATTTTCTATCGTACCTTGCTCCCATTACTGAGTGGTGGTGCACCGGAGCGCTTCCGCTTGAGGTTCGCCATAATGAGCCCTTAGCAATTTTGGTCGTGTCCTGACGAGACACAGTCGTGTAGAAGATTCAGGTGATCAAACACCTTTTAATCCTGGATATGAAAGATTATTTTCTGCCACCTGAAGCCTGGCTTGATTAGTTACACATACCTGGTGTGCTTGTAAATGTCAAGCAAGACTCGAGATCCAAAAAATACTCGGAAGTGCCCGACTTCCGATGATCACAGGGGTTTTTCCATCTACAGAAGCTTAGCCCCTGTCTGCAAGAGATTCTTCATCTCGACTGGAGACGATATCATTGAATAACCTACAACATACTAAAATCGATCACAAGAGTGTCTTTCTCGTTAACGTCACGAGATGGAGGTGCCACGGTGTTTAGACGCTACGTGTCTACAAATACTTCGAGCTTTATGTCATATGTACCAATCCCGTTGGCCATCAAGGACAGCTCGAGTTACGTTGAATTTGAAACAGGGTCTGGAGTAGCTCGCTTTGATACCATATAAAACGGCATACCGAAGAGTAGAGACTCAGAGATAACACGGGATAGAATAAAGCCACCAATTTGCGAGCGGTTGGTCACAGAACAGACCATAAGAGAATTTGATAGTGTTTTAATATCATGGCGAATGAATGTTCACGACAACATCAATCTCTACACTAAGGCTGAACCTTCCTGGGAGGGAAATACTTCTGCAGAAGCTCTAGGTAATCTACGAGCCCACGCTCATAATGCACAAGAAACTGCTTTTTGAGGGCGTCGTGGTCGTGGCCGTTCGCGTCTAGATACTCTCTCCAGTTTGCATCTAGATGACGCAGTCTCGTTCGCCACTCAATGAGGAACTGTTGGCAAGAAGGGAGGAAAGACCCATAGGCTTCGACTTTCATTTTGTAGAGTGCGGTGATAGGATCGGAAACGACGGCGTCTCTGTCGTTGGGGCCGCCCGCAATGTTTGTGCGCAACGATGCGAGGTCTGGTGGTATTGGTCCCTCAAACCTGTGCCATACCGCCGCCCAGACCGCAACAAAGAAAAATGACCATGAATCATCGATCGGAGAATGGAGATAAGAGTTCCCCTTCTCGGCAGCCCTGATCAGGCCAGTCGACATGAATTCAGCGGTGCCCTTGGGAGGAAATAACTCAACGAATATATCTCGAGATAGAAATCAAACCACCTACTGAGCGCGATGCCGTCCCATCCTCTTTAAAGTTGTAACCGCTGAGGTTAATGGATAGGTCCCCGTCGATGACAAAACCTTTGCACTTGTCGTCGATCTCAAGCGCTTCCAGGAGTTCTTTGATCTTCTTGAGAGTCTCTGCGCGTTCGCCTATCTCGCCCCGCCGCTGAGGCGAGAGCAAGTCGAGTACCTTCTGCAGAACGGATTCCTTCCTCTGAGCGGCCTTGCTCAGAAGCACATTGCCAATGCTGATATCACGGTGCTGAAAGCCCTTGCGCAACATGTTCCAATACCCTAGAAATAATAAGTCAACGAGGCCAATTCTCCGCTTCCGAGGACCGAGGAACAATAATGTACCCAACATTGCGTGAGCGATGGCCGTGAAGAGCTCTTCAGGTGACTCAGCCGTAACGAGAGAAACGCCGGCAAAATTGGAAACGTGTTGCAGGAGCACTCGGCGTTCTTTTGAAGTCTTCTTCTCATCGCTCGTCAAGTTGAATAACTCCCAGCGCGTAGCAAACTCTAGGAAGAGATGGTTGGTCGCGGGAAGATCTTCCTGGTGGTGAACTATAGATGAGTAGTAATGCTTGGCGACGCCAAACTCATCTCCGCATGCCCCAAATAAATCTTTCTCTGCGTCGAAATACCGCGAGGACACCCAGGAGCACTTGCTCACAAGATCGAGCTTTTTGTTCGCGAAGATATCTTTGTCTTTTGAAAGATAATCGACGCGCTGTCGTATGGAGCGAATCTCGCTCTGCCGTAGAGGGGCTATCGTCGTGAGTGATCGGAAACAGGATGAACGTGACCCTATATTGCATCGGAGGAAAGACGTACTGGCTGTTAGGTGGGCAATCATATTACCATGATTATCTCCAGTTCCACCACCACTGGCATTAGTATTGCTAGTATCGGACGGTTGGGTGAAAGGAGCGTCATTTGTACGGGAACCGTCATCTGTACAAGGGAGACCGCCATCTGTACGATTTTCCGACGATCAGTCAGAGTAAGACGATGAGCATTCGACCTAAACATACCCAATTTTGTACGTTTATTCTCCGAAGCAACAGCTTCATCCAAATGGCGTTTTTTGCTAGCTGAGATGCCTTGTGTCATCGTAACTGGAATCGTTGCCGCCGAAGCGTCAGATTCGGAGTCCCCATCACCCGCATCAAACCATAGGCGCCAAATTTCGGGACATCTGCCCCGTACAGCCAACGTTCTTTGAAGAACTTCCTTGATCCTGAGCTTGGCCACATGTCCGCCGGCCTCACGAGGGAGACAACAAGCGCTATGATCGCACCATTCGGGCAGTCCTGCATCGCCTCGTGTTTGCCAGGTAAGGATAGCACAGAAAAGGCGGAGGATCTCCTTGCGATCGTTTCTGTCGTCTATCTTGAGGGCCGTAGACGCTGTAAGGCCGCCGGAGTGATAAACCAGGAAACGGAGCTCCTTGTGGACGTGATGATAACCTAGAACCAGCGAGTATTGTCGCAAGGGGACTGCATAGAAAAGCCCGCGCGAATATGTCGCGGCCTGAAGGACTATTCTTGGCCAAGACTTGCTTTTGACCTCAACGGGAATGAGAAGCTCGCGGAGTTTCTTGCCATCTTGGGCTTCATCGGAAGGAATCCATGAAAACTTCTCGGGAGGAACCTCTTCAGCCTTTTCTCGAATATACCCGGCTAAGTCAGGACTGATTTTGGAGACGTCACCTATGCCATCGCTGAGTTCTTTATTGTACGGTATGAAGGACAGCATGCTGTAGAAACGGTTGTCTATCTCGTCTGTGAGTTTGAGGGCGACCTCGAGGCAACACCGCAACCACTTAGCGAAGGAAAGGTAGTGCAAAGTTTCTGAGGCGGAGGGGAGGGGGAAATGTACGCCAGTCTGAAGCGTCTGAAGCGTCTCAACGGCCTTTTCCAGCTTGTCATCGTCAACATGGAGGTGAACGTCATAGTGGTTTATGGAGTCTGGTAGGTTCTTGCTGAGCAGAGGAGCACTATCCTTGCGAGACTTCCTGGAGAGGGCACGGGCAAGATGTATGGGTTTCATTTCCCATGTAGCACCCCGGAGCTCACTGCGCATCATCTTCTCCAAACCATTCTTATCAACAGCCTTCTGAGTGACTTGCTGAAGGCGATTGCTGTTTGGTTTGGGAGCGCGTTTGAGACCGTTGGGAGGGGCGCTGTTAGGACCGTGGTAGGGATCGCCGTAGAAGCTTTGCCTGTGCAACTTTTTGGCAGGCGTGCGCGATGAAGGTGCTGGTACCGGCGCAGGTGCAGATGTGGGGCGTGGAGCATCGGCCATGATTGCACCTGAGGAGAGGTTGAGCTGATTGACGAGAAACGGGGCGCGTTGTTTGACCAAGTTCGGAGGTTCGGCGCTTTTAGGCAATACAATAACAGACAACAAATGCTACAATGTCAACGTTTCAACAACCACCTCAGTCCGCTAGCATTCGGAACTATTCCTGAGCGCGCGTGAGCCACCAATTGGCGAATAGCTAGTAGTAGATAAGCAGCGAATGATTCATTCGGTCGAGTCGTCTACCGTGCCACCGCTCGTCCTTAACTAACACTTGGGCTGGATATCAAAGCAGTACTAGCCGTTTGCATCAATATAAGATGAATGTTCACGCTGCTTTATCCTGGCCGTTCTCCGAGTCGCTTGCCCTCATGCACATGGGTAACCTCTCACTTGTCTTATGAAGTCACCCAAAGCCAGCGGGTGCCAGCACCTTATTTGTCAAGTGTCGTGGGTACTTTCTTTTTTCCAACCGTTTCTTTAACCTCAATGCCATCGAGCTAAAGATACCACAATAGCTATAGCGCTCTTTGTGCCTACAAATTGAAGTGGCTAGTGAAACTCCAAGCCTTCCTGCGACATATGCACGCAATCTCGGATTAGTCTAGTCAATGAGAGCTAGCGCTCACTATTCGCCGTCCGAGCCCCACGGACTTTGAAATAAGGTCTTAAAAACTCTCGAGATCATCGAGAACGGAGTCTAGGATTATCGGTCAGCTCTATATTTTCCGACGTACTATCCAATACCATTACTAACTTAAAGCTCAAAGGCGAGCAAGAATATTGCTAATGCAGTGGCATTTGCGCATGCTGCTGCAAGCTTGCGTCCGTCAGTCTACGAATAACGTTCCTAGCTCCGGCCATCAGTAAAACCGTAAACTTCTCGCCAGCCCTGTGACCTTGTGGCAAGGTGATAATACATCATGTATACCACAAAACCCGGCATTGAATATTCGAATCGTAAGAGCAACAGTCTGGGGATACTCCTGGATGACCGAATGAAGCCAATTTCTTTGCCTTGCGGTCCGGTCTTACCAGTAGTAAACGATAATCCTCGCGAGACACCTGTCTTCCTTCGGATCCAGGGATACTAAAATTGATCACAAATCATCCAGTTATTCATACTCTACTCGTAAAAGTGGCCCTCAAAAATAAAATAATAAAGTCGCCTCCTAGTCGTCAATCACAATGACCTCTGACCTTCCTGATATACTCGTTCCCGTTCCACCGCCGCCAGGCTCAACCCTCTGCCTCACATTACGGTCTTCCAAAATCTCGACATCCGCATCTCTGCCTTGATGCTGTGGATTCCGCTTGCGCTTCGCCTCTGCCCTCGTACTGCTAGCCGGCCGGCCGCTTTCATCGTCCGAGTCCTCTATCACGATAGCACTACCAACCCCCGACCTCGACGGACCAGCGGCAGGCGTGGCCGTTCTCGAGCCAGGTACCTCCACCGGCCTCGTCCTAATCGCGCCCACACTCGCACTCAAGCTTGGTCTCGATCCGGCAGCATGCGCGGCGATATAATCCCTCGCCCGCGAAGCCAAAATCGCCGCCGACGACCGCTGCGTCCTCGCAGCAATATTATCTATCGTGAGCGGAGGCAGCGGTCCCGACGCAGCTGCCATTGCAGCACGGGAACCCCGCGTCCGTGCCGACTGATTCGAGCTCCCGTTCATAGCCGAAGATGACGAGGAAAACTGGCTCCGCGCTCCTGGCTTCGCATACAGGTCTGTCCACTCCTTTGCCGTGCGGTCGTGTTGCTGCCTGTTTCGGACGTATTCCGTGGCAATCGAGGGAACTGAGTGAAACGACCATCGGAGATGAAAGGGATTAACGATAACCCAAGACATAGATTTTGTGCACTCACCAAGCGGATCCGCTGTATCATAGACCGCGTAAGCGCAACGTGCCGGGAGACGGTACATAAAATACTCACAGGGGTTTGGATCGGTCAGCAGCGAACTGAGCGAGAGCATGACTTTAAATAGTGACAAAGCCGGAGACCAGTTGCCCTTGAGAATGTCAATGCATATACTTCCTCTGTCCGAGATATTCATATGATATATCCTGAGTGTCGCAGAGAAAGACCGAGAAACATTATGACGCAAAGTGACGAGATCCACGGTAAGCAAACAGCCACTGTATATAAATTGTGCAGCGTACCTGGTGAGGAAGATGACTTTGGGTGCTGAGAATCTACACACAATACATGCATTTAGCCGAATTTCAGGGGACAAGGTACGACTAAGGCACTCACGGATAATCGTGCCCCAGCACAATTTCGAGCTTGAAGACACCGCCCTCGTACGGGCTGCCCTGTGGCCCAGGAATGGATGCTGACCAGCGAAAGAGGCTTTCGTCTGAAGGAGCCAAAGTCATGGTGCCGAGATCCTCTTTCTTGGAGTCGCTGATTTCTCGGTGGATGCGCTTCATGGTCATCTAAGCAAGGTGAGTAAAGATGAAGAAGTTAGGCTAGTAAAATGCGTACTGGAGAAGGAGTGGGCGCCATGTCGTCTGCAAGAAATGAGGGGCGTGCGAGGGAGAAGGGGAAGTGTCAGCTTGTGGCTGTCTGTGTATGAACCCGACCTTGCGCCGGCGCGGACGAGGTAGCGGCATAGTCACGTGCTCTACTTTTCCCCAAGTGGACCAATTATGACTTGGTCGACTCATCCAGTTCCTCCTCTTTCTCCTCCTCCCCATAATCCAGCAACATATCTCGAAAAGCCGAAATGATCCCTCGAATATACGCTTGAACATATAATTTCTACCTCCTCGTCATCTTCATTGTTTTATTTTGAATTATAGCCACATAAACCCTATCATGTTTGGCGAAAGCGAGTCCGAGAGCCCGAGAGTTCCTTCCCCCTGGGACACCCTCACCTCCGCCTCTCCCTCTTCCTCTCCCCGCTCTCTCATCCCAACAAGCCCAGTCCCCAAACTCGTCCCAGAAGTAGAAGAGGTGAGCTCCGGCCTTGCTTAAATCCACTGACTCATCCTGACCACCGTACAATCCCAGGGCAACATCGAGTACAAACTCCACCTCATCACCCCCACCCCCTCCCGTTTCGCCCGCCTCGTCACCCAGCTCAAATGGCGCCTACTCGAGGGCGGCGGCCAAGCATATTATGAGCTCGGCGTCGCCGACTCGGGTGCCCTCGTCGGTCTGCCACGTGCAGAGCTCGAAAGCTCCCTCGAGACGCTCGAAGAAATGGCCGGCGAGATCGGCGCCAGCGTCGTCGTCGTCAAGGAGATCGAGGTCCCCGCCTCCCTGGCCGAGATTGTGCGCAAAGAGGACGGAACTGCTCAAGACGGGTGGGATCCCTCTCGTGACCCCAAGCTCAGGGCCTTCGAAAACGGACGCGCTGGCAGAAACCTCAGGCTGGAATACGCAGAGACAGAGGAAGAGTCTACCACTACTACCACCACTGGCTCTACGTCTCCGGAGGACACAGAGACGGACCTCACCGAGCCTGACGAGTGCGTCGTGCAGGCGGACGGCGCTACCATATTCACCATGGACTTGGACTCTGCCAACTCCTCTGCGCCCTCCCTCGAGATCGAGATCGCATCGGTGTACAAGCCCCGCCCTATCCGGCGCCGCCCACCGGCCTCTCCTACGCATGACAAACGTAACAGGAACCGGAACTACCCAGCCCACGGAAAGAAGAAATGGACGCGACCAAACCAGAATCTGCCTGCGAGCACCGAGTCAACTGCTCCTATCGACGTGAAGCAGCCTCATACGGACGCGCCCATTGAGAAACCCGAGCACGCCAAAGTCCAGCGACGCCGGCGGAGGGACGCACGGCGCCACGCTAATACGCTGCTCACGCATATCGACACTACTAGTGCGACCACCACGACGATGTCCGTAGCCGAAACGGCAACGACTCAATTTGTGGACGATGCATCGCTCTCTGCCGTTGTGTCAGGCCTCGAGTCGCTCCACGTCACGATCGACCAGACCTCCATAAGCCCAGTTGAAACCACTTTGGCCGACCTTGACCCAGTCGTTGCTCGTTCCGAGTTCCCTGTGTCCACAACCTCTGCTTGCATTGCGACTAAGGCGACCGAAGTAGTCGCGATTCAAGGAGACGAAAGCGCCATTGAGCGTTCTGCGACCGTGCTTGTCGAAGACATCAGGCAAGTCCGCCTGATTGTCGAGGCTCTCGTCGTGCGCAAGCTGTCCTTGGAGGAAGGGTTCCTCGATTTTGGGGGATTTGCTGTTGAATAATAAAGCCCGCCCGGTTGTCTCATACTCGCTTTCCTCCCACCCCGCTATACTCAACTCAATCTCTCGTAAAACCTTACTTTATTCCTGTTTTGCTATTCTTCTGTTGTATATTATCTTGTAAACTTGCGACTTTGTCTGGCTTTATCCATTGGGGGACTCCAGCGATCAATGTTTTCTATCCTATCCTACCGAGTTTCTCAGTTGCTACAGGTATCAAGGACAGTGTACGACGTCTGTTATTATTCATATACGAGTCCCAAATTTGAGTTTTGTGCATCTACCCTTGAGCTCATCCTGTTGCAAAAACTACTAAGTTTTAGTTGTATTCATGGACTCCCAGACCCTGTCCCCGACATCCTCCATAACGCCCCTCCATGTCTTCTCGCCTTCTCCTTTTCCCTGTCCACTATTCGACCCGCTCGACGTGAGCATGAATGGCACGCCACGGTCTCCGCCACCGCTCACGCCGCCCACGATAGGCAGCGCACCGAGCACATCAACACCCATACGCTTCGCGGTGCGCGTGAATGCGTCCGAAGAGCCAAATATCTCGTGCGGTGTGTCGCAGTTCGAGCAGTAGAACGCGGATTGGTTCAGCAGTGCGCCGATAATCTGCCAAGGAGCCAGTAAACACACCAACCCAAGCACTGAAACAAATTGAACAGAAACGCACAGGCACCCCAACCTTCCTAAACATCCCAATGCCTCTTCGCACATCCACAAGCGCGACGTCCTGCGGCGTCGACACAATCACCGCGCCGTCCACGTTCACAAGTTGCCCCAGCGTCAGCGGAACATCGCCCGTCCCGGGCGGCATGTCCACCACCAACACGTCCAGCCCCTCTCCTCCGTCGCTCCCGCTCGCCGAGGCCGGCGAAAAGCCCCACTGGCCGGTGCGCCAGTCGACGTCAAACAGGAGCTGCTGCACCGCCTTCTGTACCATCAGCCCGCGCCAAACGACGGCCGGCTCGGGTGCAGGCTCGGGCTCGGGATCGTCGGATGTAGGTGCGGGTGCGGCGGGTCTAGGGAGGAGAAAGCCCATGGACATGCAGGGCATGCCGTGGTTCACCAGTGGGCGGAGTGCACCAGCTAAAGCCGATTTAGTTCGTGTTCGAGTTTATTGAATACGCGTAGGATGTACGCACCGGCGGTCAACTCGGGCTCCTCGCTTTCCGTAAGGCCCATGAGCGTCGGGATGCTGGGCCCGAACACGTCGAGATCGAGGACGCCCACGCGCAGTCTGCGCTTGCCTCCTTCTTGCCCTGGCACGTACGTATTCCGGGGGTTGAGCGCAAGCGAGAATGCGAGGTTCACTGCATGGCATAATATGAGCCTCGCAAAATACATAGGATGCAAATGTGGTGTGCTGACCAGCGACTGTACTCTTGCCTACACCACCCTTTCCACTCGCAACCGCGATGACTTTGCGTGCATTCGGAATGGACCGTTTGACTATGCCGCCTCTGCGGGGCATCTGCGGAGGCACTGGCTGGCCTGAACGCGGTAGACCCTACTAGCATGAGGATAGTAAATGAGCGGATGCGCCCAAGCAGAAGCGCGACTTACTAGAGGATTGTCATGACCGCCCGAGTGCCACCTCACTGCTGCTGGCGAAAAAATAAGTGGACGAGTTCTGACTGCACAAAGCATCATCATAAGCAAAAGCAAAAGCAAAGGCGTGTGCACTCCGGACCGACCTTATGCGTCACATGACCTCCCCGCCCTCCCAAAAGTTTCTGGTACAAGTCTCCGCCATCCCGCACGTTGCCCATCTGCCCTAGCCATCGACCGCCACGATGACGGACCCCACGCCCGACGACGTCATCATGGACGCGATCAACAGCGCTGTCCAGAACGGCAACGACGAGCACCCGACCAAGAAGCGCAAGCTCTCCGACGCCGCAGACGATCTCGACCTCGACCTCGACGAGGACGCCAAAATCGCCAAGCTCGCGCGCGCGTCGCCCGCACCCGTCGTCGTCGACGAGTTTGAAACCGAGGCAAAGCGCGAAGTCGCCGCTAGCGCAGGGCTCACGGGCGCCGTCGAGGAGGGATCAAGACTCGAGCTTCGGCATCAGGTATGTTCTCGTGTTCTCTGCAGCGCGTTCGCTTGTGTAACTTTGATTGTTGTAGGTCCGACACCAGGTCGCAGTGCCTCCCGCCTACAGCTACATCCCAATATCCCAGCACGTTCCCCCAGCCAAACCGGCGCGGACGTACAAGTTCACGCTTGATCCATTCCAGCAGGTCTCCGTCCATGCCATACAACGAAACGAGTCTGTCCTTGTGTCTGCACACACCAGTGCCGGCAAGACCGTTGTCGCAGAATATGCCATTGCACAATGTCTCGACAACAAGCAGCGGGTGATTTACACAAGTCCCATCAAGGTATGTCTTACTGCAAAGTATTCGACATACCAGAGCTCACGTCATTCTGCCAGGCCCTCAGTAATCAAAAGTATCGCGAACTTCTTGCAGACTTTGGAGACGTCGGACTTATGACCGGAGATGTTACCATCAACCCTTCCGCTTCATGTCTAGTCATGACCACCGAGGTATGCCACTCTCTCAATTTTCTACGTACACGCACATTGAGCATCTCCCCAGATTCTGCGCTCAATGCTCTATCGTGGCTCCGAAGTCATGCGCGAAGTCGCATGGGTCATCTTCGACGAGATCCACTACATGCGCGACAAGGAGCGTGGCGTCGTCTGGGAAGAAACCATCATCCTCCTACCCCATTCTGTTCGCTACGTTTTCCTCTCCGCGACGATCCCCAACGCGATGCAGTTCGCCGAGTGGATATGCAAGTCGCACGAGCAACCCTGTCACGTCGTCTACACCGACTTCCGCCCCACGCCCCTCCAGCACTACCTCTTCCCCGCCGGCGGAGAGGGCATATATCTCGTCGTGAACGAGAAGGGCGAGTTCCGCGAGGATAACTTCACAAAAGCTATGGGTTTACTGCAGGACAAGATGGGCGAGGATCCTGCCGACCCGAAGAGCGGCAAGAATCGCAAGGGCAAGACAAAGAAGGGCGGCGACAAGAAGGGTGAGCAGGTCCGCTGGTCCTGTACCCCGCATTCTGACGTATCTGTCTCTTCGCCCAGGTCCATCCGACATTAGCAAAATCATCAAGATGATCATGCTCAAAAACTACAACCCCGTCATCGTCTTTGCATTTAGTAAACGCGAATGCGAAGCCCTCGCGCTTACCATGGTCAAGTTCGAATTCAACACCGCCGACGAACAAGAACTCGTCGCCAACATCTTCACCAACGCCATCGAGAACCTTTCCCCCGCCGACCGCCAGCTCGCCCAGATCGAGAACCTCCTCCCGCTGCTCAAGCGCGGCATCGGCATCCACCACGGCGGCCTCCTGCCCATCCTCAAAGAAGTCATCGAGATCCTCTTCCAAGAGGGCCTCATCAAGGTCCTCTTCGCTACCGAGACGTTCTCCATCGGCCTCAACATGCCCGCCAAGACCGTCGTCTTCACCGCCGCGCGCAAGTTCGACGGGCAAGAGTTCCGCAACCTCGCCTCGGGCGAGTACATCCAGATGTCCGGCCGCGCGGGCCGCCGCGGGCTCGACGACCGCGGCGTCGTCATCATGATGTGCGATGAGAAGCTCGAACCGGCCGCGGCCAAGGAGATGATCAAGGGCGAGGCGAACCGACTCGACTCGGCGTTCCATCTTGGGTATAATATGGTGCTGAACCTGATGAAGGTGGAGGGTATCAGTCCGGAGTATATGCTCGAGCGTTGTTTCTTCCAGTTCCAGAGTAGCGCGGGTATTCCACTATTACAGGGCGGTTCGTCACTGCAGTATTTTTTCATTCAATCAATTGCTCACGCTTTTGCAGACCTGGAGGCGGAGGAAAGGAAGCTGAGCGAGATGGTCGTGCCCGACGAAAAGCAGGTTGCGGAGTACTACGAATACCGTCAGAAACTCGAGTCAATGGGCGAGGATTTCCGGACAGTCATTACGCACCCCAGCTACAGCCTTCCTTTCCTACAACCAGGGCGGTTAGTGAAGGTAAAATACAAAAAACTTGACTTTGGTTGGGGCGTCATTGTCAACTACCAGAAGCGGACACACCCAAAGGTGCGTATTTTTTCTAGACCTATTCTCTGTCTGTGCTCGGAGCGCTGATGGAAATACCAGGGCGAAGTGTCGCTCGAGCCCATACCTCCCCACGAACAATACGTTGTCGACGTCCTCCTCAACTGCGCCCCCGCCTCCTCCATCCCCAAAGACCGCAACGTAACGACAGCGACCCCTGCCGGCGTCCAGCCATGTCCGCCGGGCGAAAAAGGCACCCCTCTTGTCGTCCCTATATTACTCTCCACCATCCACGGCATCAGCCACATTCGCCTGTTTCTCCCAAAAGACCTCCGGCCGGAGGCAGCTCGCGAGACGGTGTGGAAGAGTGTGGGGGAGGTGCAGCGGCGGTTCCCAGATGGGATAGCCCTACTCGACCCTATACAGAATATGGACATTAAAGATGACAAGTTCAAGGAACTCGTCAAGGTACGCCTCAAACAAAAGTTGCCTGTCCTTGATTTCTGATGCCTTCGGACTTGCAGCGCATCGAATCCACCGAGCGTCAAATGTTCGCTTCTCCCTTGCACAAGGATCCTCGCCTGCCCGAGCTCTACAGCTTGTACTCCACAAAGGAAGAGACCCGCGCGCGGGTACGCGCGCTCAAGTCGAAGATCTCGGAGACGTACGACGTCCTCCAGCTGCACGAGCTCAAGTGCCGCAAGCGCGTGCTCCGCAAACTCGGCTTCACGTCCGCGGACGACATTGTCGACATGAAGGGCCGCGTCGCGTGCGAGATCAGCACCGGCGACGAGCTCCTCCTCACCGAGCTCATCTTCAACGGCGCGTTCAACTCGCTCCTGCCCGAGCAGTGCGCGAGTCTGCTCAGCTGTTTCGTGTTTACGGAGAAGGTGCGCTGGCCCGTTCTTCTGTGCGAATTGTCAACGGTTGGAGACTAATATGACGTGTAATTAATCAGAGCGAGAAGCAGACAAAGTTGGGCGAGGAGCTGGCTGCGCCACTGCGAGTCATGCAGGAGCTCGCGCGCCGCATCGCAAAAGTCGCCAAAGAGTCCAACCTGCCCATCCAGGAGGACGAGTACGTGTCCTCGTTCAAGGTCGAGCTCATGGACTCCGTCATGCAGTGGTGCCGTGGCGCCTCTTTCGCCGACATATGCAAGGTCCGTCGCCCCCTTCTCTCACGTTATCTATCTACATGCGTTGCTGACCGACTCATCGCGTGCAGCTCACGGATCAGTTCGAGGGCAACCTTATCCGCGTCTTCCGCCGGCTCGGCGAGCTCCTGCGCCAGATGGCGCAGGCGGCGAAAGTGATCGGAAACGCGGAGCTCGAGGACAAGTTCAACCAGGCGTCAGAAATGCTCGAGCGGCCCAATTCCGTCATCTTCTGCTCATCGTTGTACCTGTAGATCTTTCTTTGCTTTATCTCTTGGATCTGTTTGGAAATTTTTTCTGGCCTTGCAAGAAGTTGTGCCGGCTACCTCCATCTCCACTATTTCTGGCCGAGTCCGAGGCTCCTCGTTCGTGTGCAAGTCTATTTGCGCCTGATAGCGGTGATATCGCTGAGACCCAGCGAACGACTAGAAGTCGCCGTCGCACCTCACTTTCAGATAACCGACCGGCTACAAGAACGACCGACGTCTAAGAATGCTTGCCATCTCAACACGGCGATTACGACATTTTGGGAGCTCACTGTTTTAGTTTTGCAGTGTTGCACTCATAAATAGCGGGAGATACACCTCGCAGGCAGACGCGAATAACATGGCGTTGAATCTGGAATGTCAAACGGACGTTCGTGGGCATGGCGACTTCAGTCCCAGTGCAAAGAAAAGACGACGATAACCAAACCCACACTGTGAGTTGACGTGATAGTGCTAGACAATATGTCGCAAAGTTCATTTAACGGTTGCAATGAGTTCTTGGTTGAGCAACCATTGAAACCCAATTGCAATGTTACGAACGAATCCAATTGATTGCAAGCTTCTTGAGACCTTGATTGCAATGAATTGCAATGCCTCGTGTCCATTGGGATTAAGTACATTGTAACTACACTACAAGCGAAGGGTCATTGCAACCAATAAATAGACTTTGCGACATTGTCACTCGGAGGAGCGCGTAAGTTGCGGCCAGCTACAAGGCCAGCTACAACAAGTATCTTCGAGTTACTTAAGCCTGGTTGCGCTAATGGATCCGAGATGACGAAAACATCTTCCTCCAGTTCGAGGCCTTGTCGAGAATAGGCAGGCGAAGTTCGACGCGAGAATGATCTCAACAAACGACTCTCCGGTATGAAGGCGTGCCCAGTACTCCGGCTTAACGGACTGGACTTTACCACAGATTGACCCGGTCCCTTCGACCCATCGGTTCCAGAAACATATTGCTCACACTGACTCATGATTTGCCATACTACAATCGTACAATGACACACCTTATCGCATCTAAATTTACCGTGTCATCCAGCTGCACTCAGAGCCCCTGACCCCCACCCACTGAATCTCAACGCCAGGTCAACTGCTAACCTCTCACAGACCCGCTTGTTATCGAGCCCTACTGTCTCTAGACCTTCGCTGTCCCCGCTCTCAACATGGCTACACCTCAAATCCAATACTATCACCACGGTCGCTTTCGTGTGGCTGGTGGCATCCTTCCCGACGCCATCACCGCCTTCTGCACATACGGCGACCCCTCGAACCCATGCATCGTTTTTCCCACTTGCTATGGCGGCAAGCTCGACAGTAAGTCCCCACCCATCCGGTATACGACAGTGCCCGTGCACAACACACTAAGACACCGGGCTATTAGGTCAGGAATACATGGTTGGTGAGAACAAGGTATGTTCGTCTAGCCTGGATGCATTGATAAGCGCGGAATCTAGACATCTTCTACGCTTGGGTAGGTGCTTGATCCGCGAAAATACTACATCGTCACATTTGCGCTGTTCTCAAACGGAGAGGTCAGTTCACTCGAGCTCACACCGTATAATGCTAACTGGACGCGGTGCCTTCTCTGGGCTCCTCAGTCATCCTCTCCCTCTAACACAGTCAGTTTGATCATGTACTTGCCGTTAAAAATTGGTAAATGAACATGATCACAGCCTGCTCCGTACGATGGACCGTACTTCCCTGCGGTCACATACGAGGATAATATGTAAGACAATTTCTACCATCATGAGCCCTTTCTCACATCTCTCGTGAAGCCGAGCACAATACATTGTCCTTACCAAACATCTCGGGATAAAAAAGGTCTTCTGTGTCGTCGGCTTCTCCATGGGCGCCCAGCAGGTAATGATTCTGTTTGTGGATCCATCCAGCGCAATTCTTCTAACCGTCACCAGGCATACTACTGGCCCGTCGCGTACCCCGACTTCGTCGAGAGGTTTGTTTCCTTGCTTGATCATTTATTCATAGTTAATCCACTCGTAGCTACATACCAATTTGCGGTTCAGCTCGCACCAGTCCGCACAACTACTGGTAAGCACGACTCTGCTAACCTAGATTAGTATGCGCTGATTTAATCTGTCTCTAGCTTCCTCGAGGGCCCGAAGGCTGCGCTCGCTGCGTCGAAGGACTTTGACAACGGACACTACAAATCCGTACCCCAACACGGCATCCGCGCGTTTGGACGTGCGTACAGCGCCTGGGCCTACAGCCAGACCGTATGTCCACTCTTCCATTATCACGTCAAATTTAACATCATTAAATATCGCTGCGACAGTGGTTCCGCGAGCATCACTACCTACACAACAACACGTAAGCCTCCTCTTCTATCCGGCAACACATTCCCCAACAATTCCCAACTCACGCGTCATTCGCAGCTACACCGACCTGCACACCTTCCTCCGCGAAGAATGGGAAGCCGGCTTCCTCAACGGATGGGACGCCAACGACCTCCTCGTCCTCCTCGCGACCTGGCAGACCGGCGACGTCTCCCTCATCCGCGATAGCGGCGACCTCCCGCGCGCGCTCGGCGCCATCAAGGCCCGTGGACTGATCATGCCGTGCCGGACCGATCTCTACTTCACCGTGAGTGCATCTCTGAAAGTCAGGTGCCATCATGGGAGCAGAATTCATGGCATCTTCTCAGCCCGAGGACAGCATCGAGGAGATGAAGCATCTTAAGAACGCCCGGCTTGTCATTATCGAGTCTATTTGGGGACATATGGGTGAGATTCAGTCTTACTTTGTCGAGCTATCTTTACCAATGCTCACTAACTGCAATGCAACTCCGTACCCTCGTAAAGCCGGTGGGGGCTCGAACGAAGTCGATGACAAGTTCATGCAGGAAGAAGTCCGCAGGTTTCTGGAAGAACCCTAGGAAAGCACTTTGCGCCAGAAATGTGAGGACAGTGTAAGATAGACGTCGAAGGGCTATTTGCATGTATGCGCAGTTTGTAAAAATGACATGTTTTTACCACACAAAAATAGCTTGGTTTCTTCCTTCAATGCCGGAAGCTAAAGGCTAACTCATGCTATACGTCACAGTGTAATGCAAGCGGAGGGTAATACAAATGTTTTGCAGTTTGCAGATATACATCATACACTGATATACAAAGACAAGGGTCGTTCATCCTTCTAGCTCCATTTCCAACAGACACCAAAAGCACACCACCATCCGAGATCACATTCACAGCTTGAGCTGGCTCTTGAGGCCAATGTTGGCCTTGAAGCGGATAGCCTCAGCAGCAGGCTTGACGTTGGGCAGAGGCTTGGCGGTGGGCGCGCCAATGGCCTTGGCAATGGCGTCTGACAGACCCTGGTCGACGCTTGCCCAGTAGGAGAGTGTGCGGGCCTTAACCTCGGCGCTCTTGATGCCGCCCATGTGCCCAGCCAAGTTGTCGATGAGGTGCTGACGGTCGGTGTCGTTCATGACCGTCTGGTACAGAGAACGGGGCTGCTCGAAGTCGACTGTGTACCAGTGATCAGTCCACAATCCTTCATTTCGCAGGTAGAAATGGATGCTTACGCTCAGTGATCTCACTGAGATCCCAGTAGGCGCCAGCGAGGAAGTTCTCGTGCGCAACCTCCCGTTCGACATCGCGGACACGGCCAACGATCGAGAACTTGTTCTGCTGGTATGCCAGGGGCGCGATCGAGCTCTGGTAGTTGGGGCGAGAACCCTGGTTGCTGAACGCCATCGCGCCATCGCGCTGGAAGTTGGCTATCGGTGCAATCGGTGCATTGACAGGAAGCTGCTGGTAGTTGGTGCCGAGGCGGTGGCGGTGGGTGTCGGGATACGAGAAGAGACGAGACTGGAGAACAGGGTCGAACGAGGCCTCAATGTAGGGCACAAGGTGAGATGGCGAGAAGGCGGCCTGCTCGATTTCGGCGAAGTAGTTCTGGGGGTTCTCGTTCAAGACGAGCTTGCCGAAGGGGCGCATGGGGAAGTCAGCATGCGGCCAGACCTTGGTTAGGTCGAGAATGTTGTAGCGGAACTTCTCCGCCTGCTCTGGAGTCATCGTCTGGACGTAGGCCGTCCAGCTCGGGTACTTGCCCGCCTCGATGGTCTCGAACAGGCTCTGGATGCCGTAGTCGGGGTTCTCACCAGAGAGGCGGCCCGCCGTCGGTCCGTCGAGAGTCTGTTTGCCGAATTGAGTCAGCATCTGACGTCATCCTTTCTCGCCAAGATAACGAGATCTATGCGGGGTAGATAGGGGCTAAATCGCGGTTGCAACGGGATCTCACCTTGAAGCCACCGTCTGCAATGAGGTGGATTTGGGTATAGACAAACGAACCGTCTTCCTTGACCAACTTGAAAGTGTGACCAGAGTATCCGTGCATGTTGTGGAAGCCATCGGGAGTACCACGGTCAGAGAACAGGATCGCGACCTGATGGGCAGACTCAGGGTTCTGAGAGAGGTAGTCCTGCACAGATCATCAATATCTCCTTCTTAGCGCGCGTATATGCGCCTCAGACTCACCCAGAACATGTCAGCATCCTTCAAGTGGGTCTGAGGGTCACGCTTCTGGGTGTGGATGAAGTGGGGGAACTTGGCAGGGTCACGGATGAAGAAGACGGGGGTGTTGTTGAAGACCCAGTCAAGGTTGCCCTCGTCCGTGCGGAGCTTGATAGCAAAACCACGGGGGTCACGGGCAGTATCTGCCGAGCCGCTCTCACCACCGACGGTGGAGAAACGAACGGTGGCCCTGACCTTCTTTCCAGGAGAGGTGAGGAGCTTGGCTGAGGTGATGTCGCTCAGGTCATGAGTGACCTCGAAGTAGCCGTGGGCACCAGCGCCCTTGGCGTGGACGACACGCTCGGGGATACGCTCACGGTCGAAGTGGGCGAGGAGGTCGATGTGGTGGAAGTCTAGATAAGATTATGAGAAATCGGGTCACAGCCACTGCATATAGAATGACGAGGGCATACCCTGGAGAAGGAGAGGACCGATCTGGCCTGCACGCTGAGCAGCGTAAGGCTCGGCGATGGGTGCACCATTGGAGGTGGTGTAGGTAGCACCGTCCTTGTTGGAGAAGACCTGCTTGGATGGCATTGTGTGTGGCTGTTTTGAGATGAGAGAAAGAGAGACAGAGAGAGGAGGGTGGGATGGGCCTGCTTATAAGTCGCGTCTATTATAAGGCCCGCTGAGAAGACGCATGGGACAATTCCGCTCTCAAGTACGGATCGGTCACCTGAATGTGCAGCCCAAACTCAGCTCCTGCTTTTGGTGTTGCGCACCCGATTTCTCCGTTTGTTGCGATTTGTCACTACGCCCAGACCATTGGATCCCCGGCAGGTATTCATTGGCACCAGCGTCAACTTCCGAGACTTTCAACTGCATATCGGCGCAAGAAATTCGGCCTCCGCTAACGACATTAGGTGACATTGCGCGACAGCCAGATCGTGCCGAACGAGATGGAGAGGCGCCGCGGAGATGACGAACATCGGCCACCAAATGTTGATTACCAAGGAAGACGCACTTCCTTTTTCCTCCGTCTGCTCGTGGGGCTCGTCTTCCTCATGCGTGCACTGACCGCAGCTAACCTTCCTTGTATCTTCTCTCTTCGTCGTCTCACGCCTGGTATTTCGAGCTCAGCGATAATCAAATCGATCATCTCTGCCTTCCATATTCCAGATCTCCCTCCCAGCCTTCACCGCCCTCCCGAGTGCGCGATTCTTTGACATTTGGTGTGATCTTCCCGAACATAGCGCAAGATCACAGAGACTAGACCAGGGCAATCCCCAAGCTGTAGGCTTCGCACCTGCCCACGTTCTCGGCCGCCTGCCTTGGTTATTGCTGCCTTCGCTCTTCTGGATCAGATTTCGCTTTCTCGAACCACCTTTGACGATGCTTTCCTCGGTCCATCTTCCGATCTTCTCCTTACCATTACCCACGCAAACCGAGTCCGATGCAACGCGCCATACACCTGAGTCAACAATCTAACCACCGCCAGTGGCGTTGTGTTTCTTGTAGACTCCGACCTGTGAGCTAGATCCGCGAGCGAGTAATGCAATGACGTTCGTTACCCCACATCTGTCGGACCATTCGCAAGATCAAATTGTAAAAATGCCATAGATCGCTGGCGCGTCTCTTCCGCGCGCATGGGCTACGCACCCAAATGGCGCCAACTCCATCCTGCCCGCTCCGCGCACGGAACTCCGCGAACCGTATACCATTCGATATTCCGAATTCTGCAGACGGCTCCGATCAACGATCAAGACACAACGTCCCGGAGCAGCGTTTCGCCGTCAGAGAAAAACTAAACTAAAATAGCAGGGCGTTGCCTTCGAGTTCCGAGCATCGTCGAACGGCAGCGAAGATTCCCGATGGACAAACGGGCAGCGCGCCGAGCTTACCCGGTCTGCCGTTCACGATCTCCAACCTGGTGAGGAGCGAGGGGCGTCGATAAGCCTCGTTTCTTCTCATGCGATCCCAGGCTTTGGTCGCAACGTTGTTCATCCAAGGGTCTCAAGCTCAAAGTTGGCTCAACGCGTATACGAGATCAGTCCACAAATACGATTTGATTAGATAGTCCCTGATAGCCCCTATAGTCGAGATCACTTCGAGTGTACATAGGTACCTCTCCGGTCACGAACTTGCCCTGGTAACCGCCGCCGGAGGCTAATTACTAGTGCCTTAGTAGTAATCCCATCTAAGCAACGGCTTGCGGCCTCCGTGCCCCGCGAAGGTTTGGGGTACTGAAGGGTACTGATGGTGACTCCGTGCGGCAAAAAGGGTTAACACACTAACTTCTGAGCAGTAATGCCTTGTCGAGTTGAGTCTGAACCATGTTTTTCCGGCATAACAAAACAGCATCGACGACTGTTCGAATGAACTAGCTACTTTCAGCGGGCATACGATTGTGCCTCGGACAGCAGGTTGAAAGGCGCCCGGTCGAACCAATCTGATATGAACGGGGGAGATGTCCAAAGTGTCCACATTCTCGGGTACTGTGGAAACCTTCGTGATACCGGCATTGCCCTACCTCGGGCCTCACGAACGCTCCGCGCGCACCCCGCGAAAACCTACGTCGGATGAAACAGGTCAGCTTCCGCAAATCCACGTAAGATGAAATTAAAGGGGCGTTAAGACGCCCTTGACTAACACTCACCGAGTTCGATTCGAAACGTCTGTGGACTGATGGTGTCGGTCTTTCAACTTGCAAATCCCAGCTGCCGCCCTGTGTGCTCGCCTTGCCATCGTGTGGCCGGCTGCTCTTGAACCAAAGTATTGGAAACGAATCATCCTCACCCTTATGTCACCTTGCTTGCCTCTTGTGCCTCCCTCTCCTCCCCCGCCGCACCAACGGTCGTCATTATGTTGCTAGCCGCGAAGCTGAGAACCGCGTTACATCACCGTGACCTGCAGGCTACCGCGAGGACGCAACTCCTCCCGGTGTTCCTGTCCCTGTTCCTGACTCAGTTTGCCCAGGGCGAGCCCAAGAAGACCCCTGCTTCGCCCGCGTCAAACTCTTCGCAGCGAGTGCTTCAGGCGTAGGTTTTGCACCCAGCGACGAGCCTCCCTTCCTGTTCGCCATAGATATGGGTGCCGATTGTTTTGGCGTAACTCTAGCCCGCGCGCCGGGAGTAGTGGTTGATGAAGGAGCTGCATTGCGTGGTCCCTCCTTCTCTTTGCCTTTCCCGCCTTGCGCGGTCGATGCCGGCCCATGCCTTGAAGCAGGAAGCTCAGGCGGGCAAGGTATCAGAGGCCGCTGGGGCAAACCCGCTTCAGGCGGCGGGCGCAATGCGCGTCGTGCAGGTTCCTCCATCTGACGAAGCTTGGCCTCGAGCTGGGCTATCTTGTTCGACATCCTGGATCAACACGCATCGGCATGCGAAAAGCAGAAAATCCGATTTAATTGATGCTTACCCATCATTACGATGTCCATGTTGACCAGCACTCTTAAGCAGACTAAGCGCCGTTGGCTGGTGTTCTGCCGCGATGCGTCTGCGCTCGCTACCGTGCTGTCCTGGTGTATAACCATAGTTATGACTTGAGGCGGCTAACGCTTCAGGAGAAGCCTCCTGTGCATGAGAAACCATGAGCTTGCGTCCGCGAAGCAGCTTCCCATTCGCGTTCGCCACTGCTTTTCGAGCGTCCTGCGAAGCACTGCTTAGCGGGCATAACGGGTAGTTAGAGGAAGCACTTACCGCTTCCTCAGCATATTCCACAAAAGCGTACCCTCGTGGCTTTCCACGATTTGGTCCAGATTTGTGGAAGAGGAAGTCGAGTTTGGTTACTTTGCCAAACTTGCTGAAAACTTGTATAAGCGCGTATCTGCAGGTCCATGACGCGTCAGAAATAGCTCCATAGTGCACGAGCCAAGATAGCGCATATATGCACGTAATGAAAGTATGAAGTGCAGCAACTGCGAGGGTCATAATGAAGGAGGTATCCCGGGGGGGAAACTCAGACCTTCAAACGTTCTACGCGTTCCGTGCATGAGGCTCTCATTTGCGACGCGGTATGAAGATTTGCAACACCAGCCAAATGAAAACCAAAAAAGACACAGTACTCACTCGTCCATTGTATGAGACAAGTTCCCAACATATAGCCTATGCTTGAGCAGTGCAGGTGCCTTCGGTCGTGGTGCGCTTGTTGATGGTACAGGCTCAACCTCAGGTTCGGGGATGTACAGATGCTGATCTATCGGGGCCGGTGGAGCATCAGGTAACGGAGTAGTCGAAGGAGAAGCGTTTTCTGATGCTGGTTGGTCTGCCATTTATGATTTGAGCCACAGTACACAGAGAGAATCTGGCGGGGAGGAAGGTTTTGGTGAGGACAGGGGCGTCGTTGCAGGCAAAGCGTCACAACACCGTGAGAAATTTATCTGAATCGCCTCTCTCAACGTCCAACGTCTTCTCTTTATGTTTCCCTTGCGCCTATCCTCTTCATTAATCCTCTCTTCATGCTTGTCCGTTAGAACCCCTCATGACTCATACGCTCTGCCAGTCGCATGTCGACTTCGGCCTCTTCACCGCGAGGATCTGCCCTCTCGCGAGACCATCATGAGTAAATGCAGATCCGCCGGCTACGCCGACACGGCTATCCCTCTCGACGTCCAGCCTGGCGAACCGCCTCTCGTTTAGGTCAAGTACGGCCCGAGCGTGACCGTAGCCGAGCCAGGACACAAGACTATGTCTCCAAGGCTCTTGGCGCCAAATCAGGTGCCGGCGTACGCGCACCTCGGCTCCATGCAGCCTTCGAGGCAAACACCTCCGACTGTTGCATCGGTTACATAGTCATGGAATACGTTAGCCCCCCGAACTGCGATAAGACTGACTCACTGCTAGTTGCCGCCCCCTACAGACGCTGAGCGGCATCCAAGAGCCAGACCTTGTCCCCGGGTCCGTTCGTAGCTGTCCGCTAGCCCACACCATCTTCCCTGAGTGGAGGTGAGAATGGCGATATACGGGCACTCGACTTTGGTGCCACGTCCTTCCTGCCCCCCGCCTTCTTCGCCGTCGTGATGAAAACCCCAACGGACAAGTTCACTCGCGAGATCGCCAACAACGTCGTGTATCCTATGTCGAGCAATGTCCCGCTACTGCTGTCAGTTTCCGGCTTCCAGGTTCAATTCGGACGCAGGCGCATCGTCAGTCTGACAGCTTCTCATTTATACCGATCTAAACTGACTCTAGGAGTGGGCTGCGACGCCCAATCTCCGTTGGCGTGTGAACCTTAACGGTTTGTTGTCGTCTGCAGCATAACCTTGCCGTATATGGTTGATCGCTACGTAAAGTTCTTGTTACTCTTGTTATTTCGTGGTGAGATTCTTTTGCTGTGGCTGTCCTGGAATGGTCTCATCGCTTAATTCCTCTCCGCACAGTTTGCAACCGTACTGCACGCTGTTTCTCATGTAAAACTCGCTACCAGCAAAGGAGATAAATTCTCTGATTATCTCGCCGTAAGATCCCTTGCAGCGGACTTGCTGTGATACCCTGCGCCTGATATATCACTTGACGGCGCGACGACTAATCAGTTGGAAGCTTGATAAAGTGTTGGGACTACAACTCGCCTCGTCTTAGGTATCCATACATCGATGTGCCGAACGAGAGGAACCGACCTCACATAACGAGCACAATGTTTGAGATGCCGGATACACCGTTGTTAGTTCACAGACTCCAGAACACTCCTGGAGCCTGTAGTATCAGGCCCCAAGGCTGCAAAGCTACTAGCACAAGGGTAATCTTGTCTAGGATGGCCATGGGGACGTTCGCAGCAGTGAAATCGCCTTGCAGAGCCATCTACACGGAGCAATTGTTTCCGGCGAAGACGACCTGACGACCTCTGACGATCAGAAAAACTCCACGGAAGGCTGTAAGTTCGCTAGCCTTTCCCTTTTCCTCCTCCCAAACGCCTTCAACACAAGCTGTTGCTCATGGAACGACCAATGTCAAAAATAAGAAATCAACAATGGTGTCGGGTATAAGTATGCTACAGAGGCTACAACCGAAAACGCTAATAATACATAAATCCAAGAATGTCCTAGATGTTCTTCAAGTAGGTTGAATGTACTCAGATCAGTTGTCGCCTACTCCACCTTTGCATTTGCTGATATGTCTCTGCATCGAGTCTTTCCTCGACAAATCTGCCCTTCCACACAAGGGGCACTCTCCCACCTCGGCCTGCTTGTACGATGGCGAGTGCACACAGGTGTTGTTCTCGTGACGTTTCGCGTCATGGCCCCGCGAAAACGTCTTGTCGCAGTACCGGCAAGGCACGCATTTTCCAGAACGTTGATCACGGCCTCCCGACGGACGGATCCGTCTCTTCGTACTGCGCGACACTTTGCTGCGGCCGACTTTGGGAGGCCTTTCGTGATCGTCGTCGTCGTCGTCGTCGTCTGACTCGCCACTTTGATTCTCTTCTGCCTGTGCGCGATTCGAAGTCGAAGTCTTCTGAGACGGCACCAACGAGCCTCCGATGGGCGACTGGTCGGCTGTGTGTATCGGCGATATTGGGACATCGTTGCCAACAACACGCTTCGGCTGGCTTCGTCTGGAGGCAGCCGAGCGAGCTCTGGCAGCATGCATAGGCCCACCCTCTCTTCGTGCTCGCTTTCTTTGAGTAGCCACGACCTCTGTCCTCACCTTGCGCTTCCGGCCCAATTCCTTGGAAGGAATATAATCTTCGTCATCCCCACTTCCCACCGACCCGTCGCCTGAGTATCCACTTTCAGCATCTGAATCCTCGTCCACTTTCTCCATGAACTTGTCGCCGGACTCTGAACCATGCTGCGTCTCCAAGGCTGCTTCATAGGCAGCACGCTTTGGAAGCGGGCGTACTAGCCTCGGAGACGACAGAGGCGAAGAGTCGCAACTAGTCAAAGGAGAAAGTGAACGCAGATGCAGCGCAGTGGTCTCGGCCAACGATTCGGTTGGAAGTTGGGATGGGGAAGGAGTCTCGGTGGCGGTATCTGCAGTACTCTGCGCTCCCTCCTCCAGTGGTGCGTCAAGGTACGAACCCAACGAATAAATATCGGACTGATCGAAAGAACAGAGCTCCGACCAACACCCTTCGTCGATAGGGTTGTCCTGCCACATCACCGACGAACCATCTTTGCACCTCAGGGCTTTGTTACACAACTCTGCCTCAAAGGTGCTGCGACTGCCAATTAACGACTGCGGAACTGGGAAGAGCGACAACGTGATCGGGGGTGAGAAGACGAGTGGTCCGGGGTTGAGCAAAGGCGATATGTCGACGTCGATCGTGATCTGGTCCTCGAATACTGGCAGTTTCTGCGGCGAGAGAAGTTGAATAGGATTGATCACCCCAGACTCCCTGATGCTCGCGACGAGATCGTCGTTGCAAGTATGTTCAGCAACTGCCGGTTCGTGCGCCTCATCTAACGGCCCTTCGAAAGATGATGCTTGAGGGGTATATGGCGCGCTTGTTGTCTCGCTCAATGGACTATAATCTGGATGTAAGTCGGGCGTACTCTGCCTCGACGTAGAAGTTGGAGACACCCCGGGAGCCTTTCTCTGCTCGCATAGTCAGTCAAAGCTCTGCTGATATTATGCTTGATACTGACCTGCCAGTTCAGCTGGCTGTCGTACAGTATATGTCGCGATTGCTCTTTCACTCCACCCAAGTCAATAATACCTTCGCCTTCTTCTCTATCAGACCCCCACGTTGCAACTTCGGTTGCGGGACGTCTTGAGGAACCTGACGTGTCTTCGACTTCTAGAAGCAATGATGGCTTCCGGCCGGAAATCTCCCAAAGATGAGGGGTCCTGAAGTTCGAATCACTGATCTTAGCACACGAGCGCGATAATGTGCCCATGGAGGTCTCTATCATGGCATTCACTAGGTAGGAAGGGTAGGCTTCTCGAAGGGAACTGTGTCACAACGATTAAAAGTGATGCGTGCGACGAGGGGGAAGCTTATGATAGAGAGGGATGGGATGTGATGGGGAAGGGTCGAATGAGTCAAACAAGGGTCCATCACTTGCGGTGAGGACTTTATCTTTGGAAGGGATAATTACAGCTGTTGACGCTTGAGGGTCCACGGCACGCACAGCACTAGGCAGCATGTTTTCTAAAAGAAGCGCCAATCAAGATAGATTGGCGCCGCATATCCACGCCAGAAGCGGAACCTCTCCCCTTATTGAACGACACGATGCATACTACGAGGCGCGTTTTGGTGGATGTGACTCAACCCGACGCAATTCCATGTATATAACGAGGGCGCCGAAAAATCGCGATGCTCGCTCAGAGATCTCATCGATAGCACACTGAGCTAGATGTATCATTGATTCCACACAAACCACAGCTCGCAATTTGGGCTTGCTGTGTACTATTAGGCGCCCTTCACTAGGTATGCTCCGAATGTACATAAGTATGCTTTCTCGGTCCAAGCAAACTTGATCTCCACGCCCACCTTTGGCGGGAGAAAAAACGTCACTAACCTAGTTTCCCTACCGTCAAGGTGCCACTATGGTTGCCGCACGACTGGCCGTTCTTTGTTCTCGATTCTGACCTTGACATAATAATGCAAGCGCCCACACTGACAGGGAGCCCCGATCTGGCAATGATCATATATTCAAAGATGGGCGCTTGCCAGGCGAGAAATGCCTCGTGTACCCGATCTTCCCAGAGTTTGTTGGGTGCTGTCATCTGGCCAGCGCCCTTTTCAATTATACTTTCAGGGGTGAAGCTAGTAAGGTCAATTTCTGGGCAAGCGGTGCACAGACGCGTACTGCCATCGGCACTGACCCCACGCAAGCGCGAACTCTACAAGCACAGGCGTATTGTCTAGAACCTTTCACCTTAGGCATTGTCAGCCAGCACGCCGTGGCCATCCTGCTGCCTCGTGTCCGCCCCATTTGATGCTGGATCACTATAGCTGTTTTCGACACTCACTCGCAATATTATATCCAGAACAGAGCCATAGCCACGAGCAGCGTAGGATGGCGGGAGCCAGGGCGCCGTCCTGAACCCTCCGCAGGCTTGTTTACCTTCATTTTCACTCGATGACATGCCTCGTGTCATCTGTGCTGTCAAATGCAAGGCTATATGTAGACCACTAAGAGATGAACACCCAGCGGCCCCAAAAATGCAACACATTACCGCGCTGTGTACCCCTTCTTGACTTCTGGACTCTCCAGTGTATGATAAATCTCCAACTTCGAGATAACCACCATTTCTCCCGAATGTGGCCGCCTTGTTATGACGGTCAGCCGTATCCAGGAAGCTGTTAGCTGGCGATTGAGCAGGCGAGTCCGTCACGGAGCACTTTTGATCACCCAGTCTCAGGCTGACTGACATGGAAGTCGTTCGATTTTCGTGGTGCTATCTCGAGTCAAGATGGCGGAAGACACGGCCGCCAAAGCGAAGCATCTGTACGTCTGCGCCATTGACACTAGCATTTCCCTCGGAGACACTCTTTTGTGATACCGTGGATTTCTTACACATCCGTCAAGCCCCGAAAGACGCCTAGAAAGTGAGTAAAAACCAGATCGCACCCTGGCTAAGAGCATCTAGCACAGCGGCCTGGGGTAGCTGGTCGGGATGAAGCGGACGTAGGCGTTTTCTTGGCTTGGTTGCAAAGGGGCTTCTGTCGTTACTCAACGAGCTGGTTGATCCTCAACAACCGACTTTTTCGTTAAATCCTCGAGGGTTATCAATCTTGCTCATCGAGAAATCATCTTAAGGCGCACTTCGAGTTTGAGTCCACCAGGGGGGATTTGCGGTGGTCACATCCATTGCAGTGGCGATGTTGTAACGCCGTGCAATGTCTGTAATTTAACAAGGAGAGCTAGTGCGATCAGCATATGGTAGGTGAGTGTAGTCAAGGCATAAATGTCCATGAAACCAGAGAACACGTAAGGTCGATGCGACAGTGGTTGACATGCTTTCGGAGGCTGGAATAAGCTCATTATGTGTCAGAACGGGTTGAGACTGAACGTTTACACTGTGTGCTGAGACATCAGGTCACTAGTATATGCGCAAATGAGATCTGACACGATAAATGGGGCAGCAACTGCGGTAGCTTGAGGGATATTTTCGATTTTGACAAGGAATCGTGATTTTCTGTAGTCATTTGACTTACGGACACGTCGCAGCGTCAGGAGGACATGGTGGTCGAAGAGTAAGCAACAATTTACAATCGTCATGAGCCTTCCCAAAATGGAGTGACTCAGGTGGTGTGACAGACGACGCGGTTGTCAGAGTGTTGAAGTGGCAATCTAGTCTCACTCGTTCGCTCTGCATGACGGGCGCCCTCCCTCTCTGACCCGTCGGACACAACGGGACACCCCTCGACATCGCCTACAACCACATCGGCCACCCTTTCTCTCACATCAGGCGACCTCGTACTCAGATTTCTGCATCGAACATTGCAGACGTAATCTATTACCTCCATGCCTGCGCCGCGCATGTCACAGAGCGCAGAGGCCGCTCGCGCAGCTGCCCTCCAGGCCGAGTTCAACGAGAAGAAGTGGGTTTGGGTCCCCGACGACAAGGACGGCTACCTTGCAGGATGGGTGCACCAGGAGGACAGCGACTTCGCCCAAGTTGTCATGGCCTCTGGTGGCGAGGTGCGTGTCTTCACTCAACGACCCACCCATCGTTGACGATAGCACCACCCAGATCCGCCAAGTGCCGCTATATGCGCTCTCCAAGTTGAACCCTCCCAAGTTCGATCGCGTCGATGATATAGCCGACCTCACATTTCTCAACGAAGCAAGCGTAGTCCACAATCTACGCCTGCGTTACGGATCAGGTGTAATCTATGTTAGTACACCTTCTCTGTTTTCATGTCATCCTTTCCCTTTCCATGCCCTTCATAACCGTGATTGTTTCCTACTGGTTATTTCATTTTTGTTTTAACTTGATCATCTTATTGCGTCTAATGCTGACATGCTATGATAGACCTACTCCGGCTTATTCTTAGTCGCTGTCAATCCATACCAGAATCTGCCTTTATACTCGGATACCATCATTCAGCAATACCGGAATAAACGCAGGGACGAGAATCCGCCCCACATCTTCGCTGTCGCTGAACGCGCTTGGATAAACATGGGCGAGGAACGCGAGAATCAGAGCATTCTTATCACGTAAGTTCTTTGACTTTAGAACCTTTGCTATCGCTCATGGATGCATGTAATCCAGAGGCGAGTCCGGCGCTGGAAAGACAGAAAGTACCAAGAAGGTTATCCAATACCTCTCTGCCATAGCGACGGATGTACATCTTCCAGCATCATCGCATACCCAACAACCTTCAATCTCGTCTCTATACAACTCGCCCCCAGCGGGTGCTCCTCGGAATAGCCAGTTCAGGCGCTCATTGCAGGCTAGCCAATCTGGTGGAAGTTCACTCACATCTCGGGGTCGGCTAGGTCTTCTCGAACGTCAGATCATTCAAGCAAACCCTATCCTGGAAGCGTTTGGAAATGCTCAGACCCAGAGAAATAATAATTCAAGTCGATTTGGTAAATTTATCCGGATTAGCTTCGCACCAGATGGCAGCATATCTGGTGCGAACATTGATTGGTACCTCCTTGAGAAGAGTCGAGTGGTTGTTCGCAGTGAGGCAGAGAGGAATTTTCACGTGTTTTACGAATTGCTTATGTCCAACAATGAATCCCTCAAAAGTGAGTCCGCCAGCGTATTTTATAGGCGTGCGCTGATTTCGCCAAAGAATCGCTCCTCTTGGATGGTGATGTTGAGGATTACGAATATCTCAACAAGAGTCGACGCGAGGTTGATGGTGTAAATGACAAGGACGAGTGGGATGCGTTGATTGTAGGGTTTTCACCTGTACTTTCGATGAGCTCAGCTAAGCCGTTTTCAGAACGCATTTGATACCGTCGGATTTTCATCACATGAACAGCTTGATTTGTTCCGAATCGTAGCAGCGGTGCTGCACATAGGAAACATCGTTATAACGTCGACGAAGGCAGATGATGCCGTATTGCCAGATCCATCTCAGGCAGAACGCGCCTGCCATCTCCTCGGAGTTCCTGTTGCCGAGTTTACTAAGGCAATCCTTCGACCGAAGGTGCTCGCTGGCCGCGAATGGGTCACCCAAGCTAGGACACGCCAACAGGCGTTGGAGGAGCTTGCCTCTCTTTGCAAGACCCTTTACGAGAAATCTTTTGGTGCCCTCGTGGACCGCATCAACCGCGCGCTTGACCGCCCATCGTCGAAATCCACCTTCATCGGCGTGCTAGATATTGCTGGGTTCGAAATCTTTGACGTTAACAATTACGAACAACTCCTCATTAACTGGACGAATGAGAAGCTGCAGCAGTTTTTCAATTACCACATGTTCGTGCTCGAGCAGGAAGAATATGCGCGCGAGGGGATCGAGTGGGACTACGTCAACTTTGGATTAGACTTGCAGCCAACTATCGACCTCATCGAGGTCAGCGGCCCTACCATCGGTATCTTGAGCTGTCTGGACGAGGAGTGTATCATGCCCAAGGCGACGGACCTCACCTTCACTAACAAGTGCCACGCGTTATGGAGCGGCGATGTACGCACAGGGGAGGAGCCTCACCCTGGACGCGAAAAGTACTCCCCTACGCGCTTCGCGCAGGGTTTTGTTATCTCCCACTACGCGGGCAAAGTCGAGTACCGCACTGATGGCTGGCTCGAGAAGAACAAGGACCCCCTGAACGACAATTTGGGGCGTGTCTTGGCTGCGTCGTCCGATAGCTACGTTGCATCTCTCTTCCAGGAGCACGCGGGCGGGTACGTCGACGTCAACGGCAATCCCAACCCTTTCACCGTTGGCAAGAAGCGTGGTATTAAGAAGGGCGCCTTCCGCACCGTCGCACAGCGGCACCGCGAGCAGCTGTCGCTCCTCATGGCGCAACTCCAGGCAACGCAGCCTCACTTCGTGCGCTGTATTGTTCCCAACGGGAATAAGAAGCCGGGACGCATCGATGTCCCCCTCGTCCTCGACCAACTGCGGTGCAACGGTGTCCTGGAGGGTATCCGTATCGCCCGCCTTGGTTATCCCAACCGACTCCCCTTCGTTGAGTTCCGCCAGCGCTACGAAATCCTTACACCCGGCATCATCCCACGCGGGTACATGGATGGTCGCAAAGCATGTCTACGCATGGTCGAGGCGCTGGAGCTGGACGACGGCATCTACCGCGTGGGCACGTCGAAGATTTTCTTCAAGGCTGGCGTGCTCGCTGAGCTCGAGGAACGCCGCGATTCGCTATTGTTCGATATCTTTTCGAGATTGCAGGCTGTTGCTCGGAAATACTCTGCTAGAAGACAGATGAAGAAGGTGCTTAATCGTGCTGTGGCCATTCGGACAATCCAGAAGAACGCGCGCGTGTATGGCGAGCTCAGAGATTGGCCGTGGTGGCAACTTTACACCAAGGTAATTATTTTTCAGTAATAATGGTGGGTATTGCTTACCGACCACCTTTGGCTTAGGTCCGTCCGTTGCTCGCAGCCACGAGAAACGACGAGGAGTTACGCCGGAAAGAAGTCGAGCTCCAGCTCGCACGGGAGCGGGCAGAGAGAGATCAACGCGAGCGCGAGACCCTCGAGAACCTCAAGATGGGCCTTGAATCGGAGAAGCGCAAAGTCGAAGACGAGCTCGAGGCCGAGCGTGCGCTTGCGCTCGACAAGGATGCTCTTTTGGAGCGGAGCAAGAAGCGGGAGTCCGAGCTCGAGGAAGAGATTACGGCCCTGCACGCTGACCTCGACGTCCTCGACTCGCAGCTCGATCGTGCACTCAAGATGCAGAAGGAGGGCGAGGAGAAGCACGAGGCGCTGCGGCTCGCGTTTGACCAGGCCGCCGAGCATCTTGTGCGGATGGAGCAAGACCAGAACTCTAACAAGGTGAAGGAGGAGGAACTGATGACGACGTATGCGACGACGCAGCAAGAACTCGGCGACATTCAAGAAGAGCGCGAACGTCTCGTTAAAGAGAAAGAGGACCTTCAGGCCCTCCTTACTGTTCATGAAGAAGATCTCGCTCGTGTGAGAGAGCGTGCTGACGCCGCGCATGGCGAACTCATTGCCAAGCTCACTGAAGAGAGGCGAAACAAGTAGGCAACATTCAATTATCAAACAAATTTTTAAGGTCTTACAATATCTTTAGCGACGCTGCTAACGACAAGATTCATGAACTTGAGCAAACTTTCCGCCAAAGCAAAGAGCAAATATCCGAGATGAACCGTACCGCCAACGAGTACTCCGCTATGATTCAACAGAAAGAGGACGTCATCGCTGGCATTTCTCGCGACCTGGCTGCTGTCCGCTCAGAACGCTCCCAGTTCCAAAAAGAGACCTTCGAGTTGCAGAACAAGATCGAGATAGCCAAGGCCGAGGCTGAGACTGCTAAAGAGGATGCACAACGCTCAGCTGCATCCCGCACAAAGCTTCAGGAAGAGCTTGATGAGCTCCGCACGTTGATGGAGACAAAAACGAGCGAGGAGACCCGTCGCATGGAGGTCGAGAAGAGCAAGGAGATGGAATTATCCAATCTTCGCAGCCAGGTCGAGACACTGCAGACAGATCTAAGTACTACACGCAATAGTGCAGCCGAGAACGAGCGCAAGCTGCGAGCAGAGCTAGAGGAGGCGCACCGTGAACGCGCGTCGCTGGAGGAGAGCCACAAGTCTCTGACGGGCCGGGAGCGATCCATGCAGAGCAATATCAATAGGCTCGAGACGATCAACTCGGAACTCGAGAAGACGAAGAGGAGTATGGAGTCGGAGCTTGCCCGCTTCCGTTCCCGTCAGGTTGAGCTGGACAGCCAAATAGCAGATGCCACCAAGACCAAAGATGTGAGTCGAAATTATAGGCCGTAAAGCAGTCGACTGAAACAAACTTCCTGCAGAGCTTGTCCCGCCAGCTCAGCCAAGCGCAGAGCAAGGCGCAGGACTTTGAGGATGCTAATCTCCAGCTCGAGAGGCAAATCGGCCAGTATGAGCGCCAGATGGAGTCAACGCGTAAACAGCTAGAGGCGGAAACTGCGAAGAGACAACAGTTGCAAACAGTGGCATCCAGCCAGAAGACTGAACTTGTCACGACAAAGGAGAAGTTGGCCAAGTTCGAGGAGGAGCTCAACAAGACGCTTAAAGACCTCAAAAATAAGGAATGGGAATGCCGCCAGCTAGAGTCGAAACAGGACAAAACTATTGTCGAACATGTCCATGTCCTTGAGGAGGCGAAGCGCGTTACCGACAAACAGCTTTCCACCGCCCAACAAGAGCTCCAGAAGAATGCAACCTACATCCGCTCTCTGGAAAAGGCGAGGAACAAGCTCATGCGCGAAGCCGAAGATAGTTCTTTGGAAACAAGGCGCGAACAGCTTGAGTTTCGTGCTGCCGAGAAGAACGCTCAACTTAATGCCGAGAGGGCAGAAAAGGCGATCGCCCGCGCTGAGTCGGAGAAGAAGGCCAAGGAGGCGGCAGAGCTCCAGGTTCGGCGCCTCCAGTCTGAGTTGCACACCGCCCACGCAGAGCTTGAGGGCAGGACGGACGAGTTGCTGACTGCCAAACGCTCCAAGGAGCAGCTGGAGAACGAGCTCGCGCACCTTGTCGACGAAATGCCCATGTCGGACGCGCGCAATAATACCTCGAAGGAGGCAGAGCAACGCATCGCCGAACTCGAGCGGCAGCTTGCAGATGCGACGTCATCCGAGGTTGTCCTCGCGCAAATCCAGCATCGTGTTGACCAGCAGCACCGAGAGCTACGCGCTCTGATTATGAAGGATGCACCCAAGAATGATTCATTCCGCAAGCGCCTTATGCAGGAGCTTCAGGCTGCAGACGAAGCCCTCGCCAAGGAAGTCAAGGCCCATATTCAGCAGAAGCCTTCCCGAAACGTGCACTTCAACCTCCCTCCTTCTCCCGCCCCGAAGAAGGCTCCACGTCCTTCCCTGACCGACCCGAAACCTGATAGGCAGAATGATGAGCTGAAGCAGCAGGTCCAGACGCTTGAAATTCGTATTGAGGCGTCCGAGCGCGTGCGTCAGCACTACGAGTCTGTTATCCGAGATATGACGTCGGATTTGGAGAATATCAATGACGCGAAGGAGTTCCTACAAAAATGTCGTCGGCGATTATCTGAGGAGAATGCGAGGCTTTCAACAATGCTTGACGAGGAGGCCAATGTTCGGCGAACAGCGGAGAGCTCGGAGGACGTCCAGGCTGTTTGGGCCAAGTTCCGCGCGACCCTCGACGAAGAGCAGCTCGCATATGGCAGACTTGAGGAGTCTCGCAAGGCTCTTGTGAGTTTACACCCTGTTGATTCTGGATTGTGATTCTGAGTATTTTTTTTCTTCTCAGCTTGTGCAACAGCGCAACACACAAGCAGAACTCGAAGAAGCCAAGAAAGGTCTACGTGACAATACCCACTCCAAGAAGCGCATGCAGGCAGAACTCGAGGCTTTCAAGGAAGCCCTGGAGACCGAGAAGATCCGCAAGAATGAGGCTCTTGGTAAGCACTTACAGTCCACTGTTTTCGATATAATGTTCTTATCTCTCGACAGACGCCAGTCGTGGTGCGCAAGCAAAACTTCAGGAACTTCAAGTTGACTCGGGCGCGTCCATTGCTATGCAATCGGGTATATTACAAGAGTGCTAGCATGAGTGTACATGATACTGACGAGTTTTACCAGAACTTCGTGCCGCCATGGAAGCGTACAGGCAGAAGTCTGAAACAATGGCTAAACGAGCTGACGAGGCCGACATTGCCAAGGAGAAGGCCACCCGTACTGAATCACTTGGTGAGTTTTTCATGTATCTGTTGGTAAGTAGTTGTACTTACAGCATACCCCAGTCCGCCGTTCACTTGCAGATGCCGAAAAGGCTCTTGGCGCTGCAACATCAGAGAAGAACAACCTGCAAAGCCGACTTGAGAAGACGGAACGACGCTTGCTTGAGCTCGAGAAGAAGCTTCACGACGAGGGAGAAGAGTCTTCTGAGCTCAGTGGAACTCGCCAACGCCTCTTTGAACAACTTCAGGAAGAGCGACAGCTACACCAGAAGGATCTGGCCGAAAGGGACTTTGCATCTGATCAGACGCGCAAGAAGTATCAAGGTAATTTATAACCTTGGATTTTATGCGCTTTACATGCTCACGGTTATTTAGCTGAGCTCGCTCAACTCAGCGATGAGCTTCAATCACAGCGTGACACTATGAGTCGGCTTCGCGAGGACAATCGTAAACTGCGCTCAGACTACGATGACCTTCAATTACGTTTCGACGACGAGGTTTACAATGGTGGCGCTTGGAAGAAAGAGAAGGAACGCTATGAGACCAAGATCGACGACCTTACGAAAGCTTACGAATCGTCGGTGACGGCTCAGTCTGACCAACAAAATCAGATCGTCTCTCTTCATTCGCAAGTACGAGAGCTCCGGGGTGTGCTCAACGACGCGGAGGCCGACCGTGCGTTGCTTCAGAAGGCACGACGTGCACTTCAAGCGGAGTTAGAGAGCATCAAGCTCGATCATGCCGACACGAGCAAGATGGCAAACGACACGGAGTTCCAGAAGTTGCTGCTGCAAAAGCAGGACCTTAAGCGCTCACTAGAGGAACAAGAAGACCGCACCACCATGGCTTTCGAGCGGCTGAAGAAGGCAGAGGCCTATGCGAACGACTGTCAAGCTGAACTCAATCAGACGAGAGGGGAGAACACAGAGTTAGAGAGGATGAACGTAAGGACACCTTGGCCATGGCAGTCAAACCATTTTCTTCTGACACGTATCTCGATAGGGAAATCTTGAGAAACAAATCAAAGATCTCAAAGTCACAATTGTCGATCTCGAGACGCGGTCATATTCATCGTCTCCACAGCCCTCCACCGTCATGCGGCAACTACAAGAACGTATCGCTGACCTCACGAAGCAGCTGCACGAGTCCCAGAGCGGCACCCAGCGTCGCATGTCGTCCGACAAGATGATGCGAGAAGCGCAGAATCAACTAGCTGAGAGTCAGCGGCAACGCATACGCTTGGAGGAGGAGCGACATGCATTTGAGGCGCAGCTAGCGGCTCTCCGACAAGATCTAGATCGCACGGTAAGTTCCAGCATGATTCTCAAATGGCCACATGAATATCCAACACGCTCTGCAGCAAACGGATGGACGCAACTTGCAGCGCGACAAGAGGCGAGTAGACCGAGAGGCTGCTGATTTCAAGCAAAAGGCTCTTAAGTACGCCTCAACCTTTACTCTGCACTTAAGCACCCCCACTCACCCGCCTGAATAGCCTTGAACGTGAAGTAGAACGGCTCAGGGGCCGCGTCAGCCGTCCTTCGTCCGTTGTTAGCTCAGTTGTCAGCGCCTTGAACGGCTCGTCTCGCAAGTCCGAATCATGATCATGAACATTTCTTTTTCCAAGTACTATTATTTACTGCTGCAACAGCTTTATGACCGGCATGACCTGCATTTCAACGGACATCACGACATTGCATTTTCTCATCTCTTCTACATTCATTTTGCCATTTCTGTGCTTGGTGTATCCATTACATACATGTATCTTGCCCTTTATCCGTATTTTCGATACTACACTTGTGCTACCAACAGTACTTGACATCCTGATATTGGCAAGGTCACCTTTTCGGACTAGTACACTATCCCTCCGAACGGCGTCGCAAATGAATCTGGATGGCTCAAGCCACGAACTCAAGTGATTGGGGAAGCAACGGTAGGCGCATCAGCAAAATCCCGCGAACGTTACCACGCATTGTGACGTATTGTCAACTTTGCATAGAATCGGAAATGTAGCAACGGCGTCGCAATGCATGGTAACAAACACAACCCATTAGCTTATGGTGGCAATACAAGCAACGTATTTTGGGGATTGCAATGTTGAGACCATGTCAGGGACTTAACATAATAATGGTAAGATAATAAAACCCGTAGACATAGTTCTCTGTCGTCCAATTGTCGTCTTCTCCTCTGGTGTGTACATTTTGTTTGACGAGTGACATCTAAGCTACATCGAACAGCACGATTGCGAAAGAGAACATTTGAGCTAACTACTGGGGTGGTTTGTAGACCCGACAAGTAAGCCATTACATGCTATGATGCGCAGCAATGACGTCAATTTTAATGCACGGCGCTGCTGATCAAATCGGCTGCAGCTGTGCTTTTGGAGTGAGCCCAAGCAGATCCGAGACGCGCTAAGTTATTGCGCACCACAATAATATAATATCACAGTAATGTCCACACAGCGCTCGCGAACCTACTCCATTGATATCCCCAACGCGTACGCATTCGGCACATTGATCAGCCTTCGGAGGCATAAAACGCACGATGGGGACGCAGAGCTTTTCATTTCTGAGTCTCTTTCTCCCTCTTTCCCTCACTCACACTTCTCCCCAACTAAAGAGCTCAGGGCGAGTGCCAGACGAACGTTGGTGAGTAGTGCTTTGACACGATTTTTCTCCGTTGATGATAGGAAATTCACGCAATTAGTTACAGTGTCCTTCGGTGCCTGGTGGTACAAACTGGAATGGTGGAGTCCTGGGTGGTGAGTGTTGTTTTCTTGTTTCATATCGTTTTCTCGTGTCGTTCTCCTCTCAACACCATGCTTAAAGTCCTATAGGGAAACCTGGAATAGACAGTATAGTTTACACATTGATTATGCATTGTTTTATATAGCTACACGAATAATAAAATGTTCTGTCGTACATATAACAGCTAAAATGGAAAAATAAGTGAGCGGTTCGAGCTGTGGCCCAATGTGCCTTCTAGACATTATGTGTCAATCATAGTGCTATAGTATTGTCAAGGTGATGCACAACTGAAGCATATGTAACAAGATTGTATTGCTGTTGTGTTATATAGATATACTCATTGTGACTACATCAGTTACGTTTAGTAATGTCTCGGGCTCAAATATATCATGTTGATATCAATTCCGGGCAACACTATTGCGAGTGCGTTCGCAACATTGGAGTCAGCGTAACAACCCGTTGTAATGGGTTACAATGGGTTATGTACGTGGTAATGCGTTGTGTACGTGATCAAGCCGTCGCCACGCTTCGCCATGCCATGATAACCTACAGAGGAATTTGCTGATGCAGTCAGGTACATGGGGCGAAGTACATGTCTACAGCACTCCATCTTTGTTTTTTTAATTATTATTTCAAGAAAAAGATCTCAACGTGAAATCGACTATTCCGCAACATACGGAAAGTCACCAGCCGGCAAGTTCCGTGAAGTTGGAGAAATAAGGTTTAAGCCACCGCCGCGTTCAGTTTCTAGTGGTGACCGCCGACCCAAGTGATATCGAGCCTCAAGAATCCCCACCGCCCGCCATGGTACGTATGCCCGCGCTCGTCATATACCATCCAAGCTCATTTGTTCGTCCAGCCGAAGGAAATCAGAGATATCAAGCAGTTTATTGAGATCGCCCGGAGAAAGGATGCTTCCCGTATGTCCAATGCATCATGATGTATCCCTGTATTATCCGCGTCTCTAAATCCAACTTCGCTGGTGCCCTACAGAGGCCCGCATAAAGAAGGTCGCGATCAAGAACTCGCAGGGCAAGACCAAGACCAAGTTCAAGGTTCGGTGCTCGCGGTATCTCTACACCCTCTCCCTCGACGATGCAGAGAAGGCCGACAAGCTCAAGCAGAGCCTCCCTCCAGGTCCGCCAGCGCCCCACTTCCCCTCTGACCCATAACTCATAACATGACAGGTCTGACTGTGGTTGAGGTCGACAAGACCGTGAAGAAGAAGTAAAGCGCCTAACTCTACTCGTCGCGCTTGCTCTCTTTCCTTCCTTGGTTCTCTGCATGTACGAGGTGGCCCGAGGACGGCCTCCTTACCCACCGACCCAGTCCTATACGCATATTGTATGCATACTCAAAAATTATCGTATTAGGCTGTATGCGCATCCTGCATCTCACGCACTTGCATCACACACGTTTTCACGCGCACTTGCATTGTCCGATCTTCGACGGTGGGACGAGTCTTTGGGAAAGAGACGGCGAGATCAAGGGTGAATGAACCATTGCGCGACACCGAGCAGGGTACAGGATGCTACGAGGGTTGTTACACCGATGGTGACAAACTTGTGGACCATCCGCTGAGCACTCGTTTCTCGTGGTCCTGTCCATCGCGCGTTGAGGGATTCGACGTCGTACTCATCTTCGATTCTACGCCCAGGGTCCTCAGCCAGGAGCTCCAAGAGGACGCGGAAGAACTGCGATCCGTCTAGGTACGGGAGGGGCAACATGTTCAGGATGTAAAGTGAGACCATGGCCATACTGAGATATCTACGGCACGGTCCATCAGCAAGGTCCATGGTGCAGACTTGTGTACTACTTACTCAACGAGGTGAACAGTCAGAATGGGCAGTACCAATGGTAGAGGTCTGAAGCGAGGGAGCAGGGTGCTAACCTGGACTACGCGAAATCAACGAAAACGTGAATCGACGGACTGACGGTGGCTAACCTTCTTCCCAAATTTCGTCTCTTAAACCACTCCATACGACTACCTCCGTTGTGTTCGTATCGAGTTGACCAGGCTGACGGGAGAATATTCGAACGATGCTATCTTGATCTCGCAAGAGCAGGCAACGTGAATCGGCGCGACATTCATAGTCTTCATGACAGCGAACCCTCTTGCCGATGACTATGAGCAAAGGGTCCAGGCAGAAATTTTCATTCGTCGCAGATGATGAAAGGAAACATGTTTTCTGCCTTTCTTCAACGTCTTGAGCTACATTTGTGCAACAATCGCTGTTCGTTTCTAAGGAAGTTCAATAAGATGCTAAGATTTCTAAATAAATAAAAAACAGCGCACCGCGGAGTTCAGTGCCGCTGGCGCACCACCCTGGTTCATTGAGTCGAAGATGACTTGAAGACTGCTCGAGAAGATATGAAGTCCACTTGTCTTCTCCAGCCTTCGAAGGTCCCAAGTCCATATCGTCCAGGCGGGTGATCAGCGAACCCGGTGAGAGGTAATCATAAAGAGGCGAGCCCTAAAATATTATGTTATGTAAAGATTCGGTATGGTGCGCATATCAACATACCTCCTCAATGGAAACGACCACTCTACCAACAGACGATACATCTTTATAACCGACAATACTCCAAAAGACGTGCCCGACGCCGGACCACGCTGCCAGCATCAAAGTTGCCCAGAACGCCAGATTATGACAGCAGCCCGCCCCAATAATACGAAGGCGCTCAAGAGGAGTGAGTTCTTCGAGACGCGAGGATGGCAATGACACAAAGGCGGACGGTAATATTACGGTCACAGACATGCCTGCTGACAGGATGGGGACATCGTGTCTAGTAGAAGGAGGATTCAGTCTGCGATCAGGAAAAGTAGAACATTGACAAGGACTTCTTACATTGCTGCTGCAATTGCATGTCCTGCCTCGTGCACAATTTGTGCGATGGATAACGCTAAAAAGATCAATGGCAAGTGGGACAGGGGTACTGTGAGTCCAGGTATCTTATCCACAAATTAGAACGAAATTTGAGAAAATTTCGAATGCCTGGCTCACAATGGGATGAAGCATATATTGTCTTCCAGATTGGTCGTTCATTCCGGTGTCAAGAGCGAGTGGGTCCCGTTTGGTCAAAGTGACTTGGTTGGTAGATTGCACACGATGGAAGAAAGTTGAGGTACAAAGTGCAATCGTGTTCCACAGTAGCAGTGTGATGCCAGCGAGCATCCCTAGTAGACAGCATATCACGCCGGTACTGTACGCAAAGCGCAGTGTGTTTCTGCTCAGCCGACCAGGACCAGAGGCAAGCCATCGGCGAAGACGGTCGTGTGGAGCATTAAAAGTGTATGTCTTGATGGACAGATGTAGGCTCCTGACGTGTACTTCAAACGAAGCACGCTCGTACCCGCGCACTAGCGGCAATAGCTGCACTCGACGTTTGCGAAGAGCGTGAAGGAGGTGAACTGCCAGCCATGACGCGGAGACGGCGAGGCTGAGCGTGGACAAGGGTGGCATGCACGTTCAGGTCATCGCCACCGCGCGACGCCTTCGCTGGTTTCCTCGCCAATTTCGTCTCCTTGGGCACGCGCGCTCTTCTCCACATCCGTTCGTCACCGTCTGCTCTGCCAGCTCACTCACTGCGGCCACACTCCGTCCCCTATCGCACGGGCTCCTCTCACTCTTATCTTTCTCTCTCTTCTTCGCCAACGCTTCACGTGCAACCATGAAGATCTACTCCCTCTCCGTCGTCCACGCGCCCCCGTCCGGTTCATCGTCCGTGCTCAGCACCGCCTCGGACCTCTCCAGCTTCTCCTTCTACCAGCGAGGCTCCGTCGCCGAGTTCATGACCTTCTTCACCAAGACCGTGGTCGATCGCACGCCCCAGACCCAGCGGCAGAGCGTGCAAGAGAACATGTACACTGCCCACGTTTACAACCGCGGCGGCGCCGAGCAGCTTGCAGGCGAGTTTTCACTCTAGCATATAGTCAACCTACGCGCCAGGTATCTGACCACACCTCCATGAACTTGCAGGCATCATTATCACAGACCACGAGTACCCCGTCCGCCCCGCATTCTCCCTGCTCACCAAGATGCTGGATGACTTCACGGCCAAGGTGCCGCAGTCTCAGTACTCGAATCCGTCCTCGGTATCCTTCTCCGAGATCGACGTCTACATCAAGAAATACCAGGACCCGCGTCAAGCGGACACGATCATGCGCGTTCAGCAGGAGCTCGATGAGACCAAGATTGTCCTGGTACGTACTTCGTTGCTCTCCACTTCGATCTTTGGGCGCGAAGCTTAACGTTATTTTCGTGTCACAGCACAAGACAATCGAGTCCGTCCTCCAGCGCGGCGAGAAGCTCGACAACCTCGTGGAGCGGTCTAACGCCCTTTCTGCGCAGTCCAAGATGTTCTACAAGACCGCAAAGAAGGTGCGTGTGCTATTCATGAATCCTGTGAATACATGATCACTAACTGAAACTATAGCAAAACTCTTGCTGCGTTCTCATGTAGAGTACCCTGGACTTCACTCGCACGTCTCCATTTGAGGACGCTTTCTGTCTTTCCTTGTACCATATATTTCTCTTGCACCTATTTGATCTTGGATATTTCTCTTACCGCCGCTCTGTGCAATATTCGATCATCAAGGTTGCTAGTCATACTTCATGGTAAGCTGGACATCACTACCGCTTTTACGGAACCCGGCCCAGGAACAGTAGGACAGCAGGGGTAATAACCATTCACGGCTGCGATGTCCTTGGCTGCTATGGCGTACAATGCTACGGACCTAGCGCTGCCAACGGCCTTTACAGCACAATGCAGTCATGCGGCGCCAGTCTAAATCTTCCTGTCTTTGTGTAACAAGCGAATAATTGACCTGGTGACGATCCAAGATAACCAAATTACTGTGTTCTGATTGCAGGGCGTCACTCACGACATCAGCCATTGGATCTTCGAGATTATAGGACAAAGCAAACCTTGCAGAGCTTATTGAGCGGCCTCGCCTTATCAAGGATCGACGGGTTTTGAATGATACCCACCATTACCAAATGTATATGTACCGATGACCGGCAGTTCGTGGTCGAAGAGGTACTCGTTGGGCGCAACCCATCCTATTTGTTTGTCATTTTCTTCTTAATTGTCTTCGCTCAGAATGAATGAACTCAACCGGTCTTAACAACCTTTGTCCTCTTTCAATGTGCAGATGTCCGCATCGTTAGGCATCACAAACCATCTTCCTCTGATAGCACAAGTGGTACAGAACCTGCCTCATTTTCGATGTTAACTCCATCTATTCTCAACGTGCAGCGCATTGATGGTACGTATTTGCAAACACCCGAGATTGTCTGAATTCGCGAACAAGGACCACGATTGTGGATGTCAATGACTCGGGACGTACTTGCGCACCTCTTCCGTGCTCGCTGATATGGAGGCACTTGTCATTGGATGCCTGCTGCGCTGCTTATCAGAATTCTGCCGTAAGTCGCCTTTCTCTTGCCCACTTGAACCCTTATCTTATATTTTACGTAGGGGTTTGTCGGCCACCAGCTTTGGCCATGAACAGCAGGAGAGGATCGAGGTTGGCAACAACCACAGATACCTGAGCCGCCAGATAATAAAGAAGACCAAGGTCCACATCCGTTTATTTCTTGTCAATGAAGTGCGAACGATATTTCTATGGGTTGTATTAAGGCCGCAATCCATGGAGCGTCCCAATCTCCGCCGCAGCCGCTCGTCGGCCTCGTTCACGATGCCTTCTACACACTCCTCTAAACGACAGAAAAATGTTCTGCCTCAGCCATAACTTAAATCAAGACCTTGATTGTAACGCAAGTCGGGGTTCTCGGCTCATCAAATATCAGACAACGGCAAACTCACCGAGACAACACAAGTTTCCGTCGGAAACAACCTTACTGCCTGCATAAGCATATCACGCTACCTATATTCGAGGGAACATCACCCGACGGCAACAGTAACGACGAGCAACAATCTTTACATCCTTTCAGTAAGTTCAATGGAGCCGACAAGTCAGGTAGCAGCAGGTAGCCAGGACATTCACACGTAGTTCAGAACCTAGGCCAGCCGTTACTCGGCAAAAGGTTATGGACGAATTTCAATGATGACGAGTTCACCCCCTCCGAGGCTCGGTGTCGCGACTCGACGAGGCTGCAAAGAAGTAATATCACAACTCATATCAGACAAACAGGCGAGCGACTCGGGAACTATACTCGAGTACGTTCTCAGTCAACGAGCGCGCAACTGCCTTGACGTCACTCGCTGAGACAAGCTGTAAGCTAATTTTATGGAGACTTGGAATCAGCTGCGAAGCTGAAAGCTTGACCAGGTGATTCTTCTCATCATGACTTGATTCTTGCGATATGTGTGATTGCTTCGGGCGCACCCGCCGCCCGGCCCTCGTAGCCCAAAAAGCACACCGACGTGCCTGGCTCCTCGGGGCCGAAGCGCTCATTACGATCGAGGACACCCCTCCCTCGGTGACTTCCCGGTGGAAGGTCCTGCGAAGCGAGCTCATGCGAAGCCAGAAAATAGAAATTCTCGCCACCGTTCGACTCGTCACACCTCTGATCGTCGATATGGTTATTTCTTTTCGCCCGCTTTCCGCCAGGCTGATCGGTGCAAGAACAGAGCACAATACCCGAACTACTGCATGACATTTCCGGGGGATTCGAGGGAATTTGCCAACATAAATTCAGGGACTGGGGCGTCACAGTGACGTTTTACGTCGGAGCCACGCACCCTGACCTGTCGCGAACTTGACACATGATTGGCTCGATCTCGACCAATGACCGCACCGCGTACCTGGGTATGTAGTGTGGTCCTCGCGCACCTAGTAAAGAGTAAACCTTTAGACGGAGGCTTCGTGGTAACCATGAGGACCTATAAGCGGAGCCCTCAATCGAGGCCGGCGGCTGATCTTCTCCAGCAGTATTTATCTTCTCGTGAAACAACAGATTCCACACTCGAAAGGTGAGGGGGGTCATCTCTGGTCATCCGATCACAACATGACGTTCTCTGTCACACAATGTTGCGATCAATAAAGCGGAGCACCGGATAAAGTGTGAGTCTGTTTTTCTCAGTGTCAAACCACGATCAGAGCTTACGGCCCCCAGGCACCGACAGGCACCGACTGACCGTACAGGAGCGCCTTAGGAATCCTTGGAGCATCCCCACCTCGGACGACACCGATGAATATTACTTGCGGTAAATCCATACACGAGCAGGAACAAGTACGCACCACGAGGCCCGCGTTCAATGCACACTCCACCACACCCTGAGCATGAGTGGTCTGATCTTCCACGGCAGAAAACTGTATGTCATCGGTGACCCCCGTCAAAGTGCGCGACCACAGGGAAACTACGCCTTCCCAGACAAAAGTGGGTAGCTCCATGATGTACTGTGAGGCTTTGAGTTCAATCGACACGCTGACCCGACGGGAGTGTGGAGGCGCGACCGAACGTAAATGCTACAGTACCGCATGGTGATTCGACGATCCATGATTTTTTGGAGGTGGGCTGACCTGACCAGAGAACATGCGTTTTGGAGTCGTCTTGGAGCTACACCAACGTACGAAAGTAGCTGGACCCACGACGGAACACTGCGCAGGTCGTGTGATCAGGAACGGCCCGACGGAGTCCCTACTAAAGCTGCGTAGGTGGCGCAACATACACCGGCCGCCGGCGCTAGGTGGTAGGTATAGCGTAAGGAAATTTATGAGAACAAGGTCGAGATCAGTTTATCATCTTGATACCGGTAAGAATGTAGACATGCACTGGATCCGTATCGTTTGTTTCATTCATTTGATACAAAAGTGAAAGAAGCGATGCAATGAGTAATATAACATGCAAGAGTCCTGCTTGTAGTCGTGTATGGACAGCAACATAAACCGCTTCGCAAAGAGCAATCATAACAGCAGTCACCTATGAACGGACAACGAGTGATAATGATATGAACGAGCGTGATTCGACTGGAGTCATCTGGCGAAGTCTTGCTTCGAGGGTCGGAAGGTATGCAGTGAAGAAAGGTATGGCACAAAGCGTCTGTGACTTTTGTTTCTAAGCAGTCCGAATATTGACGATATCTGCAGCATGTTGTATAAGTGTTCATGGCCGTGTAAGAGAATTAAGAGCCGCAGAGTTTCCACATCTTGACATAGTCACTGTGAAAACAACACATTGTGAGTAAGATGCACATACGCATCACTTGAAAGCTCAAGCAAGATAGGGGTTAATGACAAGGGTGGTCGTCTTTTCCCACGCATGCAACCGAACGTCACAGGCTGCGCACGCCGCCGCCGTGTCTCTCTTCTCTACCACTCGACATTGCAATGATCACTCACATTCTAAACGCGAGATCATCTTCGTTGGTCGGCCACGTCGCATACCAGTCGCTCTGGGCCTTTGCAAACTCTTGCATGGCAGCTGTACCGGACCAATGACCATAAGCAACCCATTCTCACCCGACAGCGACTGAACGCATGTCACTCACTCTGAGAGTTGTCGAACCACATCTTGTTGCCGACGTTGTCTGGGAACCACCCGCTAATGCCGCCCACGGCGAGGTCCATGATAAGGTAGAACTCTGTCACATCGGTGAGCCTTCCATCTAATCACACCAGGCATCCCATCCATGAGAACCACTCACGCTGATCATAAGGCGCCGCATTCGACCCTTCCGTCCACGGATCTGTCACAACCACCTCATACCCGCTCGACGCATTCATCGCCGTCGCAGGGAACCCCGCCGACTTGAAAAAGTACGTATCCTCGCCATTGCCCCCGCTGCCCGTCATCTTAATGTTCACCATCGCTTGCAGCCGGCTGTCCGTGTAGAACCGCATCCACGAGTCCGTCCACTCAAACGCGTACACGTGGAAACCGTCCGCGTAGTTGCCCCGCTTCGTCGTCACCCACCCGTAAAGCGTCTTGAGCAGCGTGGCCGTATACGACGTCGACCCCGAGCCGGACTGCACAGGCGTGTTCGCGGCCGAGAACGGCCCATAATTGAGCGACGAGCGAACGTAGTTGGAGCCCTGCGCGGGGTACGAAGGCAGGTTGCCTCGCGCTTCCATGATCTACAAAACGCACGCATACGCAGCCCATTAATCTCCGTCCGTTCCAAGGCTCTAATAACAGCCCAAGCCAAAACAAGCAAGCACTCACATCAATCTCGCCGCTCATTGGCCAATCGCCATACACGCCCGCGCGCGACGACGAGTTGCTTGCCTCACTCGAGTTGCCCTCGGGCAGCATCCAGATGGCGGGCCAGAGCCAGTCGCCCTGCGGCAGCTTGGCGCGCACCTCGACTCGTCCGTATGCGATCGACTTCTTGCCGCGCGTGTTCAGGCGGGCGCTCATCACCGGGTTGATCACCGTGCCCGCGGCTGAATCCGAATATGCGGTGCAGGCGTTGCCCTGGGCTCCGCCGCCACCAGAGCTGGAAGTCGAGTTGCCCGACGAGGTGCTGTTGCCACCGCTGGTTCCGTTGTTGTTCCCAGTGCCGTTGTTCTGGCGGCTGTACAGGACGAAGTCGCCGTTGTTGTTGCCTCCGCCATTATTGTTGGTGGTGGTGCCACCGTTGTTTCCTCCGCCGTTGGTGGTGCCGTTGTTGTTGTTGCCCCCGGTGGTGGTACTGTTCCCACCGCTCGTCGCGTTACCTCCGCTGGAGCTCGCTGCAAGGACTGTCAAGATCCGGACGTTTTCAAGCCATGAGGCAACTCACCAATGTCAGCCGTACAACCGGGCAGGTTGTAACTGGCTCCATTGAGAACGGCGCTATAGCCTCCATCGATGGAGTTGGAGGTAAGCGTGGGTAGGATGTATAGTTGACCATTCTTCACATAGGAGTTCGAGTCCGAGTCTGTGGTCATCTCAAACTCGCCGTTTCCAAATCCGCCGAGCTCGACATCGCGGCTCCAGTTGTTAGTCAGGTCGAGCGAGTCGAACTCGTCATCCATGACCAAGCACAGATCAGACATGGGCAGGACGTCCACGCTCTCGTATCCGAAGAAACACAAGGCAGCGCCTCCGAGAACGCCGAGCAGCAGGCCAATCACGGTCAACCACCAGCTGAGGCGGTCGAGTCCATGAGGCTTGCCTATCCATGGCTTATCTTCTTTGTTCAACTTGGCTGGCAGACGCGTACTTGGCTTCAGCTTCTGGGGAGGTACGGCCAGGATGGCACTTGAGCCGCCCGGCGAATTTACCACAGACGGAGGAGTCCACATGGAAGACGGCCTTGCCGCGGGCGATAGGAAAGGAGTACGGAAAGACGTTGCGGAACTGTTCCTGGGCAGTGATGCCGAGGGTGGGGAGAAGACGTTGCTAACGGACGTCGAGCTCGATGAGCGATCAGGGGCTTTGTTGGATGGGTCGGCCATGAAAGGTGGTCTGGGGCGTGCGAGGTCGTCGTCCTGAAATGTGGCCATCAAGGCGGACGAGGACGGAGGAGTGGAGGCTCGGGGCGTCATCTGGAAGGACTCTCTGCTTGTCTTGTGGGGGGTGGGCATCTTTGGGAGGCCTTCGATGCTGCGCCTGGTTGAGGTGGACCTGACTGGATATTCGGCACTCCCTCCGAGACTGGAATAGGCGGTGAAAGATGATGGGGGAGGACGTCTGGTCGAGCTCAGGGTTGACTGTGGGGAAAGAGACGTGGATGTTGCAGGGGTGGAGGGTGCTCCAGATTCTGCGTAGAGCAAGTCTGGGGACCAGTCCAAGGAGCCGGATGGTGGAGGACTAACAACGTCGAGGGGAGCATAACTGGCGAACTGGGATGAAGACTTGCGCGTGTGACTCGTGGACTTGCGTGCCGCGTTACGCGCAGCAGCAGCAGGAACAGGAGGAGGCGAGTCCGAATCGGAAGCAGGATCGAATGAAGAAGCTGAGTGTCTGTTGTCGTCCAATGCAGAGGAGCCCGCGATAAAGAAGGGACGGGGAGGAGATAAGGGCGAAGGAGAGCGAGGGTATGCGTGGGCGAGAGAGGAGGATTCCTCACTGGACGCGGTGTAGGAATTGCCGCTGGTTGGACGCCTGGGCATGTTGGGAGGAAGCTGTGAAGGTGAGCGCACGGACAGTCGCCGTGTTTTTGAGGCGGACGCTGACATGGAATAGGAAGTTGGGGTGGTAAATGAGGACACCTTCCAATCCAACAGATGAACGGCAACGGTTTTCGGTCCTCAAATAATTTACTCGGACATGCACTCCGCACGTTCTAGACGTCCAATCACCGTCCTCATATGCTACTTTCTAAGCTGATAAGAAGAAAAATCACAGCGCCGGACTCGTAGCTTCGACGACCCCTCAACAGGAGCGCGATCGGTGTCACGCCGAATCTGTTCCGAGGCAGGCAATTGCCTTGCGTATGACGCATTTGGTGACGTTTGTCACTTACAAGCGTGCCTGCATTGCCTAAACCGTGCGCAATCCCCGATCTCCGCTTTGTCCCCGATCTGCCATGTCCAATCCGGGCGAGGACAGAACACACCACCCCCTCCCCAACAGCTGCTTCTTTCTTATCCGTCCAGATGTAAAAGTCCAGGCGCGTTTTTCATCTCTGCAAGGGCCCGCCCTGCCACACGCCGGCCGTTCATCTGCTCCCGCTCCACCTCCCTCTCGTCCCCCTCCCTTTCTCCCTCTTTCCCCCATCGCCGTACCGTCCCAGCCATGGACTACGACAGGTACGATGCGACTCTCCACTACATCTTCAAGCAGACACAGGGAGATGCATGGTTTCGCCCGAATGAGGAGAACCTCTCCTGCGGTGTCTGCCTCCGCATAGACGACGGCTCCTTCCGCGTCTTTCCCTACGAGAATGCCGCCCTTGAGCCTTTCGAGGTAGCCGTCTCCCAGCTTAACCCTGCGGTAGCCGTCAAGGTCCGTAGCGCTGCTGTTCATGCATGTCTTTCCGAAGGGTACGTCCTTCTCGCAATAGTCATGTATTGTATAACAAGTTTATCCTGTCTTTCAGTGGTCCAGAGGACAAGAGCATCTACGTCGACTCCGACACGCGCATACAGATCCTCGACTCCATGATATACCTCCCCCATGCAGAAAAGGAACAGTCTGCTGCCTTTATTGTACGTCTACCCCAATTCCCCAGCTTATCGGCACTTATTGACGTCCTCAATACAGCGGGACGAGCGTGTGCTGATCGTCTGGTCAGAGACCCTCGAGGGTATCATCCCTACTGCCCGTGATTTCGAGGACCGTCTCATCCGCCTCCTTTGGCGCTCGCGCCCTCCCCTCAGCGCCCTCTCGACGGGCACAACACCATCCGCGGCAGGCTCAGTCTCTGGCCACTCACACCTGGGACGGTTCTCATCGGGTCCAGACCCCGAGAAGGCTCTTCCACTTGTAACCAAAGGGGAAAACCAGACGCAGCCAGCACGTTACAAGCGTACCTGGTATGGCCGGAAGGTCATCGTTCCTCCATCTGACAAGGAGAGTGCCCTGGATACCGCCGATGTTGGCCCCGAGAAGCGACCAACTATGGTGTATGCGCCAATATACAATGGTCTTGCTGCTGGGCTTTCGATGCTCTACATGGGAAACGCTGTTCGCACCCTGATCATGGAATGGCGTCTGGACGGCCAATTTTCTCGCTTTGCTCTCGTCGCTGTCATCCCGCTGTTATTTAGCGTCTCGCTCGTAAGTTTTCACAATTCTGTTGTCACCTGCACGTCTGTTCTAATGTTTGTTTAGTTTTTCAACATCCAGCTCATCCAGAACTTCACCATGGCTTTCGGTCCTATCGCTCATTACCACAGGAACTCGAAGTATTACTCCGCAATTCCGCCACGCCCGAATAAGGTGGTCGACAGCGATCTACCCCATATTACCGTTCAGATGCCCGTGTACAAGGAGGGCCTCGAGGCAGTGCTCAAACCGTCAATTGAGTCATTGAAGAAGGCCATGCAAACGTATGCCCGCCAAGGTGGCACGTCTTCCATCTTCGTCAACGACGATGGACTTCGCCTGCTGCCCAAAGAAGAGGCCAATGCCCGCATCCAGTTCTATGCCAACCACAATATCGGCTGGGTTTCACGCCCCAAACACACCTTCAACTCCAAAGCGAAGGCCGGCGACCCTCAAGCGCGCGGCTTCAATCGTCCAGGACGTTTCAAGAAGGCTAGCAATATGAACTACGGTCTCAACATGTCCTTGCGCATGGAACGCATTCTCGAACGTCTGCAGGCGGAACGCGACTCGGTTTCTGGTGATGGTTACCGTAGTTCTGTCGTCACTGACAGCTCTAGCATCCCGGCTCCCGCACAGGGCACCCACGGCCTGCAATACCAGAACCTCGAAGGCGACAACCAGGGCGTCGTCCCTCTGTACCTCCCACCCTCCGCAGCATCTGCATCCAACGGCTCCAACCAGGGCACGCGGTCTAACACGCCTATTCCAGGCTCGACGCACGCGTCGAGCGCCGGGTATTATTGCGAAGACCTCGAGGAGCGCGCTCTGCAGATGGCGATGGAGGAGGTCTTCCAGGACTCGGGATGCGTGTTCCGCCCCTGGGCGGCGAACGCGCGCTCGTGCCGCATCGGCGAGATTGTCTTGATTGTCGACTCGGACACCATCGTGCCCGAGGACTGCTTCCGCGACGCGGCACGTGAGCTCGCGGAATGTCCCGAGGTCGGAATCATCCAGCACGAGAGTGAGGTTATGCAGGTCGCGCACCACTACTTTGAGAATGGGATTGCGTACTTCACGCGCAGGATTAACAAGTGCATTTCAATGACTTGTGCGAACGGAGAGGTTGCGCCGTTTGTTGGACACAATGCGTACGTAGCATTTTTTTTCACTATCGCCTAAACAAGCTGAGTCTTTTCTTCGTGCAGCTTCATGCGTTGGAAAGCCTGCCAAGACGCCGCATTCATCGACCCCGCCGATGGCCAAGAAAAGATATGGTCCGAGTCGAACGTCTCGGAGGACTTCGACATGGCGCTCCGTTTGCAGCTCAAAGGCTACATCATCCGCTGGGCGACTTACTCCAAGGGCGCCTTCAGGGAGGGCGTCTCGCTCTCGGTCGACGACGAGCTCAACCGGTGGCAGAAGTACGCGTACGGGTGCAGCGAGCTGCTCTTCAACCCGCTCAAAGACTGGTGGCGCAAGGGCCCGATCAACCACCAGATCCACCAGTTCATGTGGTCTAGCGCGCCGGCGCACTACAAGATCTCGATGTTATCGTATATGTTCTCGTACTGTGCGTTTCTTTCCCTGCATTCACACTGCATATACGAGCCGATCTGATTGCTCGGGCTGTTGCAGACGGTATTGCGGGGTCAATCACCATCGGCGTGATCAACTACGTTCTGCTTGGGTTTGAGTTTCCTGTGGACGGCTTTTACATGCACTCGTTCGAGATCTGGATTGCAACTACGGTTGTGTTCTTTGGTGCTGGCAATGTTGGGTATACCCTTATGCAGTACCGCCTCGGTACGAAGAACATCGTAAGCTTTCCCTGTTTCTTTCCGACGCACTCCATGGCCCTGTTCTGATTGTACTTCTGCGAGTAGGGTTGGGCACTCCTCGAGAACCTGATGTGGGTTCCGTTCTTGTGAGTATTTCTCGCATCTTTTCGTTGGCTCTATTTTTGTCTGCTTCGAGCTTACAACTTTCTTTCGCCAGCTTCTTCTTCTTCGGTGGCCTCGGAATCCCGCTCTCGCTGGCGATTCTCGCACATCTGTTCTCGTACAACATTACGTGGAGCGCGACTATCAAGGAGGTAGAGAGGTCCAACTTCTTCAAGGAGGTCCCAAAGATTTTCAAGCGGTGAGTATTGGTCACGTCGTTGGCTATCCGTCTCTTTTTCGCTTTGGCTTTTTCGTGTGCTTCGTTCTCCGTTCTTCTCTCGTCTCGCGGTGGTGCTGTTGGCATTCCGCCGGAACGCTTTCGGTGATCACCGTGGCGGTGTGCTAGTGTTCTTTAATTTCTACCGTCTTTCCGGCGGGTCGCATTGTCGGACGTGGAGCGCATCCGTCCGGGCTTCGCCGCGTTCGGATGCGCAGCTTGCTTATCGTCGCTGAAGATACGGCGGACCTCCATGCGACCGATCAAGGCATCTCGCCTCGATTCCACCTTGTTCCCATTTGCCTTACATATTTTTTTGGATTGTGGACACCGACGGCGTACTGATGCGGAAACTTTCTCAGATTCTGGTTTCCTCTGCTTGTCTCAATCATCATCATTGCCGGCATGATCATCGCGAGCACGCCACTGGTGCCATATCAGTGGTCTGTCACGGGCACCGACGGCTGGGCTGTCATCCTGCCGTTATCGTAAGTTTCTCTTTAGGGCCAAGTACGCTAGCGTCTATGATTTTAATTTCCATTGCTTTCTAGTATCGTCACTGGATGTCACATCCTGCTCCCAGTGAGTCCCTGTCCTTTTTTACAATGTGATCCCCGTTATATCAAGCATCGTTCTGCTTTTCTCTTTTCATTTTCTCTTATCTCTAAGTCGGAACACGACTGACTTCGGACGTCATCCATCAGATTGTGCTCAACCCTTGGTTGATGATCTTCTCCTACTGAGGTCGCCGCTACCCCGAAATCCTATATCACCGATATCACCGCAAAACCTGTAATACCCCCCGTGACGGACACACGACGTATGGCTCTAGAAGGACTCGTTCCCCCCCTAATCGCATCCGTTCTGAACATGATATCTTGGACTCGAATACCTGCTTTTCATTACTGAGTTCCCCAGTCAAGAACTGTTACGGCTTCCGTTGGTACATTCACCATCACTTCATACCAGCCTCTTGCGTGCGCGCCGCAGTGCTTGATGCATGCTTATCGTGTATTTGCCTATGGCGCGATGCGGTGCCGTGCGCGGGCGGCCGGACGCTTCTCTGTGCATAGAATTAATCATACGTACATGCATACACACGTACCTCGCCGATTACGATTATTCCGCCATGGCCGAGCGCTATACGGCTCAGCGCCTGGCGGGCTTTAGCTATAAACACGTTCTTTTTATCTTCTGGCTCCTTTCTTTTTCTGTACGGTCGCTTCTCATACATATTTTGTAGCATTGTGTTTCTGCTCCGAGCTGTTTTTTTTCTTTTTCCTTATACCAATTGCCACCCCGGTTTGTGTGGACGCTTTGTTTACTTAATCAGATCATAACATCCTTCCGCAGGTTTCCTGTATGGTTGTGTGAGTGGGCTAACTTGAATCACCCCTTTGTTCTGTTTCTCTTCTACGAAGATGTGTTGGTAAGAACATTGTGGAGGAATTGGCTACCTTCCTTTTTACTACAAACGGCTGCCTAGGGGAGACTAGGTAAGAACTAACGAGAATAATGAAGTGACACTCATAGTTGACTGCCCTCCAGGAAGGTGTCCGGTTAAATGACGGGAATAACTCAACGAAAGATAGACGTGTCGCTAGTGGATGGCAACCTATTGGAGGCTCATAGTACACGGCCCAAGTTCTTGCCTTAGGACGTGGGGAAGTGCTGCAAACTCGTTGAAGTTAAAGTTAGATTCCAGTGGTACATACCTGCACCAAAGCCTCTACCTACACAAGCATTAATGGGGTAGTGGTAACCTGGGTCGTTGCCATCGACCCGCCGGGGGTTCGATTCCCCCTTAATGCATGAACGCAATGCGAGTAACTTTTGCCGGTTTCGAAACATTTTGTCAGTACCGATAGCTGTCTTTGGAACATCGGAATACACATGTATATGCTAGTGTGATTACCAACTACACTAACACCTATGTACAATAACGTGAACTAGCTAGTAGAGATTTTCTTCCGCCAATCCAGCCTGAGGGGTTCCCTGATTTTTTAATCTCTTACGAAACAATATTATAGCGGTAAGTCTCAAGCTCAAGCGCTCAAATTTCAAACTTGATACTGCGTTTTATGCTGGTTATATCGGCTCCTTTGATTTTCTCCAACGGAGCACTAGCTCTTGATATACATTGTAAAAATAACGTGACTAGCACAGGGCTACCACAGTTGGTGTATTTCCGAGGGACTTGATCCAAGACCAGATATCACTGACGCTGATTCAAAAGTCAAGCTCCCAAGGCTATTTCTGTCGCAAAAATCATGGTGAATTGAAAGAGGCGCCCAGCTTTAGTGAGGGACGCGCTTGTATTGCCGACCCGACCTAATTCGGGATCTGCCAATTTGGAGCAACCCGTCGACCCAAACCGTCCAGAGCACTCCTGTACGACGCGCCGACAACCCTGTCCCTATACCACTCACTTACCTGTAATCCTTCCTATCGCCTAGCTTACGATGTCGCGGCCACTTAACGATGACGAGGTCCTCAGCGAGATGAACAAGATGGTGCGTCACAGTCGTTGCAAGGGCCCCCTCATCCAGCGCACAAGTGCTGATCCGGCAATGTTTCGGCGTGCAGGTCGCGTTCATTAAGCAGGAGGCTATGGAGAAAGCCCGCGAGATCAGGGTTAAAGCTGACGAGGAGTTCGCGATTGAGAAGGTATGTCCCGATGTGCTTCAGACGTCCTCAGAGCGGATGGTAACGAGGTGCCTGTTGTCGTATTCGCCCCGTGCAGGCCAAACTTGTGCGCCAGGAGCAACAAGCCATCGATGCACAGTATGAGAAGAAGCGCAAGGGCGCCGAGGTCGCTCAGAAGATGTACGTCCCCCTCCCTTACAATTCACTGCCCGCGCGTCGCTCACTCGCTGGCCCGCACCCGCACCCATTTCCGCAGCGCGCAGTCCAACCTGACCAACAAATCGCGTCTGAAGCTCCTACACCGCCGCGAAGAGCAGCTCCAGGAGCTCTTCGCCAGCGCTCGCGAGTCGATCAGCTCTTTCGCCCAGGACGAGGGCCGCTATACCCAATTCCTGGAGGGTGTCATCGTCCAGGGCTTCCTGCAGCTCATGGAGCCCAAGATCACGCTTGTCGTCCGCGAGCAGGACGCCGACATTGCACAGAAGTCCGGGGAGGCCGCCGCGTCGACCTTCAACGAGCTCAGCGGCCGGAACGTGTCGTTCGAGATCGATACTTCGCTGAACAATGAGAGGTACGTAATGCCAAATCCTCGGCTCCCCTCCCCTGCCGCGAATCTGACTCTGATGTATGCTTCCCAGTGCCGGCGGGATCAAGCTGATCAACACATCCGGCCGAATCGTCATCGACAATACCCTCGACGAGCGATTGAGACTGCTAGAGGACAGGGTACGTGATCCGACCGCCCTATCATCTTTAGCTTGAGTGCTCATCTATGCTCCGCTAGATGCTGCCCGAGATTAGGAGGGATCTGTTTGGCCCCAACGAGAACCGGAAGTTCTACACATAGGAGGAGGGCCTTCTCTCGGACTAACGTCGTTGGCAGACCATGGCTCTACTCTACTTAATGAAACCCGTGACGTTTTATATCTCGTTTTAGTGAATGTACCACTTGCGAAGTCTTCACTGGATGTTTTGGCCGGCATCATCCACCGACAGAGAAATTATCTGCGGGCAGCTTTTCGTACCAGTGGTTTAAATCCTGTGGCTGTTTAAGACATCGAGGCATCATTCCGTTAACGTGCCCTCAAGCTGGCGAAGACCTTCTCAACGCCTATCATTGCGGCCATCGTCCAGACTTGGGGCTCTCGTCCAGCAAACGTGTTACGTGCGGTTCTGTTGGGGAAATATACACCATAATCCGGGACGCCATTCATTGACGCTGGAACGTGCTCGTCCTCTAACAGCGATCAGATTGTTTAGATTCGAATCAGCGCAACTCTATCGCGCGTGTCGCGCCTCAGCCAGAGTTCGCCTGCTGCGCCATACTGTGAAAGGGTCGTCAATATCTCGGACACGCGAGCGTACATTCGTAGTTGGGTGCATACCTTGAGACAATCGCGCATGACAGTCCTGCGAGAGGCTTTGTAGTCATCCAAAGCCACCTGTGCTCCTTCCTTCCCCGCTTCGACGTCAGCGTGAAGCTTCGTCAGCTGGGAGACGACATCCTGAACGTCTCCAGTCCAGTATTGCAGCCCTTTCTCGCGAGGCGGGAACCCAACTAACGCGGTGCGTGCTTATGAGAAGACGCGGTCCGCGCAGTCACGCATCATGGAGAGAAGCTGCCTACCTGAAGGAACATACTTGGCGATTTCCATCTCCGCGCTGACCTCAGGAAAATGCTTCGGGATATCGTACTCTGCTATCGTGCTTGTATGCCCATCAGTTGCGATTCCCTGGACGGCCTTCCCCGCAGCCTGTGAGCGACTCACTTTGCCGCCAGGCAGCTCATGCAAACCCGACGTGTGAGCTGAAGGTTGGGACGCCCAGGAGCATCCTGGCCGCAAAGCTGCCCAATCTATCTAAACATCGTGCGTGAGTGCAACAGCGAGATTCGACGCACCTGGCATATCGGTGGTCCAAATAGTAGGTATGCCCACTGCGGCTCGGACACATCGGATCTGCACGCCGGCACATCGTTGCGCACCTTGCGTGCCGACATCCAGACAGTGACAGACTGTTTAGACATCATGACCCGTCTAAGCTCTCGGCTTGTCCAGCATATATGGAGAAGGTCCAACGGCGTGAGTTCTGAGAAGATCTAGCAAAGTAGGCTTCGTTGGTGGTGAAGCCAGCGAGAACGCGGAGTGGCGCTAACCTCGTACACGACATCGAGTGGGAGAGATGTAAGGCTAAGTGCCGATGGTTCCTTCTGTGAGGCTGCCCATTAAACGTTGTACTGTTAAAGCAGTCGTGCTGAGTGGTCCACATCCGTCGAGAACGTACCGTGTTCCATAGTTGGCTCAATATCAATCTACAAAGATAGTCTGATGGTGGTCATGCAAAACTGTGAGTCTCGGGCAGGGAGGCCAAGCACACATCAAGTTGGAGGCTTACGCGTAGTAGCGGAGTACAGACATGCAGCAATGGGATCAGAAACAAGGCAAATCACGGTTCACGATCCCAGGCCACAGCCCGCCGAGATAGCAAAAAAACAACCACCATTGCATGCATTAAGGGGGAATCGAACCCCCGGCGGGTCGATGGCAACGACCCAGGTTACCACTACCCCATTAATGCTTCGTATAAGTGGGGCTCAAAGAGCAACTATAAGATTAATGCAGTAAGGTCACGAGAGCGGCATACTGTGTCCGGCCCGACAGTAACTCCGAACATAACGCTTGAGAAGCCAGAATGTGGGGTGGGATTTCTGGACTGGGATACAGCTGCATCCTCATATTCGCCTCAACTCTCTCTCAATCACTCTCTTTAGTCTGCTTGTGAGGTCGCTCTTTCTCTTTCAGACCTTTGAAACGCAGCGCGATTTGAAGGGACAGTACAAGAACAATAGCTCGAAGCACGGGACCAAGACCGAGTTCCCCAGATCCGGAAGCCCGCCGTCAGGCTGCCAGCGGTCAGCTCAGCGATCAGCGCCGGTTCTACGCACACTCTGTGTACAGTGTGAGAGCCGACCGTCGTCTTCTCGTCGCCATCTCCGTGCGTACTCATTCAGCCTATAAACGTCCTCACCTCCCCGCTAACATCGTGTAACATCGTGCGCGTCCACGCTGAACACACCCAGATTAGCACACTCACCATACTGTCTCTTCATCACCTGCTTCCCCCTCTTCTCAGCCGCCCCGATCCCTCGCTACTCGCCCTGGCACATGTTTCGTCGTTGGGACCAATAGTAACGTACAACGATCGAGTCTGAGGAAGCTGTTACGAGACGCTTCTCCCGAAACTTTCCCCCAGAGACTATAATAATTTACGCGATTCATCATGATTACGACTATTCAAGCCCTCGTTTCTAGCCTCTGGGCTTACTTCCTTTCTGTCTTCTTCGGCGTGCTCCCTTCATCGATGCAGCTCCTCATGCGCCGCATCGTGCACGCGCTCACGGTGACCACAGTCATCTCGGTGGTCTCCTCGGCGCCCCCTGGCTTCCCCGCCTCAGGCAATGGTCTCTGGTACACAAGTCCTGGCACCATTTGGGCCCAAGAGCTGCTTCCAATCGGAAATGGTTACCTCGCAGGTCAGTCGTGCCAAAGTCACGCTTAGCATACCATAGCTGAAGTGTGAATTCAGCTATGCTTCCCGGCGGCATCCAACAGGAGTCGACGCAGTTGAACCTCGAGTCACTTTGGAGTGGGGGGCTCTTCCAGGATCCGGTACGATGCTGCAGTTCAAATTCTCGCAAAATTTCTGACCAGCTGCTCATAAGTCATACAATGGAGGAAACAGCCCCGCATCGGATCAGGAGCAGCTGGCGCAAGACATGCAATCTATTCGGCAGCAGATTTTTGCCAGCCCCAATGGCACCATCAACAGTACGTTACCATTCTACGGAGTGAATCAGTTTCTGATGACGTTCTTAGACATTGAAGAGATCATGTCTCCTATTGTTGCCTATGGTACGCGTCCAAATGTCAACGTGGCGTTCGTATTCCTCACCTTTTATCTAGGCGGTTATGGGGGAGCTGGATACTTGCTTGCCACTTTGAACACGTCGTCAAGCACCCCTTCTAGCTACTACCGATGGTTGGATCTGGACGAAGCCGTTCAACGCACTCTGTGGACCCAGGATGGCGAAACATACACCCGGTAGGTTGCTATTCATGTCCGCACCCCTATAAGCGCTCATTCAATGAAATTAGCGAATCATTCTGTTCACACCCGCTCCAAGCATGCGTTCAGTATCAGAACACGACGGGATCATCCCTTCCATCCCTGACGTATGCCTACTCCGTTGCCGCTGAGGCCGGAATTCCGACCCCCAACGTGACATGTATGGACAACGCGACGCTGAGCATCAGAAACTATATTTCCAGTCCCGGGATGCTGTACGAGATCATCGCGCGCGTTGAGGCGCCCGGCGGTACATCGAGTTGCACCGTCGTTAGCTCCAACCCGACGAACGCGACACTCACTGTCACGGGTGCCAAGGAGGCCTATATCACATGGGTCGGCGGCACCGACTACGACATCTCCGCGGGCACGGCCGCGAGCAACTTCTCGTTCCAAGGCCCGGACCCGCACAGCGCGCTCGTGTCCATCCTCAGCTCGGACAATCTGCAGTCCAGCTCGTACGAGACGCTCCTTGCGCAGCACATCGCCGACTACCAGAGCATCATGTCCCCGTTCTCGCTCTCGCTCGGCCAGACGGCGGATCTGTCGACGCCAACGGATCAACTCGTGGCCTCGTACCAGACATATGTCGGGGACCCCTACCTCGAGTGGCTCACGTTCAACTTTGGCCGATACCTGTTGGCTGGGAGCGCTCGTGGTATCTTACCCGCCAATTTGCAGGGTAAGTGGGGCCAGCTCACGGAGAATGCGTGGGGAGCGGGTGAGTTTTCTGCTTTGCACCGTGAGTTTGACTCTGAACTCCGTCTTTCAACCAGATTATCGTGAGTTGGGAGTCAAACTGTGACGACTGAACAGGCGCTAAACGCGTGAGGCAGACTCGAACATCAACATCCAGATGAACTACTGGTTTGCTGAGATGACCAACCTCAACGTCACGCAGTCTCTGTGGAACTACTTTGAGGTACATTTATCGAACATCCATAGTTTCTGTGTCTGAATTCTGGGTAGGATACGTGGGCGCCTCGCGGGGCTGAAACTGCACAGATCCTTTATAATATCAGTCAAGGATGGGTCACCCACGATGAAGTACGTCCATTTCCCCCCATACTCGACTTTGGTACTCACAGTTCGTCAGATGAACGTACGTAGAAAAAGACGCGACATTCACTCTTCTCATACCGACCTTCTCGTATAGATCTTCGGGTACACCGGCATGAAGCTCGACGGCAACTCCGCACAGTGGGCCGATTACCCCGAGTCCAATGCCTGGATGGTGAGACCACGAAACTCTACGTACGCGGTCTCGTGCTCATTCTCGTTCCCAGATGATTCACGTGTGGGACCACTTCGATTACACTGGCGACGTCGCGTGGTGGAAAGCTCAGGGATGGCCTCTTCTCAAGGTATTTTTGGTTTTCGTAACTTTATTCACCATGACGGTCTATTGATAACCTTCTATCAGGGTGTCGCAAGCTTCCACCTCGAGAAGCTTATTGAGGACCTGCATTACAACGATGGTACCCTGGTCACCGCCCCGTGCAACTCTCCAGAGCAAGCTCCGATCACATTTGGTGAGTCGTTCTCTTCGACTTGCAAGACGTCATCCGTCACTAAGTCACAATCCAGGTTGCGCCCACGCTCAGCAGCTTATTTGGCAACTCTTCAACGCAATTGAGAAAGGTTACGCTGCCGCCGGCGACGATGACACGGAGTTCTTGGACTGTACGTGATGTGTGTATGAATACAACGCCTTCGTCTGATCGAGCTTCTCCAGCTATTCAAGAGAAGCGTCAGAGCATGGACAAAGGTCTTCGTATTGGATGGTGGGGGCAGCTGCAAGGTAAACATATATTGCTACGATAGCTGGTCAGCGGGCTCACGTCGCTTTCACAGAATGGAAAGTAGACATGGATCAGCCCAACGATACCCACAGGCATTTGAGCCACCTCATCGGTACAGAATTCGTTGGATCCCCAAACAAAGCCTCTAATTAGTGTCGCAGGTCTTTACCCGGGCTACGCTATTGCTTCGTATGATCAGGCCATCCAGGGAGGCCTGACCGTCAACGGAACCTCCCTTAACTACACCAAGCAGCAAGTTCTGGACGCTGCAGGGATCAGTCTGCTTCATCGTGGAAACGGGACTGGTCCGGACGCGGACTCGGGTTGGGAGAAGGTCTGGAGAGCAGCGTGCTGGGCACAGCTCGGCAATGCGACTGAGTTCTACAAAGAACTAACTGTAGGTTTTTCTTTGTTGTAGATGCTTGTGTATCGCTAACGCTTGCGCAGTACACAATTGACGAAAACTGGGGCTCGAACCTCTTCGATCTTTACTACCCCAACTCGACGACATTCCAGATCGACGCCAACTTTGGTTTCCCCGCAGCCCTCCTGGTGCGTTGCCTTTGTCCGCCTTTTAGTTCCCCACACGTCTCACTATATACTACCAGAATTCCATACTCCAGGCACCTGATGTCGCCAGCTACGACATCCCCCTCCAAGTCAACCTCCTCCCCGCGCTGCCCTCGGCGTGGCCCTCGGGCTCGATCACCGGCGCCCGCATCCGCGGCGGCATCACTCTCGACCTCGAATGGAGCAACTCGAAGCCGACGTCGGCCAAGTTCACCGTCGACAGTGACGTCTCGGGCCGCGAGCGCAACGTCGTGGTCAACTTTGGCGGGCAGACCGTCGGGTCATTCGCCACGAGCAGTGGGTTGACCAAGACACTCACGTTCTAAAGTGGATGAGAAATCAAATACCACTGTCATTTTCCATGTATATAGCGGGTCGTTGCTGGCCCACTGATGAACTTTTTGTACCATTGTGTGTAAATATGTAATTTATCGTTGTTTTCACTTCAAGCTTCCGCAGAGTGTCGCAGGCCTTACGAACTGTTTACTGAATGCCTTTGTAAATCATAGATGTCTTTAAATACAAATTTATATCAAGCATTAATGGGGTAGTGGTAACCTGGGTCGTTGCCATCGACCCGCCGGGGGTTCGATTCCCCCTTAATGCATACATGCGATGAATTTTTGCCTTACAATATGCTTGCCTTTCTTAACCAAGTCCAGTATTATACGCACTCTTCAGTGGTGCCAGCAGCCAGCTCCTAACATCTAGCGAAACACGCCTTTTGCCTAAACCACCATGGATCTCTCGGAGATTCCACCCGAGCTTCGCGCAAAGGTCATGGCCGCACTGTTCGAGCCGCAGGATCACTCGAAGGACGTCCGCCGTCTCAAGAGCAGCAGTTTTCCCGGCGGCGTGATTGAGCTTGACGTTGTGTCCGAGCCTGCACAGCAACAGGGCGACATAACGCACAACTGTGACCTTCTCTGTCCCAAATGCGGAGCCTATCAACTCAAGGCCAGGGTGGCCACGCTCGTGGAACTCAGCAACATCGAGGTTCATCGCTCGTGCCATACCGTACAGAGGCAACGCGCTCATCTCCGTTCATGATAGCCCATGGCCTCTGAGGTTAGGATCGCGAGCTCATCCGAGCTGGTGCTGCCTGCTCTGCCCCCACCGCCTGGTACTACTCAATGGTGGCACGCTAGCGGTGATCCGGTGGAGCTGTGCGGAAACCTCGGCTTTTCTCGACCTTACACTCTACCATCGGACTCTAACGGTGATTTCCTCGCTATCACCCTCCGTTTCTTGGTCGTTGACTGTCATGACTGTAGAGGGAAAGCAGGTGCAGCTCTTTACTTGCTCGTGTTGCGATGTAGGTCCTCTGGGTTGGCGCGAGGTGAAAGGCGGGGAGTTCTGGCTGGCATGCGAAAGGGTTGGGTACAAGGCGGATCCGATGAATGCATAAGAATGTATCATATCCTAGCTGGGGCCATCTATCTGTGGTAACGCCAATGTACAAAGTATCGAAATCGTGTGTGACAAGGTACCGTCGATGAAATACTCACTGCACTGAGCGTTCTCCGGATCTCCCCCGCATATGCTGATTCAACTTGATCCTCCATTATCGTATCCTTTTACATAGAGCGGGGCAGGCCAAATAATAATGAAGATGTGTGTCACCAGTGGTATACCATGTTTCACGGTTGAGGCAGACAGGGGTTTTCGTGGGGCTGGGAGGGTTTGCCGAGGCCTGCGAACATAGGCGTTCGTCCCTTCAAGCGCCATCCCTTGTTCTGTTCTGTTCTGTTCTGTTCTGCTCGGTGCAGCCCTCGAGTCTCTGGGTACGCTCGGCATCAGTCTTTCCCCATCCAAAGTGCTGCTTGCTTTGCGTGGGCTCGGTCAGCTTATCGAACTTCCCACCAAACGCACCGCAGAACGCGTCTTTCCTTATTCCTTTCATTGACTTCACTTGCAGCCCTTTCCTTTCCTCTACTCTACCCTCCTCTCTTCTTCCCAACTTCGATATCCTCCATCCTCGGTGATTCGAGTTTCAGCTGCAAGCCACACGCGCTCGTTCCGCCACATCACCTCCCGGGTCTCGATTCGTTTCGTGCACTCACCGGTCCGAGACTTAATCCTCGATGTCTGGCCTACCTGGTTCATCTTCCTCTGCGATGGCGGGCGGACAGAATCCACATCCTATGTTGGAGAACAAGGAGGATAAGAACAGCGTAGTCATCAAAGTTGGGATGGTTGGGGATTCGCAGATTGGCAAGACGAGTCTTATGGTTAAGTACGTGGAAGGCAGTTTTGACGAGGACTATATTCAAACGCTGGGTATGTTGTCTCTATGTTCTGCACATCATGTCAGCTACTTATGCACTTCCAGGCGTTAATTTCATGGAGAAGACGATATCCGTCCGGCGGACAACCATCACGTTTTCTATCTGGGACCTGGGTGGACAGCGCGAGTTCGTCAATATGCTCCCGCTCGTCTGTAATGACGCAGTTGCTATCCTATTCATGTTCGATCTTTCGAGAAAATCAACGTTGAACTCTGTCAAGGAGTGGTACCGTCAAGCACGGGGCTTCAACAAGGTGAGGGCCTCCGACGACCTTGTGATCCTCGATTACGCGGACAGCGCCTAACTGACTCTCTCTTGCGGCATTCTGCGCATATATGAACTTCAGACTGCCATACCATTCTTGATTGGAACCAAGTTTGACACTTTTGCAACGTTCCCGCGTGACGAGCAGGAGGAAATTACGAAACAGGTACGCGGCGATTCTTCACATGGTTGACTTTCACTCTGACATGTCATATTACAAAGGCGAAGCGCTTCGCTCGCGCCATGCACGCTTCCCTCATCTTCTGCTCAAGCTCGGCGTCAATAAACGTTCAGAAGATATTCAAGATCGTACTCGCGAAAGCCTTCGACCTGAAGTGCGTGATACCAGAGATTGAAGGCGTCGGAGAGCCCGTACTCCTATACGTGGATGTGTAACATATGTATCGAATTTTTAAACGGGCACCGGTATGGAAAGATTGGTAAAGCACAGAAACAGACCGAATACATTGGACCGGTGAGGATGATGCGTCGTACCTTTTGTGAGCGCTATGTGTATTCACGCTCGCAAATTTGCAGGATATTGTGCCCAGGTTCGCAAAATCAACCTCCACAACACGTGTCAAACACGTTTCCCCAAACACTTTGCCCACTGGACACTTGGATTTAGATGACTTCCGGCCCGTTTTCATGGCACCACGGACTTCAACCTGGCTGCTTCTCATCCTACCGCTTCTACTTTACCCGCAAGATTTTCGAATTCCCTTTCCTACATACCTCTGACTAATCCACACCCTCCTTCTGCTAGTCCTTGTCGTCATGTTGTCACATACGTTTTGATGCAGTCATCCCTGTCTTCGCTCCCCGTCGCCGTCCTTCCGCCCGCATCTATTCGTACATTCAATCAGCGCACATATCAAGTTGTTCTGCCCTTTGAAAGCATTCCTCCCCGCGCTCGTTATTGTCTCTTCCTTTGGAGGTGGTTGTGTATTTTTACCATGATATATCTCACCAACACATGTCCTAATGCTTTCACTACGGTAATCATTATTTCTGAACCACTACGGGACTCCCCTCTGGTGCCACGAAGCTTGCGGCGATGTCGCAGGCTCCTATACAGGACCACAAGCCCTGACCTCGGTGCTCAATTATTTTCGAATGCACTGCTCTTCAATGCAATGGTAGGCCGCCACGGGTTACGGCGCCATTGCGTCGGGGTCGTTTCACAACGTACCTTTTACAGATTTATCACACTGCCATCGGCATCACAAATCAATTGCTAACTTTAGACATCTACTTTCACCGTCTTTTGTAGGAGGTTCGTCGTCCCACGAATGGACAAGAACATCAGACCTTACAACCTCTGTCAGGAAGCTTATCCAGTACGGTAATCATCACCTGACGGTGGTGCTTGTGGACTGAGTTCACAATCATCTTCGCGACAGAAATCATCAGGCCATCAGCGTTACTCTGCTTCTCGGGCCTACTTTAAGGCCAAAGTGGCTGATGAGCTCCCACCGATGCCATTCAGCGGTGAGAGCTCTCATTCGCCAGCGTGGGGCTGCATTCTTTCATGGCAGAGGTGGGAGCACCGACGCGTTCACATGAAGGTCATACTGCAGTGCTACACAGCTAGCGAGAAATACTTAACGTCAGCTGGGTGGGATGAACATTCTCACTCCGTCGTTCTCTACACCCCCTTCCTTTCGACAGGACAGGCAGCCCCGGCGCCATGCTGCAGCCAAATGGAATCCCTCTTGACACCGCGGCCATCGTGTCGACTGTGCTAGAGGGCATTCTCTATGGTGCGTGTTCATTTCTGCGCGTCCTCGCATCTGAATCGAGAGCGATTGGTCTGATCGCCTGGGTTTTCTCGCTGCTGCACAGGGTTCTCCGTTTTCATGTTCATCGGGACCATCTGGTCCCTGACGACAGGGCGGAAGTCTTCGGAGTTCAACAGTAGGATGATCACTGTCGCCTGTCTCCTCCTGATCATAAGCACGACCGTGAGTAAACGCCCACACCGATGTTTCTCTGCGCTTACGCATGTATATAATAGCATATGGTTATAGACATCATAAGGACGCAGGAAGGGCTCGTGAAGTATCGCGATACGTTCTACAGCGGACCCGATGGGCCGAACGGCCCCCTGGGATTCTTTTCTGACGTTGCCGAGTGGAGTTTCGTGGCCAAGAACTTGATTTACACACTTCAGACGTTGGTTGGGGATGGTGTCGTGGTGAGCTACACTTCGTACACGCAAATGTGTCGCTCGCGCTGATCATATGAAAGATTTACCGCTGTTATGTGGTATGGCAGTCGCGGCTTGTGGTCATTGTCCCGCTCCTTCTATGGTGCTCAGTAGCAGGTACGCATCTATAGTTTGGATGTCTCAAGTTCGTGCGGTGTTTATATTCTCTTACAGTGACCGGGGCTGGCTGTGTATACTCGGAGACGCAGGCCACAACCGACAAAGAGAACATCTTCGCTAGTGGCACTGGCCCATGGATCACTGCATTTCTCGTGTCTACTCTCGTCGCCAATTTAATTAGTACCAGTACGTTCTTCTTTAGCAAAGGCACCGCTCAAAACTGAGCGATTGTAGCCCTTCTTGCGTATCGTATATGGAACGTGTCAAGACGTGTGGGTCATATCCAGGTACAAAAGTCAACTTTATGGCCTTTCCTCCGCATCATCCTCGACTCCGGCATCCTCTACTCTATCACTCTTCTGGCCGCGCTCCTCTGCTTCGTTGCCAAAAATCGCGGTCACTACGTTCTTCTCGACATGGTCAGTCATTGTGGATCCCCAAGCATTTTTCGTGGTAGTTGAGCTGACTTCTCGAAGATCATGCCCATCATCTCCATTACGTTTTACTTGGTGATTATTCGCGTCACATTAAAGAAGTCATCATCCCAAGATCATCACGCGAGACCGACTCCGCCCATATTCCATGGATTCACCGCCAGCGAGATCCCATTCTACAACGACACCCCGTCGTCGGCGTATCCGCTGAAGCGTCTTGAGGTTCACATGACTCACATGACAGAGACGCACGAGGATGAGCCCGCGGACTCGCCAAATAACAAGAAGGATAGGCTCTCGACGAACGAAGACATTGAATCCGTGCAGGAAATAGTCGAGGATAAGTTTGATGTCTAGGCGATCAGTGTTTATCACACAACTGTAACGAGTGGTGTCTTCGCCCACGACCACTCTCGATACCATAGGGGACATTTTGAGCTGCATAGTATATTACTTGTGCTACCACCTAGTATGCTACTCACCACCACATGTAACATTCTCTAACTTTAAATGGTTTCTTACTAAAGCAAGGGCCGTTTGCATAACACAAAAACAATCTAATGCTGAATACTACAGCACAGCATGATCATAACTCTGGAGAAGTGTCTGCTTGCCTTCTGCGTTCGTAGTGCGAACACTTTGGATATGGATATGGAGCACGACAGTCCATCGGCATTGCCCTGGATCAACGTTTGACCTCCCGTCCTACTTATCCATAGCACCCATCAACAGCCCTCCGACAATAGTCCCAAGCGGCGCGAGCGGCCAGTGGTTCCACTGCCCCTTCCCGTTATTCGCCCAGCAAACCAGCCCGTCCGCATACGCCACGCAGCTTAGAGCGATCATGATCGCCCCGAGCGCCTTGCGGTTCCCGTGGTAAGATGCTGCGTACACCGCGACGCCCATGAATATGTCACGGATGCCGTACGCGAGCATGAGGCAGTCCACGACCTTGCGCGCGGGCGATGACGCAGGCGGCATCTCGAGCTCGAAGAGTGTGAGCGCGTGTTCGGGGCGAAGAATCGCGTTGACACCATAGCCAATGGCGGCGGTCCCGAAGATGGATGGTACGATGCTGAGGATAGGCGATTCGGAGATGCGGGGCATGGCGTTACAAGTTACAGGCTATGGATGATCAACAATGAATGCAACAACAATTTTTTGTGGGCGCGTACCTTCCGGCAAGTAGTCAGATATGAAGACTCGGACTCTGATCCCTTGATGTGGGGACGTACTGAGGTGGAGAGGTTTCACATATAGCTTCTTGCAGGGGCAGGTGTTTATCAACACAAGGAACAGCCGAGCCATTTATTGACTCCTTGGCATTGCGGAGCTAGACGCATCCATGTAGCAACTTGATGTCAGGGGATTTGTACTAGTTATAGGTTCTTGAGATATACAGAGGCGGGTTCAAGTTGCCTCTGCAGGCCAGCACGAACTCGGTCATGAACGTAGAGAACATTGCAGCGGCTTGGTGTGCGAGAGGCGAGAGTGTGGGTCGTATGAAAACATTTGGCGACGCATCTGCCAGTGGCGACGCGCGTCCCAGGTCAGCGCGTCGCGTCGATATCAGTTTTAGAATCGCGTCGCACGTCGGATCAGGGGCTTGAGAGACACTTGATTTAGACACGCGACGCGCGAACGTGTCACTTGTCTTTTCCGCCCAGAGTCTAATATTTCTCTTGACACTTCCTCAACATGATATCCTAAAATCATCCTACGCCCGATCCAAAACACCTGCTAACAACGCCCCGACAACTGTCAACATCGGCGCATACCCCCAATGATTCCACTCTCCCTTGCCAGCCAGATAGCACGCAATCCCATCCACGTATGCGACCCCACTCCCCGCAATCACAATCCACCCGAGCGCGCGCGTGGCCCTGTACCACGCCGCGGCGTATATCGCAAGGCCCATGAACACGTCGCGTGCACCATACACGATCATCAGTCCCTCGACAACCTTCCTGTGCTCCGACGAAGCGGACGGCAGGTCCCACTCGAAGAAAGTCAGCGCATGCGCCGGGCGAGCGATCGCGTTCACGCCGAATGCGACGAAGATGGTCCCGAGGGCGCTCGCCCAGAGGTGGAGGAATGTAGAGTCGGAGAAGCGCCTGCTGGGGGGAGCCATTCAAGTCCAGAGATTGGAGACTGTTTGGCGGGTGTTAGCCTCAACGGGCTCTTAGACGAAGCGGTGAAAGGGTGCGTGCCTTCTTGTATGAAGATGTTACGATGTCGTGGGCAGACGGTGTGTGGTGGAGGTAACAACTCCAGGTCCTTGTAGGGCTGACGCGACGCGTCGCCTTTTATATCCACTCATTAGAAGGCCAAGCCGCGTACGTACACACTTTTGTGTCATAGAATGAAGTGGGTCGAACGCCATCACCTTCTCACACACAATCTACATGATTCTCGTGAGACTTCATTTGAGGCTCTGAGTCACGAATGGTTCAGGGCCTTGACTATATGAGCGTCCGCAATCTGACACACTATGATGTGGCCGTGGTACATGTGAGCTCTTAGATGTGCACGGATTCTCAGAGACGCATCGTAAACACGCTTACTTGGGAGCACTACCATCGACGACGTATAGCAGGACAACTACGTATCGAGTCTTACTTCCGAGGTGCCGCTGGTACACAAAGGGTGCACACTTGAAGCCGCTGCAAAGTCAAGTAAGTACTTGCTTCTCGAGGCTATTATAATATTCACCAGCCCTGCGACAAATACAACGCCATCGTCATTCGAATGGCATCAGCACTCATGCATGGTCCGATGCATCGCGTTGATCGGACCACAGAAGACGCTTGGTACTCCCGCGCCTCATGTTGGTCGTACGAGTCACTCGACAACGTGCTAAGGAAGCTTCCGCTTTTGCCTGCCTGGGAATAACTTCCATTCAGTGTCAAAACCCTCGCTTCCAATTTGCCATGAAAATGATATAGAAGATCCTTTCGAATTAAAGAGAGAAAATGAAGTTGAAGAGAAAGTCGAAGTTCTCTTGCGTGTACACCAACTTGAACGACATCGCACCGACAGACAGACCTCGAAAATAAAAGTGCAAATTATATTGATCATACACAACGCAACACGATACAGACAAATCGTCTCACTACACTCCCGCCAGTCGAGTACCCACGGAACAGTAAAGTGCCAAAGGGCGGTAGAAAGAGACGCGAAGTCCCCGTAGCGCCGAGAGACGAGGCAACCTAACAGACACGAAGTCGCTGGGAAGGCACACGAAATCTCGACGACTGTCTGAAGCACGAGGCCTCAGAGGATAGAGACCGAAGTCTCAAGAAAGGGACCGAAGTCCCCCTCGCGGTGCGAAAAATTTGGGGTAAATATACCCAATGGCAGGTGGCGCGTGAAGCACCAACCCCTCGCTTAGCAGAGGCAGGATGGTCGTCCTCGCCAATGCTGAAGCGTTCTCGGGCCTGTGAAGACACCGAGGTCGTCGACGTGAAGCCAACGACTTGAAGAAGAGGAATCGCCGGAGTGGCGGCATGGAGTAGCCGCCTTGTAAGCAGCGCCGCTCGCGGGCTCTTGTACTGCTGGTCCTGGAGTGAAGCGTCAGATGGGTTGGCGTGGACAGACTGAATAATGAACCTACCAAAACGGAGTAGAACCCAAGACGTTAGCTAGAGCTACGCCATAGTGAGCCACACATAAACACCGCAACAAGCAGTACGACGTACCAAGATTCCGTTGCGGGAGGCGGGACCAGCCGAGTGGCGGTCGAGTCGTCAGAGGCAATGATAGCGGTCGCCAAGAGCATTGTCCGCGTCAGTCGCAGCGTCGGTCAGCCCGCGGCCCAACAAGCCACACTATCCACGGTCTTGGAAACGTGGGCTTCATGCAACCCATCCAGCACTCACGAGCATTTTTCCGCACTCCAGTCAAAGCAAGCGGCAGGTGAGCCACGCCACTGCAAGGACCTGCCGACGACACAACGGGTTAAGAGGAAAGCTGAGCCATAGAGAGCAAGCGTTGGCGATGAGAGAGCAGAGGAGAGAAGCTGAGGGAGCTGAGGAAAATCGATGAAGGATGGGCAGCCTTTTATCGTATTTCGAGGGCTCGCTTGCGCTTGTTGATTTCAACTCCGAGTCGTTCTCCAGTGGATATTTGCTTCTGTTTGTAGCATAATTTCCCCAATCGAGGCCGGATCGGCAAGCAGCGGTGCGGGCAATCGGCCCCGAGCTTTGACTGTTCCGTCTCTCCCATCCAATGGAAATCGAATCCGGTCGCGGAATAGGACGACCCTAACCACTCCAAGAGTTGCCCTGTCATGGGTGATGTCGGGTAGCTGTCGGAACTCAAATGCGAATAAAAGACTGCTTGTCGGCGGCCGAAATGACCCACGAAAGTTTCCTTTTACAAGCCGCTTCCAAAGCCTTGGTCATCGGGTGTTGGAGAACAATGCGACATGCGCCAGGTCTTGTGGTCTTTTGGCTGACAGCGTCTGACAGCGCTTGATCGATTTGAGAAGCCAGTTTCATTTTCCACCTTCAGCTGGATAGGCCCCGTCTCGCGGTGCAGTAGGTTGTGGCACATATTCAGATTCGAGCGACCTGATTATAGGATCTAAATCACCCTAGTGATTGGAAGGACATTAGCCAACACGACCACAGACACGCAGTGAGCGGATGGCATTTGGAGACGGGTTTCACACGGCACGGGGAGCCAGAGCACCACTGCCTGCAGGCCGATTGAGTTCGCGATTGGATCGCACCAAACGAAACGAGCTAAAAGAAACTGACTTCAGCGCCCCGAAAGGAAAAGTCGTGACCCCATACCGCAAAATATAAGCAAACACGAGTGATAGATTGCCTCGAGGCGCCTCGAGTTCTTTGACCTCAAGCCTCGGAGCTAGCGCAATTCCCAGGACGATCCAGTACGTTCACACAGACTGGGTTGCTCCCTCTCATTGAGGTTAGGCTTCCTAGTCCCGCTCAGCGCCATTCACCGGGCTTCGCACCGAAAATGTCACCTAAACGTCGCTAGCGGGTGCAGCTCCCATTGATCATGATTTTTAAGCGCTTAAGCCCTCATGTCGGCGAATATATCAGATCATTCAGAGGGAGCACAATAGCCTACAGAACCGTAGCTACCCTTTTCAATAATTATGTACATGCTCCCACAGATGCACGGAACACCTCGGGCTCGAATCGGACATCGGGCAGTCCATTGATGGTGACGTATCGTCGCGCGCACAGACGAAGGAATATTCGAGTCGGCGCGCCGGGGACCCGAGCGCTCCCTCCGACATAGTTAAGAAAGTCGCAGATCCAGAAGCTCAAAAATACGTAGCAAAGGTGACTCAACAAATCATTTACTCGACTCAAACTCTGACCTTATGCAAGCAGTAACTGGAGTACTAGTTCTCTCAGTGATCACGCCAAAGACATGGCGGCAAATGACAGACTGTGTATTGCACTACTGTCGACTACCAAACACAAACAATGCCCAGGAAAATAGATAGATAAAAATAATGATAATAAACCCGAAAGACAAGAGACAATGACAACGATGTGGTCCATCAACAGCAGCCGCTCTCGATGCCCTCCACATATTGCCCAATTGGGGAGCCCGAGTGTACATGCGCGTCGCCGCGCTCCTCCGTCGTTGACAAGGAACAGCCGGACTTGGAAGAGGAGGGGCAGGAGGCAGACCTCACGTCGCACTCTTCGTCTTCGGGTCCTGCAGACGTCATCGAACTCGCCCCGGAGGTGGTCGTCGAAGCCGATGTCCAGGCAGAGGTGGCAGTAGCGGTGCTCGCCGTCGAACAACACGACTCGTCATCACTGATGCTGCCCGCCTCGAAGCTTTCATCGCTGTCCACACCGCCATCCTCGTCCTCGTCACCGCCAGCCGAGTAGCAGGACTCAGAATCGGAGTCGTCGGAATCGATGAGCTCGGAGCGCTTCGCGGGTCGGCGGCCAGCGTTGGGGATTCTGGGGCAGTTCGTAGGCGGCATGGGGAACAGGTCGAGGAGGTTGACGAACGATCCGCTGCTCATGATTGACATCGAGCTTGTTGAGGATGCGAAGCTCGCGAGCGCTGAGGAATATGAGAGAGGTAAGGAGCTATGCAGAAGGTGAACATACAGGAAAGTGTCTCTTTAACCGAATCGGCGGAGGTGTGCTGCACGAAACTGGGGAGAGGATCTTTGCCCGCTGCATCGATGGATTAAGTTAGCGGGAAGAGAAGTGGAAGTTGCGAAAGGGGTACGAACATGGCATGCTGAACTCCGACTGGCCAGCAATGTGGATCGCGTCATGATCCGCGGTGACTTTGCCGTCGTGATCGATGAGGAACATCTGCGCGTGTGCAGCGTCGGCTTCCGATCCTAAGCGAGAGGCGGGATGTGAGCGTGGGGCGAAGAGAATGAAGACTCAAGTACTCACGTCGAAGCTTAGCCGCCTCCGCCTCCATCGCCTCTCGCCTCGCCAGCTCTTCACTCGCACCGTCGTACCCAACCAAAACGTCCTCGAGAAGCTCGCATCGTGCCCGGAGCTTCGCAGACGCGAACTTGACATCGACAACTACATCGGAGAGATGAGAGACCTTCTCCTTGTGCTGCGCGAGGCTCGAATCGGCTTCCTCGTGCGCCGCGTGGTACTTCCATGCCGTATCGAGATACTGGCTGCTGAGCTTGCGCTCCGCGTTCAGCGCGGACTGCGTCGCTTCGAGGTTCGAGAGCGCCTCCTCGAGCTCCGAGTCACGCATGTCGGTCTTGCGGGAGAGGTTGTGTAGCGAGAGCTCGGCGCGGTCGGCGCGGGTCATGTGGTGGTCGGCCCGTCGGCGCTCCTGCTCGAGGGCAGCGAGGAACATCTCCGTATCGGCGTCGGTGGAGGGAGCGGGAGGTGCTGAAAGAGCGGAAGTGGCAAGCTCGTGCTTGGCTTGAGCGAGTTCGCGCTTGAGAGAGGACACTTCTCGTGCGCCGATGGCGAGCGCGATTCCGAGCTGCTTCTCCACCTCGTGAACGTGGGAGGTGGTGGCGTCGAGTTCGCGTTCGACGATGTGTGCATGCTTCCCAGCTTTGGCGAGGGCGAGCATGAGGGTGGTGGTGTCTTCTTCGCCGGTCTGGACTACTTCGTGAGCTAGGTCACGCTCAAAGATCGCAACTTCTGCTTGTGCGAGGGCATCGGCAGCCCGCTTGGTGCTGTTCCTGTGTTTCCGGAGTGCTTCGTCCCGCTCGATCTCGAGATGCTGGATCTGGGCATCTCGTTCGCGAGTCTCCAGGCGCGCGTCGGCCAGCTGTGCCTGGAGGAAAGCGAGCCCCTCGTCCTTGTCTTCGATTTCGTCGTCCTTCTTCTCCAGCGCGTCCTCTTTCTCCCGGAGGCGAGCTATGGTCCGTTCGCGGTATTCGGCGAAGGCTTTCTTCGTGACTGTGCGCTCCATCTCCATGACCTCGATGCGTGCTTCAGCAGCGCCGGCCCGGAATGCAAGGGCTCGGGCATGCTCTTCGAAGTCGGAGGTGTCGTGCCTGTCGGCATTGGCCGAGCCTTGCTCGTTGAGAACATCATGCATTGCCTTCTCATCATCGAGAGTAGGCTGACGATGCGTCGATGTGGGATCGCCAGGTTCGATGAGCTTGGGAGAGGACGGAGAGCCTTGATGACGAGTGTCGAATGTGACCATGGATAGAACAGCGAGGATCACAAAGGGATTGGCAAGGCAGTGGACAGCGACGGCAGTAGCCACGGTAGTGTGGAAAAGGGTAGACAGACGCATGGTGACTGTAGGAGGTGTGTAGTGTGTACGATGTATGCAACTGTGGGGCAGGAGCGGAGAAGAGGGTTTGAGAGTGGAAGGGGAGATGAAGAGAGGTCGACGAGAATGCAGGGTTTATGAGTCTTCTGAAGACATGCCAGTCGATTTTAGAATCAGAGTTGGGTGGCAGGCGGGAGGCGGGCATGTGTAGATTGAAGCCCAGCGCTGAAGTTATTGGGCCATTTCGAGATTGCAATCTAATCGGACAAGGCCGGTAGCAAGGAGTATAGCCTCAGGTAAAGCAAGCAAACGAGGCCGTCGAGCTGAGCACAATTTAGTGGATATCCATAGGGAGACGTTGAAATAAGCATGAATCTGTACGTGTCCTATAGTAGCTGCCCATAGTGGATCATCGGTCAGCGTTGTTTCAAGTTCTACTAGCTGTGTCCTGAGTGGATGAGTATAACTTGCAAGACTTTCGATGGTCCATGACGAGCGGAGAGACGATATTTCGTCGAGTGACTAGGTTCATGATGGGGGAACGAAACAAAAACTCGGTTGGGCGAGTTAGCGCCGAAGCGGCGAAGCGGCGAGCGCAAATTATTATTTGCTCAAATTCTGCATTTATCTTATCTTATCTCCCTAGATCTAGCTACTAAGCGCTAAACACCTCAATATGTGGAATCTTTAGCCCCTAATACACCTTCGAACTCGGTCCAAAGCACCCGCCAACAGCTCGCAAACGACCGTCAACATCGGCGCATACCCCCAATGATTCCACTCCCCCTTGCCGGCCAGGTAACACGCAGTCCCGTCCGCGGACGACTCCGCTCTCCGCAATCACGATCCACCTGAGCGCGCGTGTGCTCCTGTACCACGCCGCGGCGTACATAGCGACGCCCTGCCACGCCCATGAACACGTCGCGCGCGCCGTACTTACACAATCATCAGCCCCTTAATGACTTTCCTGTACTCCGACGAGGTGGGCTGGAGGTCCCACTCGAAGAACGTGAGTGCATGTGCGGTGCGAGCGATTGCGTTCACGCCGAACGCGACGGAGATGGCCGCGAGGGCGCTTGGGCAGAGACGGGGAAACGTGGAGTCGGAGAAGCGCTTGCTAGAAGAAGGTGCCATTGGTGTTGATCTTTATCTAGGGGAGATAATAGGTGAGGTGTTCGCCACGGTGAGCTTATAGATGGACAGATCGAGAATCAGCGTGCCTTTTATTGTGAGGATTCTGTCGTGTTGTAGGTTGCGTAGTGGAAGTCGGAGGTATATGACTCTGTTGAGGGTCGACGCGACGCATCGCTTTATATATTGAAGTAATCAGAAGCCTGGTCAAGGTCAAGACACGCGTACGTACACTCTTTTGTGTCATTTAATGAGGTGGGGTGATCGTATCAGCTTCTCGCCAGCTACCCACGAGCTTCTCGTGAGGTGACCTTAGGTGCTCTGAGTCACAGATAGCTCAAGGGACTGCGTACAGGTATCCACAACGTGGCATACGCATCGGTGTGGCCTCGGCATATATGGGCGCTTGCAGGCGCGCGAGAATTGGAAACATACATTGTAAACACGTTTACTAGGAAAACTATCATTGACGACCTGTAACAAAATACCTACATCTTAAGTCTTTCTTTTATGGCGGAGTTCAAAGCCGTGGCCCACTAGTATGAGCTTTAAAATAGAAAAATGAATGACTATCTCTACGTTTACAACGAGTTCAATGCTAATGTAAGGTATCAAGAGTCCAAGTCGAATGCACATTTATGCTACAGCTACACAAACAGTCCTTCAAATAAACCACTGCCCTTGCCATGCCCTAGTCATGCCTCTGTCATCATCATTCACACTCGGTCCGATGCATCACGTTGACCGGACGGTACAATACACTCGGTGCTTTCCGGCGACTCGTACAACTGACTCGAAGAGAACGCGCTCGGGAAGCCGTCCAATTTTGCTTGCCTGGGAACGACGGTTAAATCAGCACTGACGTATCTCATGAATGGATCTGAAAAGAAAAACCCACCTGGCCTTGCGGCGCTGATGCACGACTTCGACGGTCGCCTTCTGTATCTTGGCCCGCAAATAGTGCATCGCGAACATCGTCACAGCAATGGTGACGCCGAGCACGACGTACGTGATGATCTTGAGACGCGTGCCATTCGTCCCGCTGGCCGCGTCACTCAGGTCGTACCCGATCCAGACGTTTGCCAACTGCGTCGGCAGCGACAGGATAATCGAGACGAGCACCTTCCAGAATGGGACACGGAATGCAGCGAACACGAGGGTGGTGACTGGATCGAAAACAAGCACAGGCGCATGCAAAACATCAGTGCAACGGCATCAGCGAATGGTGGGTGTTCTACGCACAGTGCGACGGGATGACGCTGTACCGCGCGGCGAGGATGGCTTTGAAGCCTTCCTGCTCAACGACCCTGCCCATTGCCTGGAAACGTATCTCCTGCGTCTTCTTGTCCATGTACTTGCGCAGTCCGTACCGGGCGACGCTGGCAGGGACAGAACCTTCAGTCAGCCCTTTCCTCCGACAAAAAAATAGTAGCTACTTACAAAAAGAGTATAACCTCTCCAAGGATGGTGCCGGCGGCAACGATGGCGAATCCAATCCACGGGCCCCAAACGAGGCCGCACATCATCGCAATAAATTCGTGACCGAACAACTATATGCGATAGTGTGATGGATGGAATAAGAATAACGTCATCCAGCGCCAAAAACACAGTCTTTACGCACCGGAGGGAACGACAGGACAATCATAACGGCAATGGGAATAAGCCACCCCGCAGGCAGGGCGTGAATCCACAGCGCAGGACCTACCAGCACAGTGATAATCTGGGACTGGAAGACGCCCATAAGGATGACGAGCGAGAGGATGAATATGAGGATGACGATGGGGACTGTGCACAGCACACTTGTCAGCGACCGAGGAAGAGACAAATGATGTAATTACTGACTGAAGTCCCGCCAGGTCTTGCAATGGACCGCCTGCATGACAGAGTCGTAGAGGAACCCCTTTGACTTCATCGCCTTAGCCTCGCTAGGCGTAGGGCTGGGTGTGCGTGTGATCTCCCGGGAAGTAACCGTGGTAGCGTCGTCGGCGGCATCGTATCGGGGAGGGATAAATGCCGTATCTTGACCTGTAGCCGATACCATCTCATAGCTTGGCATAGGAGCAAACTGAGTTGGTGCGTATGCATTGTCGCTCGAGGGATGATACGGCTGAGGAGCTTCGAGACGGGCTTCGTCCATTATATGTTTTGACCGAGGTGAGACACTGGTGCTTCAGAGAACGAGGACGGTTGGCGAGAATCAGAGAATGCGGGAAACTGATGAGGACATGACCACCCAAGATTCGAGAGCTTTTAAACGAGAGTATGAGCGGCCAAGCTTTAGAGGCGAAGGTGCGACAATTGAGTAGGGCAGTCCTCGCAGCGTGCAGTGAGCGGTACCAAACACGCAGGTTGTCGTTCAATGTAGTCGGGCTGTGTCGATGTTGCGGATGTAAGTTTGGAACTTGCCATATCTTGCAGGGAGTAGCGGGAACGACTCGGGTCGATAGTTGGCATGGACAGGTCGCGGCCAACTCTCGGTGGTTGTTCTCGTATAAGCGTGAGAACATACCGATATGGTAGCCTGAATGTGAGAATTTACTACATATGGTAGTCTGGGAATGTCCGGAACAGCCACCGAGGCTGAGCCAAGGCTCCAATGGGCGACGCGTCTTGTGTAACGCCGCTCATGTTCAAACGTTCATCGACACCGCACGTACACATTACACGCTGGTGCCCAAACAGTCACTGATGTGACTTCGTAAGCATTGCATCATCGGTGAGGCAAATTTGCGCATCCTCTCCTCCCCCCGGTTTATAAGGGCTAGATGTTAACCTTGCCTAACTCTCTTTCATCTTCCCAATATCATCCCGAGTCGACCCATAGTTAGCCGTAACGTGCTCAGGAAAAACCGACCGCTGCCGATCTACAAGTTGAACTTGAACTCGAAGAGCCGTCCACTTTTGCTTCTTGAAAGCATGGCCTCATCTCGGCGTCGCATTATATGCCTCACTCCAAACGTCTACCTCTATTGAGCCCATCACCGACGTACTTATCCTGGAACCCGCGACGATTGGCTGACAAACATCAGCATTGTAAGCGTTTATCGTCTGTTGTTGCCGCTATACTCACCACGCATTATAGGTGTGTATACTTGGCCCATGGTTACCCACGCATACATGTCATTATGGACGAGCTGTACCTATACACCGCGAAGGTCCTCCACCTTGATGCTACTTGTACTGTGGTCGGCGGGATCCGGCGGCGGCGCTGGCTGGAGCTAGCTTGGTGGCCACTGACCGGTGCCTCTTGATCGCGGGAAACACCACACCCTTGGACTTCTAGCGGGCTTGTCCTATGTCAAACCCCAGTTGACGATAACCTGCGCCCTCGTGTCCTTCTGGTCCCCCTTTTCTTAGGGTGAAAGTCGTCGTGATCGAAACAGTTTGACCTCTATCACCGCCGGGTCGTGCTGGGTGCGTAACTACGCAGGAGGGTCTTCCGCCTTTTCCCGCGTGGCTGAAACGCAACCCTTCTTGTCTTGCTTTGCTCCCATGTCGTCTACCTGGTCTTCTTCCCCAAGTCACGCGGCCTGGCCCTCTTAGCTATATCTTGACCTCCTGGAGTCTAGAGGTTACTGCGCCACGCTGCGATTGTCATATGTTCTATTGCGTCATGGCATAATACGACCACTTGTTTCTGATAGGTGAACCTTAAGCTTATCCTGTACGTAAGGTTCATGTAGATCAAGTACGGGTCTATGCACTACCCTCTCTCGCTCAAAGGCTTCTCGGGAGGGCAAGCTGTACTAAGGATGCTGGCCTTCGTCTTGTATTGGTGAAGCAACTTCCTCATATATCAAGAGAGTAAGGGCGAATGGCGACCTCGTCCCCTGGGCAGAAGAGGACGGGACACGTCAAAGATGCCGGCCAGGCCCGAGCGCTCTACTCCACGGAACCTCGTCCTCGGCCTCGGTACCCATTAGCATCCCTCAGATGTCCCCCTATATCTGATAAGCCCCGAGCGGCGCCGAACTAACCAAACTATCGTGCCCTCTGTGGCCCTTTTGCATGCTACGTTGCCTTCATGTTAGCTTTGGTGTTGCGGCCCTTTCCTCACTGGCTCGGTCGGCGCCGGAACACTGAACCGAAACGTCGGTTGTAAGGGGTGCTGACGCGGGAAGACTCATGAATATTGCGGAGAGTCCGCATGATGCTTCCTGCGGTTCTCCATCTTAATTCGGAATTGCGAAGGTCGAATACCTTTTGAGTTCAAGTTCTCAATCAAATCTGCTCGTATTTGAGGAGGGCTGAATGAAAGAGGACTCCTTAGCGCTCAGCAGCGTCATCCCCCTCTCTCTTCCTTACCTGCTCCTCCGCATACAGCGAGTCCACTGCAAGATGGGTATGCAGGAAACCAACCCCATGGATACCGTTATCCGCGACGAACGGGACAACGCCTACCCTCTAGAGCTCTGGTGGTCCATCTCGATCGTCATGGGCGTTGTCGGGGCCTTCAACTGGGGCTCGTACGTTCACTCGAGACTCAACCGCTTGAGGGGCGCTTCCCCCGCCGATGCTGAGAACGGTGCCTCTCCGTCACGCAAGGTCTCTTCGTGGCGTAGAGTTCCCGTTGCCGCCGTGAACGCCTTCCGAGTTGTATCGTTCCGATGGACGTTGAACGTAGGGAGCTGGTGTTCGCTCAGCTTGGCCGAGTTCTTCATAGGCGCTGGATATATAGCGATGTTGATTACGTTTGCTTTCATCAATAGTGCGTCTAGCGTTCTTTCCCTAAAATCCTTGAGATATTCACTAACGCCGATGGTAGCAACCAACTTGGAAAGTCAAAAGTTTGATGTGCACTACTGGGCCCATCGCTGCGGGCATCTTGCTGCTTGTCAAGTCCCGTTTCTCGCGGCTTTGGGAGCGAAGAATAACCTTGTCAGCTGTAAGTCCTACCCAATCGGTGTGTGAAGCTCTTAGGTCTGATCGGTATGTTAGTGGTCACCGGCGTCAGCTATGAAAGGGTAAGTCAAATTCGCTGAATAACCATGACGGCGCTCATAGTTGAACGGCCAACATTAGCTCAACTTCGTCCATCGAGTCCTTGCTCGCGGTGTTCTGATGCTACTCCTTATACATGCCGGAGGCGAAACGCACGTCCACGTAAACGCAGGGTAAGTTACCTGCTTTTGCGAAAGCGGAGGGCCGTTAGCTCAGGATTGATGCAACATCCAGCCTTTTCCCGATATACATCCAAGAAGCATGGCTGCGGCTCGGCATTACCGCGGTGTCCAGCTTGTTTCTCTTGTTTCTTATCTCTCTCCGGCCGATTCGCTCGAGGTTTTATGAGTTCTTCTTCTTCTCGCACCTTGTCTTGGCTTTGTGAGTAACCGTTCATAAAAATTTCCCCAAGCTAATGTCTGTTGCTCGCAGCATCTTCATTATTGGAGCATATTTCCACACCAAGGCACAAGTGTGAGTTATACAATCTCGAGCCCTATCACCAAGGGACTCGTGCTGATGGCCACGAGCAGGGGTGACTTCTGGCTCTGGCCGGCCTTTGTGTTCTGGGGACTAGACCGCCTCATCCGCTTCGTCCGGCTCGTCGTCTTCAACCACTCGTACTTCGGGCTCAAGACCGGCACCGGCACTATGGACGCGTCCACGGAGCTGATGGCCGACAACCTCGTCCGCATCCGGATGAAGCGCCCTCCGCACTTCCACTGGTCAGCAGGCCAAACTGCGTTCCTTATCATGCCGGCTGTCTCGACGCTGCCTTTTGAAGCGCATCCATTCACCATTGCGAGCATCGATTCGAGCTTGTTTGCGCCAGAGCAATTTGGTGAGGAAGATGCGTCAGTGGCGCCGCTATGGAAGGAGTTGGTCTTCCTCGTCAACGTCCATGGCGGCTTCACGAAGCGGCTGAAGGAGACAGCCACCGCCAAAGGAGAGGTGAAGGTCTTTGTTGATGGACCGTACGGGCCTTCTCCGGAACTGGGCTGCTACAATACCTGTATTCTGGTCGCTGGTGGTTCTGGGGTCTCGTACACACTTCCAGTTCTGCTAAACATCATCGAGTACGTCCTCCTTACGGGGTATTCGCTTGTGGTTTTCGACTGCTCATCATCTCCGCAGGGCCGCCAGAAACAACGTCAGTCAGTGCACGCGAGTGTTGTTCTTCTGGTCTGTCCGTGATGCCAGTTCGTCCCGCTTATTATGGTTTACCATTCCGGTTCCCTTACGATTTGCTGGTCGATAGGTCACATATTTTGGATCGAACAGGCCCTGGTCAAAGCGATTCAGCTCGCCCCGCCCTCACTGTCGATCTCGATCCGCATTCACGTCACAGGCTCAACTTCGCAACCATTGGGCCCATCTCCCGACGGCTCTCTAGAGAAGGTCACCGGTGATGATGCTTCAGAGCGCACTTCCAAGGGGAAATCCTCCTTCCTTACGCTCAGTGCGGTCCGCGTTGAGAATGGGCGTGCAGACATCAACGAACTTCTTAATGAAGAAGTTGCGTCTGCCAGTGGGAGGATGTCTGTCAGTGGTAAGTCATCGTTTTCGTGACTCGTTCGAGAACCACGTCAATCTAACCCATGCGCGTCGAAAGTTTGCGGCTCTCAGAGCATTTCTCGTGCTGTTCGCAGTTCGCTTTGTTTGAGTCCATCCGGTGTTCTGAGCGGCGGGCCAAGCATTGTTTTACATGTCGAGTCCTTTGGCTATGCCTGATCATCGGTCGCATGTTCATGTTGACCACGTGCCTTTCACGCGTTAAAAGAATGTAGCTAGCAGTAGCATTAGTCGAGTGTGTATATTATGTCCATATGAAGCATCCCGCCCCTAAGTCGAGAGGATAAGTACGCTTACCTGGAGAAATTTACAGAGCCGAGCGTAGAGGGCGTAAAAGGATCACCTGGAGGAATCTGTCGCTTACAGCGAGGAAACCTCACGATTTCATATGCGGTGGCTTTTCAGTAATAGAGGTTGTCGAGGAGAGCAAGCAGGGCCAGATCTTTGGATAAATATTAAATATTTATACATTTGCCACGGGCGGCAGCGACTCCCTCATCGGGTTGTCACCGAGACCTCCGAGCGGAACGGAGCATCCACTACACACTTCCCATCTCTCTGTGAAACCGATCCTTAATCAAACACACACACTCTACTACCTTAGCCTTAGCGCTTAACTGTCAACCTTTCAAGAAGGATCACATGCCCAGCCAATCGTCCCGCAAGTTCAAGTTCGCGCTGCTGCTGTGCGGCGCCCCAGTGCAGGCCGTTATCGACAAGAAGCTCGCGGAGGGCTCGGACGAGACGATCGGCGACTACTCGCAGATTATTCCGCGCTTCTTATACATCTCACATCCGGACTACGACCCGGAGCGCTCGAGGGACGAGTTCTTCGAGGTGGACGCCTATGATGTTAGAGACCCGGAGCGAAGGTACCCAGCGGACGACGCGCAGTATGATGGGCTGGTTCTTTCGGGATCTGGTACGTCGCTCTTGGGCTGCCCTGACGAGCGATAGGGACAAGCGCTGAATATCATTTGGTGATATGCTCACACAGCCTCTTCTGCGGTGAATGGCAAGGAGGAAGACTGGGTAAACCACTTGATCGCTTGGACGCGAGACTTTGCTGACAAGAAGTCAACGCCAATATTTGGTGAGCTGTATTTCTACCATTATATACAATCCACAGGTGGTATGTTGATGCTCGGATGGCGCGCAGGCATCTGCTTCGGTCACCAAATCCTCGCCCGCGCATTCGGCGCACAATGTCTACGCTACGATGATCCCGGGAAAGGCTGGGAACTAGGCACGACGACGATCACGCTGCAGGGGGCTGGGCACAAACTCTTCGGCCAAGAGACTGGCACTCTGGTATGCACGCTTCCCCACATCTTCGCAAGTCGAACGACAGTTCAAGGCGGCTCATCTTGCAATAGAAAATCCAACAACTCCATCGCGACCAGGTCCCCGGTAAGCCCACATCAGAGGGCTGGGAGATCTGGGGGTATACCGACAACACGGAGAACCAGGGCATGGTCAAGTACCGGCCCGGCTCCAGCACATACACGACCCCGACCAATATCCACATTCTTACTGTCGAGGGCCACCCCGAGTTCAACAAGGACATTCTCGGACCCGTCATCGACTCCCGGATGCAGAACGTCAAGGACCCGCAGACGGGGGAGCTGAAGAGTGGGCCTATCAGCGAGGAGGAGGGACTGCTAGGGAAGCAGAAGATGATTGTGGATGCGGAAGGCAGGAAGATTGGATCGCTGTGGTGGAAGATGCTTGGCGTGGAGGGACCCGGTACGCAAATCTTCAGCGCATGACTTGACTCGGCTTCGTCATTGCCTGTTTACTGCGTGGACTCGAAACCTGGGGAAACCTAGGTTCAGGTATGTGGAGCGATACCTGCTTGTGATACTGTATGACAATCTATATACATATCTACTGAAGGCCACCTAGAGCGCGACAAAGCGCGACTGATGCATCACTCAGCAGCAGGCACGCGCTCTGAACGAACGTGGCCTCGAGCGAGGCATTGTCTCCCGCTTATTCTTGACATTATGCACAAGTATATGGCGGATAGGATCCGTTCAGCTCGGGATAACGCAATGTGGGGAACACTCGCGCTTAGCTAGTTTTACCGAGCGTCTCCGGATACCCGGACCCGCTGAAGTGTGCGTGCTCGTGCAGGCTCGTACATGCCACGAATGTCATGACCATCGAGTGATCTACACGTTAAGCGAGAGGAAATGCAACAGGAAATGACATGGACGCCAAAAGCGAATTCAGTTGCCAACGACTCGGAGTGTCAACATGCCCGTCTCAAGGCCCCGCTTCTGCACCCGCGTCGAGGGGGAACTACAGAAAAAGCACTGTAACAGCACGAGGATCTATCCGAGTTGGGATCGTGGGATGGCAGGCTCAAAGTACGTCACATCTCAACTGTGCATAGTAATGCATAATAGTGGAATTGCAGTGGAATCAGCATCGGGACGAAGCTAAGATGGCGGGCGACATTCCATAAGAATGTACGGAAATTGACCCGACCGGCCCACGGGCTCGTCTGATGACCGAAACGGCTATGGGCAGCTAAAGGCAGCTAACGAGCAACAGCAAGCGCTGACAATGGACCTGGCACGAAAACGAACTGTTTCTAGAGGCTTGCTTGGAATCAATATGGAGGCCAACGAGAGCCTTGTACATGAAGCTTGATCTCGAGATCCTGTGAATGAGGAGCGAAATTGATTCAAGGGAGGCGAAGGTCCTGGTAGTTTTGTGGACATTTCACGACAATTACATGTGAATCCAATCACGGTGACCCTCCTGTGCTCGCAGCCTTCTGCTGAGCAAGCATGCGTCTTGACGAACAATTAAACCGAGGTTCCATCAAAGTAATTGAGAAAACGTACTGTCTGGCGGCCAGAATCATCTGCGCCTTCCGCTCCTGCAAGGTCGCCTCCCGCTTCTGGGCTGTGTCCTGCCACTCAGCCTTGCCATCGTTTGCTCCGTTCTGAGGTGTCTCGGGCACGTCTGACACGAAGCTGTCGACCCTACTCTGAAGGTTGTATCGAGAGATGAGGGACTCCGAGGCCTTCGGCAGTACGGATGATGACGAGGCAGAGGTATTGCCCCGGGCTGATGCCGGAGCGGCGGGTGCTGCCGGCGTTTCTGCCCGAGGGTAGATGTTGTAGTACGCTGCTGGGGGCTGGTCGAGGATGAACGTCGGTCAAGTGAGAGGATAACGGAAAATACGCACCGCTTCAAGGTATCCCCTCTCAAGTATCTTGTTTGTGGTCACTTCGATACTGCCTGTTCTCAGGAGGTCATAGCGGATGTTGTCTCTTCATGCCTCACAATTGAGTGAAAGCTGCATACGTGTTTGAACACGCACTCACGGTGGAATATCAGGGAACATGGAGTGTACTTGGTCTACCTGTGCCTTACGTCAAAACCTCCGACCCGACACTCGAATCAATACGAAGCTTACCATTTGTTGTGTGACATTCTTCGGTCTGAATCCAAGCGCGGACACCGCAGACCTATTTCCCGAGGAGTCGCCGCCTACTCGATATTCGCGCGCATACACGCAATGGGCTCGGTCAAAATCGACGGCGGGAGTGTCTGGTGAATTGGAGACGCACCCGATGTTGCCCACTTGAAAACAAAAACGAGGACAGCGAAGGCGACGACGACGTTGACGACCTCACTCATAGCAGCTATGCGAGCGTTTTTTCGGAGGTTGGGCTTGCTAACGCAGGGGTGGAACGTGGAGGAGTACAATGACACGAGGACCGCACCCAGCTGCTACCGCCTTCGTGCTTCGCGAGCAGGTGGGAAGATTTGGCATAAACTTCCTGATCGGGACAGACATTATGCACGAAACTGCGGGAAACTACACTTATGTCATTCCACGCGTTTACTTTGTCCGTCCACGGAACCAGTTGCTCGAGATTGACGGCGATGGACGAGCATCAGTCAAGCGTGGGCTAGTTGATGCAGCGCTTGTGCTTGCCTTCCAGAACGTTTCTTTCATTATCAGTGACAGGGATGCGAAACCTCGGGGAAGTCAGAGATGGTATCTGATGACATTATGCCAGTGAGTTGAGTCGTCATCTAGTCTCTGGATGTATTGATCAGATATCATATCTGGCCAGGACCCAGTGGACTTGGCTTCATAAATGTATACAAAGCGGAGACCAATTGGGCGCTCAAGACGGTTTCTCTAGAAGTTTCTCAGTGCTTGTAAACAACACGTTACTTGCACGTACCAGCTACTATACACCGTGCTGCATTCAATCACTATTCGGGACCTGTATCAGTCATAGCGGGGTCGCCCTCGCCCTATCAGCCAAGACTAGGCCAAGCACGTACCAAGCAGAGTTTCGAGGCGGTGCTCTAGGGTGCTCTGCATATATCCGTGACACTTGCCGACGTCGGTCAGTCGGTTGTCTCAGTACGTCTTCGATCCTTCGCCTTTGGGTGGCCCGTCCCAGCTCGTTCCAAGACCTGCCCAGTGCAAGCTGACATCTGGGGATATGCTACGTTCTCGATATAGGTGTCGGATAATACGTATGAGGAGATGTGCCTGATTGCTGAGGATTTCTTGGTGACCTTTGGTGGCTTAGAGCGATCTACGTGATTTACCTAACGACCGGATAGCCTCGTTGATGCCATCTCGTCTCTTCCTGTCACTTGCAATATCGGCAGCAGGCGTAAGGTACCTCCACAGGAAGCAATGACTTTCCGTGGAGTCTCGCCACCCTGCCACCTGCGCAGGACACTGCCTGCATACTTAAGCCATGCATGATCAATCTCTGCTCCTCAATTCATGCCGGTCATGCCGCGGACGATTCCTCCGCCCATCGTCGTCAGCTCTCCTCCTGAGGATTCTGGAATCCCCGACCCCAGCCCCGTTCTTTCCCCCGAGCTCCGCGACTCGCTCAAGAGACGGACAGAAGACACGCTCCTTCACATTATCGAAAAGAACCGCTACACACAATGGGCTAGCAAGTCTCCAGAGTTGCAGAGCTTCCGCGAGGCGTTGGAGCACCAAGGCTCCCGCGCTGAATCACCAACCACTCCTACCCCCACTCCTACCCCTAATACTACCCCTACCGTGGACGTCGTCGAATTCGACCGCGAGATGCTCCTGGAGAACTATCGCGACCACATTCCTTTGACGACGTACCCCGCCTACGAGCCGTTCGTCTCCAAGCTCATGGACCCGGAGGTCACCGAAGACGAAGTCAAGGACCTGCTCTCGCCCGGCCTGCCTTTCTTCGTCGCCTGCTCCAGCGCGACGTCAGGCAAGGTCCCCAAGTATTTCCCCAAGTACATTCATCCGGCTGGGCAGGCGTACGAGTCCGTCGACAACAATGCAAACCCGATGTCGGATCGCGGCGGCAAGAACCTTGTCGTTTACTCGCTCACCTACCGCCGCCTCATCGAAGTCACTGGTGAAGGCGGCAAGGTCGCTAAGAAAATCCCTGTCACGTTGATGTCCTCCGGCTCAGTGCGGATGCAGCATAAGATTCCCGTCGAGGCAGATGAGTGGGCTAAAACTATGACCGGTGCGTCTCATTCTACTTCCGAGCTCCCATTTCATGTGTCCTAACCAAGTTTCGCGCTCTAAGCTCCGCGAGCCACTTCCCCCATCGCCGTCAGCTTCATCGATAACTACCGCACTTACTTGCTCATACACGGCTTCTTCGCTCTCGGTGACGTCATGCTCGAGAACGTGAATACGCTCTTCGGAACCGTTTTCCTCGACATGATACGATATATTGAGGAAGAGTGGGATCATCTTCTCGACTGCCTTGAGCACGGGAAACTCCCCAACTTTGAAGGGTTGGAAGAGGTCAGGAAATACCTAGAGGTGAGTCTTCTAGCCCTGATCCATATGCCGTCTCGTGCTGATGCGTGCATCTCCGTTAGCCCAAGGTCGTTGCCAAGCCAGAGCGTGCTGCGGAGCTCCGCGAGCTTGGCATCGATACCTCGACCCCGGGTTGGTGCGTGCGCGTCTGGCCGAACCTCCGAGTCGTCGTGGGTATCTGTAGCGGCGTGTTCGCTGCCGTGATTCCTAAGGTGACTGATTATCTATCGGTTGCTCCGCTGGAGTGGATTGTACTGACGTTGGAATGGTAAGATTCGCCACTATGTTGGCCCAGATGTCTCGATGCGCAGCTTGGGCTTCACTGCGAGCGAGACGTATGTCGGGATGGTGTATAAGCCCGAAGATCTGAATTTGTACAAGACGTCCTTCGACGACATCATCGAGTATCTCGACATCTCAGCCGAGGAACAGGCAACGAGTCTGGTTTCTTGTGTACGTATCCCACGCATCCAGTTTATTCACGGACGGTTTCTAATGCCTATACGCTCAGTGGGATATCCAAACGGGCTCGAAGTACGAGATCGTTGTCACTACCCGTGATGGAATGTGGCGTTACCGCCTTGGTGACATCGTCGAAGTCGCCGGGTTCGATCCCATGGACGGTGCTCCTATCCTGCGCTATATCGAGCGCCGAAAGTGAGTTGCTGGTTTTTCCTCGCCTATTTGCGCACAGTCTCATGTCCCACGTTTAGCGTTGTTCTCCGTTTCTACCACGCAAACATCAGCGAGCGCGAGCTCGCCAGCGCCATTTTTGCCGCTCAGGAGATACTCGGACCTGTCGTCGAGTTCACCGTCATGCTCGACCGCCGCACGATGCCTGTCGGCTTTGGCTTCATCGTCGAGCTGCAAGGCGGCCCCAATGGCGAGCTCAGCCTGCTCAAGGAGGACGAGGCGCACCGCGCGCCGGGCCTCGTGCACGCGAGCCTCTGCGCGGCGAACGAGAACTACGAGAACGAGTGCAGGATCGGGCACATTGGGCACCCGACGATCCGGATCGTTGCGCCGGGCACGTTCCGCGAGTACAGGAAGAACAAGATCGAGGCGATGAAGGGCGGCGCGGGGCAGGCAAAGGTGCCGGTCGTCATGCTGGACCAGGAGATGCAGGACTGGGTCCTCGAGCGTGTCGTGCGCGAGGTCCATCGTCCGGCCCCAGAGCCAGTCACTGTCGGCGTCGCGCGTATCGAGGAGGTCATCAGTTCGGCGGAGACGTCGGAGGCGGAAGACTCGGACGCGGGAAGCACTGCTGAGACGGCTTCCGAGCACGAGGGTGCACACGAACACGGAAAAGCTAGGGCTGTCATATCCCGTAGTCAGCCGTCGAAGAGCTGGACGTCTGGGTGGGGTTTCTCGCCTTTGATGGCAGGTTCGGTGTTTGGAGGATTGTATGTCGGAATGAGGTTGGTTAGGTCCCTGTTTGCCGTCTAGGAGGCCTGTCGCAGATGGTGCATCTAGGAAAATTAGACTGCCCGCACACCGCGGTGGGCACACAGACACGTGGGGGTATTTATGCACGGGCCTCCTGTGATGTATCAGTATATGTATCAGTACTGTAGATGACTTTGCTTCGGAGTGTCATGTAGATAGGGGCCTTTTGGTTGTTTCGTACTTTATATCCTCACCTCTTCCGTCTCGATCTTTCTTTCGCTGTATGGCTACTGGCCTAGTCTAGACCTGATGCCGTCTAATAATATTTATGTAGATACCATTGATTCAGTCCTGGTCGGAAGATGTGGACTCGCTGAAAGAGGGCTAAGCCCACCGACGGTCACCGGTCAAGGTCAGGAAGTCTTGGGGTGTCACGACGAAGTCGGAGGATGGGGATGCGATGCGAGGACATCGGAGGATCGAAGTTGCGATGTGACTTTTTGTGTCGGCTTCCAGCGCGCTCCGTGCTTCATCGCGGCGTGTTCAGACGTCATTGGAGAGGCTCTTCCTCGTGTATACAGCAAGTGCATTGGTGCAGGCATCAGCGGACGTGTGTAGGACTGTGCATGTGGACAGTACGTTATCCGTGGATGCCAGTGGGGGTGTCTGTAACTTGTAAGTATCACTAATCTATAATGCGTTCCACCTTCATTTAAGTGATGTCAATGGATTTCTGTTGACCTTGTTTCTGCTTTTGGTGAGCCGGTGTCTTGACGATGAGTATGTGATGCTTAAAGCCAAATCACGCTCGAGATCAACCCTGCACATGCCCTGAGACAAGATTTGTGGCCATGCATGAGCAAAGTAGCCCCGACGAACTGGATTCGTTGCCGATGGCGGGAAAGAGGGCGTTTGAAAGGATGGTGGGCTGGGTTATAAGAGGCTCTACATCCTGTGCGGGGGTGTGTCATTCAGGCCACGTGCGGTGCATCTTATCTAGACACATACAAGTATACAACTCCCCACTCTCCCTCTCACTTGCATCCATCTCATCCCCGCGACACTCGCCACCGCGCCCCCCTCTCCCTCCGCTTTCTTTCGAGCCCGCACATCGAGCCCGCCACGCAACATGTCTTGGAAATTGGGAGCATCTTCTAAAAGTCAGTTCGGTTCGCCTGAAACCCCCTTTCCTACCTTCCCTCGCTCCCGTCCGTGGCAGAGTGCTCGACGCTGACACCGACCTGCTCTTTCAGAGGCGAAGGACAGCAAGGACAATGGCTCGCGATCAGTCACTCCCATCCCATCGCGGCCAACGACGCCGCGACCGAACATGACTGGCGAGCAGTTCCGGTCTGGCATGCTCACCATCAGGATCTTCTCAGGTGCGCTCCTCCAGAGCATCTCACGCCGACAGACCCCAAGCTGACACGTCGGATCGCAGGGCAAGGCCTCGCGCTCGCTCCGGGCGTGCAGGTCCCCGAGGTGATCCAGAAGGCGCTGAACAGCTCCCCGGCAGCCCGCAAGCCAGCGAGCAACCGGGAGAGCATGCAGCGCAAGCGCAACTGGTGGCTCCCATACGTCGTCCTCGGCTTCGACAACAACCAGATCCTGATCGATGCGCTCGGGGGCGACCTCGCGACGCCCGTGTGGAATTACAAGGCAGACTTGTACGTGACGCGCTTTCACTGCGCTCTCCCTTCCTCTTCCGTGAAACCCGTTGTGGTGTGGTGCTCAAATGCAGGGCGATCACCTGCTATTGCCCTACAGCGACGTGTCCCGGACGTCCATCGTGACCGTCTCGGCGTATCTCCGTACGGCGGCCGCTGTCCACAGTCAGGAGGACATGGGCAACGATCTTCTCATGGCGAGGCTGGACCTCGAACCTGCCTTAGAAGGATATGTGGGTAGCACCGCTCGACTGGCTCGTTCAGCGCTAGTATGCTCATCTTCCTGCCCATTACAGGATGTGCATGACGCATGGTACAACGCCACCATCGGCACGGGCTCTTTCCACCTCAAGATCGACTACAAGCCGCAGCGGGACAAGGCACATACGATCGAGGAGTTCGACCTGCTCAAGGTCATCGGCAAGGGCTCCTTTGGCAAGGTGATGCAGGTCCGGAAGAAGGACACGCAGCGGATATATGCGCTCAAGACGATCCGCAAGGCGCACATCGCCTCGCGGCCCGGCGAGATCACGCACATCATGGCGGAGCGGACGGTGCTCTCGCTGGTGAACAACCCGTTCATCGTCCCGCTCAAGTTCTCGTTCCAGACGCCGGACAAACTCTATCTTGTGATGTCATTTGGTGCGTCTGTCTTGTGTGCCACGTGTTTTTGGTGCGGTTTTGGCTTATTTATAGTGTAGTAAATGGCGGAGAGCTGTTTTACCATTTGCAGCGGGAAGGCAAATTCAACCAGGAGCGGAGCCGGTTCTATGCTGCAGAGCTCCTTTCCGCGCTTGACCACCTTCACGCGTTCAATGTCGTGTACCGGTATGTACTTTCTCTTGCCAATGAACATCTTCTGACCCTATATTCAGGGATCTGAAGCCGGAAAACATCTTGCTTGACTACGAAGGACACATTGCTTTGTGTGACTTTGGTCTCTGCAAGCTGGGTATGTCGGAGACGGAGAAGACTAACAGTGCGTTTACTTGCCATTTTCACTAGCATATGTCTGACACCAATGTAGCGTTCTGCGGGACGCCCGAGTACATCGCACCGGAGCTCCTCGAGAATCAGGGGTACACCAAGACCGTCGACTGGTGGACACTGGGTGTTCTTCTGTACGAAATGATGGTGCGCATACTCCCCCGTGCACAAACAAGCCTTCTCACGCCTTTGATCCCATAGACTGGTCTCCCGCCATTCTACGACGAGAACGTGAACACGATGTACCAGCGCATCCTCAGCGACCCGTTGAACTTCCCCGCGGATATGCCCCCCGAGGCGCGCAGCGTCATGACGGGCCTGCTACAGCGTGACCCGACGAAGCGGATGGGCGCGAACGGCGGCGAGGAGATCAAGCGGCATGCGTTCTTTGCCAAGCACATCGACTGGTCCAAGTGCGTCTCCCTTTCTTCCCATAATAGCCGATGATGATGATACTAACCATGGCGCACCTCTACAGGCTCCTCGCGAAGAAGATTCAGCCGCCGTTCAAGCCGTCTGTCGAGTCCGTGCTGGACGTGGCCAACTTCGACCCGGACTTCACGAACGAGGAGGCGCAGGATTCGGTCGTCGAGGACTCGCATCTGTCCGAGACGGTGCAGGACCAGTTTAAGGGGTTCACGTATAACCCCGCGAACGAGCATCTCAGCGAGAGTGTGAGCTACTGAGCGGTGGGCGCCGCGAGGCAGTTCGGACGTGTGCCTCTCCGAGTTCCCCGAGCCTACTACTGGTGTCTGCGGAGTCCCATTTCGTGCAATGTGCCCTTTAGAAGGGTAGCTTGCACCTTATTTATTATTGCGGGTCTAGCATCCGACGTCTCTTGGGGTCCGTGTTTCGATCGTATAATCATCCCTACGCCTCCTTTCTTGTTGTCATGGACCCGCCCTTGTTGTACGCACGTCGAATGGCCAGCACGCCAAATGAACAGCTGGCTACCTCTTGTATCCATGCGCCTGTCTATGCTGTTTTTCGCTTTCTTGTGTCCAAAAGCTACTTTTATTTGCTTGTATCGTTACACAGCGTACAGATGTGTGTCTGCAATCGATAGATAGATGAACGGGGGGACGGTTGTGTACAGACCTCACCGGCGATGCTGGAGGTCGGGGGCTGTGGGGAGGTATGATATCAATCAGATGGATAAGGATGGGGCCGTAGCAAGGCACCGAGGATGGGGTGTACGTACGAGGGAGTAAATGAGGTAGAGTGGTGGAGTCGTGTTTAGTGCCCTGTGGAAACAGAGGTCAATGGCGTGCGATAAAACGTATCATCTACTTTGTATTTGTGGTGATGCATCGGGTGTCGACATCTGCGGGTGTCGTGCAAGCAACTCAATGAATGCCAGATGAAAGGTCTACACCGAAATGACGTACCTTGGGCGTCCACAATCGGGGTGCCGGTGCAAGACTAGTACGGTGGCGGCGGACCCCGCTGGGAGCTTGGCGCTCGGGCGGTCTTGATCTCGTTGTCGCGCTTGTGCGCCTCGTTCCAGCGGACGACGTCGGGGACTGGGGACCAGAAGTGCTTAGCGGCGAGGACCATCTGGCGCGCACACACGTCAAAGTCGACGCCGCCCGTGCCTGTGCCGAGACCGGTCATGACGATGGTGTTGATGCGCTGCAGGCCGCCGAGGACGGAGACGCGGTTCCAGCGGTCGAGCTCGACGAGCACGGACCACATGGCGTTGTAGGACAGGTCGAGGTCCCACGCGACGAAGTCGGGGACGCGCATGGTGGGCACGATGGCGAGCGAGCGGGCGTCGTGTTTGTTGCGGCCGGGGCCGAAGACGGCGTCGGGGAGGGGCACGATGGTGCAGGTGCCTGGGGGCGCGTAGCCGTGCCAGATGTCGCGGAGGTAGGACTGGACGTGCTCGGTGAGGGTCCATTTGTCGCCCGAGGGGCCTTTGAAGGCGCGCGAGAGGTAGTAGTCGAACCTTTTTGGGGGTGGGTGGGGGTGATACGTCAACGGAACCAGGTGAGATGCCGAGAGAGGGGACGTCAGAGGAAGTTGGAGTATGTGGAACGCACCCTCCGTCCATGATCCCGAACGAGTTTGCGGGGGACATGATGCAATCAAACTTGATGTCGAGGTCGTCTAGTCTGCATTCCTTGACCTCGAAAGGGCAGTCAGTGGGATCCGGAAAGTGGGAGCTGATTGCCCTTCGCCATGCATCGCAGAGAGAGTCGCTGGGGTGTGGCGGGGCGATAAGGACGATTTTGAGATTGTCTGGAGGCATGGGCGGTAGCGAGGACGGACCGACACAGCCCGGGTTGCTGTAGACAAAGCTGCGGTGCACGAGAAGGCGTGCGCAGCGGCAGTCCTGTTATCTCGGCGAGTTCCAGACTACCATACGTAGTAATTTCCCACATTCAGACTACCATATCGGTATAGTCCCACGCTTATACGAGAGCAACCCGCGAGAACTGCCCGCGACCCTGTCAACATCTCAACCTGTTCGCGCTACTCCCTGCAAGTTATGGCACCTGCTATATTTACATCTGCACATCAACATAGCCCGGCTGGATTAAACCTGCGTGTTTGGTGACACTCCCCGAACGCTGCGGGGACAGCCCCATTCGCTAAATGTCGCAACTACGCCTCCACCTTGACTATCGTTTAAAAACCCTTCATGCTTGGGCGGTTATGTCCTTGTCATTTTCCGCATTCTCTCTTTCTCTTTCTCGTGGACGTTCTTGTTCTCTGAATCACTCGCATCCCGTCCCGGTCAACACTTACAATGGACCAAGCTCGTCTTCAAACTCCTCAGCCATACCATCCCTCGGGCGGCAATGCATACGCACCAACGCAATTCGCCCCTATGCCAAGCTACGAGATGGTCCCGACCGCAGACCAAGACACGTCGTACAGCCCTCCTCGTTATGACCCCGTCGATGAAGCTACAGTCGCTCCATCCCGGGAGATCACGCGCACACCCAGCCCTACGCCCAGCGAATTCAAGGCGGTAAACTCAAAAGGTTTCCTCTACGACTCTATCATACAGGCCGTCCACTGGAAGACATGGCGGGACTTCAGTCAGTCACACAATAACACCCGGTCCCTTTCTCAGTAGCTGACAAGTGTGCTGCCCACAGTCCCCATCATCATAGTCGCATTCATCCTCTTGCTCGTCATCCTCATGAGCGTCTTCCAGAACCAGATCATTGACGTGCTGGAAGGTCCTGCACGGTGGATATATGCCCTGCCTGCAGGCTGGCTGATTCCCATTGCCATCATGATCATATTGTCGTTCCCTCCGGTGCGTAAACAATGTGTTTTTGGCGTTTGACAACGTTATTCATCACGTCACCACATATAGCTGTTCGGCCACGAGTTTATTGCGATGATGTGCGGTCTTGTCTGGGGCCCGTGGATTGGCTTCGCCATCGTTGCGGCCGGCACCGTCATCGGAGAGATGTTACTCTTTTTGTGAGTAATAGCTGCTGTCTCTTTTTCTCCGGGGAGAACAAGTCGGCTGAACGAACGCTCCAGCGTCATCCTGCACGGACTGCGCAAGTACATGGAAAAGAAGATGCAGGACATCAAGTTCCAGGCGATCGGCAACGTCGTCCAGAACGAAGGCTTCAGAGTCATCCTCGCCGCGCGGTACAGCGCCATCCCGTCGCACTGTGCGTAACACACATTCAGCGTCCATCGTCTGGCCCCGTGCTTATCTTTTTGATGCAGTCACCACCCTCGTGTTCGCGGCGTACCGCGTCCCGTTCTGGAAGGTGCTCGCCTCGATGATCCTGTCGCTGCCGACGCAGATGGCGAACGTCTGGATCGGGTACGACCTGAGCGACGCGGGCAGCGGCAAGGACGGCACGCGCACCAAGATCATCACGTATGTCGTTCTCGGCGTCACCATTGCTGTGACGATATTCGCGATGCATTATCTGCGCGCCAAGATCCAGAAGGCGACGGTCGAGGTCGTGTACAGGCGCCGCAAGGCCAGGTGGGTTTTCTCTTTTCAGGGCTCTGTATATGGGATAGGGATGTTGGCGCTAATGGATACTGTTTTCAGGCAAGCAAAAGCGGAGGGATTCCCGAGCGAGTTTTCTTCGGGTCAGCTGTACGACCAGTACGATGGGCGGGGGAGCACCGAGCGCATTTTGCCGTCTGGCCAGCGCGAGGCGTCGGACTATGCATGAGTGCCGATGTGATGGGTATGGCGAGGGCAGCGAGGATCTTTGGAGGGTTGTATGTGTAGTCTACATACGCATTTATATGGTTTGGACTCTTGATACCTTACACTGGCGTTGATACTCGTTGTAAAAGTAGGGAGTGGCTTATTTAATTTGTCAACTGTATTGGCTTTGAGATCCGCCATGAGAGCAAGGTTCGACGGGTGGGTGGTTTGATTTATGTCGTAAGGCTGACCTTCCTAGTATGCGTCGATGCGTGACGGGGTGACGTTGAACGTTCTGAACCTTGATGGCCATTGGAGCGTTGGTGTCTGATGTCAGGGGCTTGTTGAGCGTTTGTTGTTGGGAGCGATAAGATAAGATAAGGTCTGATGGCGAGAAATGCATCCGCGCGGCTGTCGGCGTTAGCTCGCTCCGTCGGATTTTTGTCTCGTTCGCCCATCATGAGCCTGGATATTCAGCTAAAGCTTGTCTCCCCACTCGACGTGGTCCCTCGAAACTCGTACAATGCGACCTCAGAACAAAGCCGGTAGAAATGGGCGCGTTATTCAAGGATAACCGCCGCGTGCGTCGTCTCTCGCGGACTCGGAGCTGCTCGGCGAGGCAAAGGAGACCAGGAGGCTCGCTGTATGCACTGTGAATCCTGTGATCGCTGCATCCTCTCGGCGACAGACGGATGCTCGTCTTCTCTGTTCTTTTGCCTTCCCCTTCCCGTCATCGCTATTTAGCTCCCTGATGATGATCCACTATGGTCAGTCAAGACGTGTTCGACATCAGGCTCATTGCAAGGTTCGATTAGTCATTCTACAGGTCTCTGCTAAGCTGCTTTAAACTCGATGGCTTCGTTTACTTGCTTTACCTCAGGCTATACTACCTGCTACCGGATTTGTCTAGCTAGGCTGCGATTTCGAAACGGCCCGATAACTTCAGCGCTGAGCCTCAATCTACACACTCCCGCCTCCCGCCTCCCGCCTGCTACCCAGCTCTGATTCTGAAATCGACTGGCCTGCCCCCAGAGGATTTATAAACTCTGCCTTCTCGTCGACCTTCCCCCACCTTCCCTTCCACTTCCTTCGCTCCCTTCTCCGCTCCTGTCCCCACAGTCGCATACATCATACACACTACACATCTCCTGCAGTCACCATGCATCTGTCTACCCTCTTCCATATCATCGCGGCAACCGTCATAGCTGTCCAATGCTTCAGAAATCCCTTCGTCACCCTCACTATTCTATCTGCGGTAACATTCATCACTCGTGATCAAGGCTCTCCGTCCTCTCCCAAGCTCGTCGAACCTGGCGCTCCCACCTCGACACATCCTCAGTCTACTCTCGATCATGAGAAGTCTGCACACGATGTTCTCAAGGAGCAAACCGCAACCAATACCGATAGGCACGATACCCCCGACCTCGAAGAGCACGCGCAGGCAGCCCTCGCCTTCCGGGCCGGCGCTGCCGAGGCACGCATCGAGGTCATGGAGATGGAGCACGTCATGACGAAGAAAACCTTCGCCACGTACCGCGAACGGACCATAGCTCGTCTCCGGGAGAAAGAGGACGCGCTCGAGCAGAAGAAAGACGAAATCGAAGACAAGGACGAGAAACTCGCTTCCCTCCAGGCGCAGCTGGCCGACGCGCGCTTGGAAGCGGCAACTAGCATTCGCGAACGAGATGTCCAGATCAAGGCTTTCAAGACCGAGCGGGACGAGGTACTCCGACAACACAGGGACAGCACCAAGCGGGCTGCCGATGCCCTTGCGCAAGCAGAAGTCGCGATCTTCGAGTGTGACCTAGCGTGCGAAGTAGCCCAGACCAGCGAAGAAGACACTACCACCCTCATGCTCGCCCTCGCGCAAGCTGGGAAGCATGCACACATCGCCGAACGCGAGCTCGATGCCACCGCCTCCCACGTTCACGAGATGGAGAAGCAACTCGGAATCGCGCTCGCCATCGGCGCACGAGAAGTGTTCTCCTTGAAACGCGATCTCGCTCAAGCCAAGCACGAGCTTGCCACTTCCGCTCTTTCAGCACCTCCCACTCCCTCCACCGGCACCGATACGGAGATGCTCCTCGCTGCCCTCGAGCAGGAACGCCGACGGGCCGACCACCACATGACTCGCGCTGACCGCGCCGAGCTCTCGCTGCACAACCTCTCCCGCATGAGCGACAAGGGCGACTCGGAGCTCGAGGAAGCGCTCTCGAACCTCGAAGCGACGCAGTCCGCGCTGAATGCGGAGCGCAAGCTCAGCGGCCAGTATCTCGACACGGCATGGAAGTACCACGCGGTGCACGAGGAAGCCGACTCGAGCCTCGCGCAGCACAAGGAGAAGGTCTCTCATCTCTCCGACGTCGTTGTCGATGTCAAGTTCGCGTCTGCGAAGCTCCGAGCACGATGCGAGCTACTCGAGAATGTTCTGGTTGGGCACGACGGTGCGAGTGAAGAGCTGGCGAGGCGAGAGGCGATGGAGGCGGAGGCGGCTCGGCTTCGACGTGAGTACTTGGGCCTTCATCTTCTCCGCCTCATGCTCATACCCTACCTCTCGCTTAGGATCAGAAGCTGACGCCGCACGCGCGCAGGTGCTACTCATGCTCCTCATTGATCACGACGGCAAAGTCACCACGGATCACGACGCGATCCACATTGCTGGCCAGTCAGAGTTCAGCATGCCATGTTCGTACCCCTTTCACAACTTCCACTTCTCTTCCCGCTAACTTAATCCATCGATGCAGCGGGCAAAGATCCTCTCCCCAGTTTCGTGCAGCACACCTCCGCCGATTCGGTTAAAGAGACACTTTCCTGTATGTTCACCTTCTGCTTAGCTCCTTGCCTCTCTCATATTCCTCAGCGCTCGCGAGCTTCGCATCCTCGACAAGCCCGATGTCAATAATGAGCAGCGGATCGTTCGTCAACCTCCTCGACCTGTTCCCCATGCCGCCTACGAACTGCCCCAGCATCCCCAACGCTGGCCGCCGACCCGCGAAGCGCTCCAAGCTCATCGATTCCGACGACTCCGATTCTGAGTCCTGCTACTCGGCTGGCGGTGACGATGACGAGGATGGCGGTGTGGACAGCGATGAAAGCTTCGAGGCGGGCAGCATCAGTGATGACGAGTCGTGTTGTTCGACGACGAGCACCGCTACTGCCACCTCCGCTTGGACATCAGCTTCGACGACCACCTCCGGCGCGGGTTCGATGACGTCCGCCGGACCTGAAGACGAACCGTATGGCGCGAAGCCTGTCTCCTGCTCCTCCTCTTCCAAATTCGAGTGTTTCTCGTCGACCATGGAGGAGTACTGCGGCGCGCCTGCATCCTCAATCCCTCCAATTGGGCAATATTTGGAGGGCACCGAGAACAACGACTGTTGATGCAATGGACCGCGCGTCGCTGTTTTTTTTTGTCTTTCGGGTTTACTTTTATTTTTATTTTTGTCTATTCTCCTGAGCATTGTTTATATTAGATAGTTGACAGTAGTGCAATACACGGTCTGTTTGCCGCCATATCTTCAGTGTGATTAGTTCGCCCTCGCTGCGTATGTTTGAACCGCTGGATCTGCAACTTTCTAGATTCTGTCAGAGGAAATTCTCAGGCTCCGGGGGTACTGACTCCAAATTGACTCAAATATTCCTTCGTCTGGGCAACGATATGTCACCATCAATGGGCTCCCCGATGCCCATTAATTTCAGCCCGAGGTGTTCCGTGCATTTGTAGGAGCATACACATAATTCTTGGGAAGGGCAGCTACTGTTCTGTAGGCTATTGTGCTCCTTCTGAATGATCTCATATATTTGCCTGCATGAGGGCTTAAGCGCTTAAAAATCACGTTCAATGGAAGCTCTAAAACCTCCGCTAGCGACGTTTAGGTGAAGCTCGAGTTTCCGGTGCGAAGCCTGGGGAATGGCGCTGAGCGGGACCAAGAAGCCTAGCTTCAAAGAGAGGGAGCTCGCAGTAGCGTCTGTGTGGAGTTTCCGGGCCGTCCTGGGAAGCGTGCTAAGCTCCGAGGCGCTGAGGTCAAAGGATAAGAAGCGCCTCGAGGTATTCCGTGTTTGTCTATCTTTTGCGCTATGGGTTCCGACTTTTTGGGGGTGCTGACGTCGGATTTTTTAAAATCCCGTTTCGTTGTGTGCGATCAGATCGTAAAACCGGCCTCGCGTACGTGCTATCGCTCCCCGTGCACTAGTAGTCCTGTCTGTAAGCGTCTTCCGCTCACTGCGCGTCCGTGGTGGTGTTGTCCGATATCCTTCAAACTGTACGTTGAAGACGTTGAAGACGAGTCGACACGTTTTGGATCTTAGAATTAGTCACTCCGTTCTGAATATGTGCCACACACGACCGACTAGACCACAACACCCCCGGGCCTAGTAAGCTGATCATAAAAAATGAAATTGGCTTCTCAAGTCGACGAAGCGGTGTCAGCCAGAAGACCACAAGACCTGGCGCAGGCAGACGCAGACCGCATTGTTCTCCA